CAGATTTGATCACGACTTTGGTAGGCGCCAAAAACAAAGTGTATATGTGAAAATTTCCATACTAAAATATGTAACAAATTCAAGTCAAGTTTCTTTTAATTTAAGTACCTAATGGAATGTACAAAATACATAGCATAATATATTAAAATAGTGAAAATATATGTATAATAATCAGCATTACCAAAAAATAAGGGCTTCTAAAGTTGGTGAATTATTAAGTTTTCTTTATTCCTCGGAAGTTTTTTCGTCTAGATTACAAATCGAAGTTTATTCAAACAAAAACATCTCGCAGCCCTTAAGATTATATATTCAATTGTTTTACATAAATTTACATCATCATTAGCATTTGTTTGAATGTACTTATTAACAAACAGTTGACCCTGACTTTAAATATTGGGCAACATCAAATTATAACATATTTTATACTTTTACAATATATAATTGGCCTCTTTAAGTGGTATAGAGCCAATGACCTTTATAAGACTAAATTGAATATTCAAAACGTGATAGAAATAAAATTTAAATATTGTTTTTCAACAATTCAACTTATTTTATTATACTATTTCATAACAAAACGTTCTAAGCTAATGGCAACTTGTCATAATATATGAAATTAATATGATAAGCTGATATTATGGCATTATAAATAAATCAAGCTTTAACAATATTACATATAAAATTGCCTGCAAAATAATAAACAACAGGCTGTGTCAATTTCTTTGGCACAAGCTCTATAGAAATAAACACTTCTTTGGGCTATTAGGATTGCAGGACAATAGCTTGGCCTCGATCAATGGCTGAGTGAGCATCTGCATATAAATCTGCATTTAAATATTAGCTTGAGGTCTTTCAAGTTACTACAGCAGTATTCAGAGCGTTAAGAAAACACCTTCTTAGTTATACGGTGTCAGATTGTGTAATTATTAATATAGCATAACTTTACATAAATCATTAAATTAAAACTCATATACAAAAACATATAATTATTATTCCTGACAGCGATGATTATGGTTAACAATTAATTGTATAAAATTTATCCATTATCACAAAACGAATACGAGTATTACACGAACATGACAATACTGTTTTTAATTAAATATATAAATATATATTTTTATACATATAATAACAGTCAATTAAAATAAATAATATATTTTTTGTTATATATTTTTAGACATCGTATCTAATCAGTAAAATTTTTAACTGTCAAATTTTAAAAAGTAGGTTACTATTACTCTTAAACTAAAGAGGTTCTTATTATTCCTATATTTATAAACTTTAATAAAGTATTTTGAAACTTAATTTTACTATAAGACTAGTTGTGCCCCACCGTTTCGTCCGATAAATCATTTCGATAATAAAACTTGTAGTAAGTATTTTTAATAAGAATATCACTATTAAAATACCGTTAGCAGAGAAAGCTATACGGTTCTGTCAGCGTCAGTTGTAGGCCAACCCGCGCGAGTACAACGTCTGTAAACACGTTTAGAGTAAGAAAATTATAAGGATTACTGTTTATTAATGGTAAGTGTAGAAATAATTACGTATTAATAATCCTATTTAGTTTAATGTATCATAGAAACAATTATAATTGATTGATTGTTTTATTAAAATGAGTTGAAATAAATTTTATGTGGAACGGTTGAAGAATTTGTCATTTAGGTTTCAAATAATATATTAGTTTAAATTAAATAGGAAAAAATGAAAATAACACAACTAAATATTAATATTTTTAATCATTGTTCTTAAAGTAAATCTGTGAATTAATGTGATTTAGATATACCTAAGGTTTGTAAAAGAAATATGCTAGTTTTTTAAATTTTAATTTGACCTAACTATTTATATAAAATTACATGTTTATTAACAAAAATCGAATTTCAACTCTCACCTTTTAAAAAACATTTTGTTTGTTTTAACCGTCAAATAAATGAACGGCGAAAGTTACTGATTTTTTTGACACCTTTTTTTCAAACAACACAAAGTAAATTACGTAAAGAAAGTTCAGAATAACTTAAAATACCTATAATTATGAGATATTAAAGCTGCTATATATGTTATATTTTTTAAATAATTCTATGAATTGGCGATTTAATAATTAATGCAGACTGCAGGACCATTTTTTTCAAAGAAATTTCGTATACCTGCAGAAGATAATATAAGTAATTAAAGAAGAAAAATCATTTCCCCTCATATATTCTCGTTGATAAGATATCTGATTTTATTACTGACTACACTCAATAATAAGGTTACAAAAATTTCACAATATCCCAGCAGTTTCGTAAATCAAATGTAAAAATTAACAAATCTATTGAGCGGAATTAATTAATTAACAAAAATTCTGTAACCTAAGTCCTAACGAATTCGTTTCCTAAAACTAAATACTGGCAGTTTCGAGTTTAACATTTATAGTCAACTTTACAAAGTGAGATGATTTTTGGATTTTCACCCTCTATATTCAATTTAATTATCATAATATTAAGGTACAATATTGATTGAACAACGAGAAAAAGTTCGAATTTTGATTGACACAAATCTGTGGTAGCCGAACTGATAGTGGTTGAAATATTTTTATAATAGATAATAAATAGCTTCCAAATGAAAACAGATCACGTTGAAGATTATTAATTTTTTATCTATTAAGTATAAGGCAATAGTTTGTCAAATTGTTTGTGTGTATGTATGTGTATGTATCTTTTTCCATCTCAATAAAATAACAATAAATTTCAAGCTTATAAAAAATAAAGCCACAGAGAAATTTCATTCCAATTTTATTAAAACCACTTAATGAAATCTGATCGTATTTACTAATCAATAGTACAAATGTGTTAAAACAATTGCATTCCACACAAACGAACGGTTTCCTTTCGATTTGCAATATTAAACTTGGATGGCGGTCAAAGGAGTATTATTACAAACGTTAGTTATAGAAATACATTATTGCAAAATTTTACATTTATTATATTTTAATAGCACATAAAACTATATATATTCTCATAATTATATTTAATTATTTGTACTGATGACTCAAGTGAATGTTGTTAGTGAGTTAGAAGTTTAAATTCCAACTGAAACAACAATCTAAAATGTACCGGAATTCTGACCTCAAGAGGTAAACAGCACTATAGAAGCTTAAAGTCGTTCTCGAAAATAAATTATTAAAAAAAAACAAAACCGTCAATTTCTAAAACCTGTATTAAGGTACCTAGATATGCCCAAAATATAATGTTTCCGACATCTTGTAACTTCTTAATAAATTCTAGCTACAAAATGTATTTTACAATCAATTCTAATATGCAAAAGCATTACTATAATCATATTTTTAATAAGAATTAATTAATCTAAAATATGAACATAGACTGTAGTACCTAAATGTAAAAATATAAATTTTCTTTAATCTGAGAATTAAATATTTGATCTATAGTTTAATATGTAGTATTGTAAACTTAGCGACGTATTATTTGGTTTTTTATTCAGGAAGGGTCATTAAAGGTGAAGTTGCATGTATGAACTCAATAAATCTCGTTTCTCTTAAGTTGTTCAACAAGTTTATTTCTAACTGCAATCACTCATACATAGCTATTACATGTATATGGTGGTGGAACATTTAATTATAGCTTTTAAATATAATATACTACAGATAGTTTACTACTAAAAATCAGAATACAGTTTACTTATTTCATTTATTTGTGTATATTTAAATATACTAAGTGGTCGTACCATAAATTCTGTTGCAATTAAAAAATAACTTGAGTAATAATAAAGAAATTGTTAATTGTATACGAAAGTTTATAGTGTGTATGATAAAGAAAATATTTGTAATCGCTATTTTCGTTTCATATAAAGAAGGTATGGTAAGGTATACTTTATAATAAAAAAGTATAATAATTTTTCAAAAATCTTTCAAAATCAAAATTACATCATTGATAATTCTAGTTAAGAAGTTCAGACTTCAGAGTACTTTAAAATAATTGCAAAGAAATTTATATGGTAATAAGGGACGAAGATTTTGAAATTAAATTACATTCTTATTGTAAGAAAAAAATGTGCACTTTAAGAATGGTTTGAATATTTAATATTGAAAATAACTTGTACAAATATGTACCGCCCTTCGCGGCTAGGCTGCTATTTTAAATTTAAAGTTTAAGTTATATATTTTGTCTTCAAAATTCGAAAATATCCAATAGACATATTACCGCAGATGAAAAGATGAGCTGTGTATTTTTTTATTTTTACGCTGTTATCTAAAATACTACAAAAAAAACATCGTGGTCAATGAAAACAATAATTTATTGCACTTGTAGAGTTCGTTTAAGCAATATATTTCATGCGATATATTGTACGTAGAAAACAGGAAAATATATTGAGCTACAGATTCACTAAATAGGTCTAGATATTACTTGCTGAGAAACGTAATTTTGAAAACATAATAAATATACCTTTAATTAATAAAAGAATGATCCCAAAGATATAACTTAGGCATAAAGCTACTTTTTTTTTAAATAATTTTTCATCGTATTTAAAAAACAAAATTAATTAATGAGATCTAAGATTTTCGCGAGTACACATTTAAATGAAACTAATATTTTCGGATTTTACTTCGCGTTTTATTTTAGAAACTACAAAATTAATTCCTCATTAGGATATAGATTCTAATAAGGTCACATAAATTCCACATCTATTAACAGCGAATTTTAAAATTAGCTATATTCGTTGCTTAAGTTAATTTTCGATTTAAAACATAATTAAACAATTTTCTTACTCCTAAAAAATAAAGGGAAAAATTACCTTGTACCATAACGTTGATCCTACATATAACAACGCGTCTTTTTATAACCGTAATACATTTTTATGTATAATAACAACAAAAAAGGGCTGGGCCAAAAGCACTTATTTTTTATCGTTATAAGCTTCCAATCGACGTAAACTGTATAATTATATTAAGTTAAGTGATTATAAGAATTCTTACATTAAAATTTTATTAATATGTACTTTCAGATAAAATGTTGGAAGGCACGAAGATAAATTCTCCTTCCCAAATGTCGAGTATATTCGACATCGCTAAAGACACCGTTTTATTCCTTCTTCTCTCCTGCTACTATATATTAGAATCCCTCTTTTGGACTCTCGTCCCAAATGTCATGAGGCCAATGAAAAGTCTTAAAGATGATGTTATTCTGATAACGGGAGGAGGCGGTGGAGTCGGCAGACAATTAGCTATCAGGTTAGCAAGACTTGGAGCTAGGGTCGTACTATGGGATATCAATAAAGAAGGTAAACAAATCTATTCAAATATAACCATATTAACACCTAATCAACTTTCGATACATCTAAATTAGTCAATTTGGGGTCAATGTAAACAACATCGTCGTGGATCGTGCAATTAATTGACAAAGTCGGAACTGCTTCTTAATTATGCTTAAAACTTTCGTGAACTAATGCTTCACTGGAAAATTCCATATCGTAATTATTGCAGCCTTGTGAAACTTTATGGCACAAATGAAAGGTGGTCAACAAAACCATCAACGGCGAAGCCATTATGCGTTACATGGAACAGTGTTGCAATATTATTATTTCAAGCTGTTATAATATATTTTTTTCATATGGCAGCATTAGAAAAATCCTGCAACGATTTAAAAGATGAAGGCTATGACGTGAGAGGGGATGTTGTAGATCTAGCAGATAAAGAATCGGTTTACGCCGCTGCCGATAAAGTTAAGAAAGAGGTATACAACACAATATGTATTTATATAAAAAATATATTCATACATTAAACATAGAATAATGCAGTAAACCGTAAATTAAAGATACGAAATCGTAAATAACAGACAATTACCGTTTGAAACAACGACAAAATTACCGTCAATTACAATATCATTTCGTATAATTACGCGACAATTTTCAATAAGTTATACAAACATTGTTTATAGCTATTATGAAGTAAAAAAAACATTACTTCAAAACTACATTATAACTTCAAATGTTTTCATAAATAAATGATATGATGACCACGAAATAGTAAAATTGGATTTGTTTTATGGCTTTTATATTTCAACCGCAGGTTGGAAAAGTTGATATTCTTATAAACAACGCTGGTGTCGTATTTGGTGAAACTCTATTGGATCTGAGTGATACAGCCATAGAGACAACATATAAAGTTAACATACTGGCACATTACTGGGTAAGAAAACTGTTTAAAATTTTAAGTTACACTATATGTATCGAAAATTAACAGTTTTTAATTCATAAATCTCCTCATATTATACCTAAGTATAGATGTAATTTATATCTGATACGGTAAATGCTTTGTTTCTATTGTAATGTTGCAAACGTGTGTCATAGAGATACAGATTAAAAATGTTTTTAATTTTTCCATCTGGCCAGGTATATTTCACAAGACATGAAATCCTTAAAAATATATTTATTTTTTCAGACAACGAAGTCTTTTCTTCCGGACATGATCAGTTCTGGTAAAGGTCACATAGTCACCGTAGGTTCAGTTGCAGGCTTGCTTGGAACGTACCGCTGTACAGATTACAGCGCCACAAAGTTTGCTACTGTCGGTTTTCATGAAAGCCTTTTCACGGAATTGAGAGTAAGATATATATTTATTTATAAGTGTGTATGATTTCATATTAAAATAGTTTTAGTACATTTATAAGGAAAAACTAACCACTAAAAATGTCATACAAAATCTATAATTATCATGTTTATATCTAACTAGCCTTCCACCCGCAGCTTTACCCGCGTGGAGTTCGGTTATATCGCGTTTCCAAGAGATCCCCTCAAAAATCTGGGATTACAACTATCCTGTTCTTTCTCAAGGTCAACTCTATCTCTGTACCAAATTTCATTAAAATCAGTTCAGTGGTTTAGGCGTGAAAGCCTAACAGACAGACAGAGTTACTTTCACATTTATAATATTTGTAGGGATTATCTCATATCTTTGTTTCTTTTTAGGCCCATGGTCATAACACAATATACTCGACTCTCGTTTGCCCGTATTACATAAACACGGGTATGTTTGATGGTGTAACTCCTCGACTCATGCCTATGTTGGAACCAGACTATGTAGCGGAGACTATGATCGATTCCATAAGAAAAAACGAAGTCAACTGCATTATGCCCGGATCTGTCAGATATCTTTTGCCTTTGAAGTGGTATGACATTTTAGTTATTTTTTTTGTAAATATTTTTACGGCTTTGGATACCGATCTTTTTGAGACCTATTGTTATAGATATTTGTAATATTGTATGAATATTGACATACTATCACAAAACCTTATATTTTATTGCAAATTTATTATATAAAATATATATATAAAAATGGACTGCTGTTCCTTAGTCTCGCTAAAACTCGAGAACAGCTGAACGGATTTATCTTATCTTAGTCTTGAAATGTTTGTGGAGGGTCAGGGAAGGTATAAAAGCTGAAAATAATTGATTCATTACTGGGAAAACCATAAATACAGCCCTTTTCTATTTCCCATATAAACGTTTTTTTTGACATTAGATTTGACAACTAACTAATATGTCAATCATCATGTCGCACTTCAAAACACGGAGATTTATGGCTTACAGGTAAACACCAAAAAAAAATAATAAAAAAACGTAATAGATATTTCTTGATTATAGGGCGATACGAAGTTCGCCAGGTCTTCTTGTATAAAATATATATTACGTACTTCGAATGATTCACGTATATGTTATCGGATTTTTGTTTTTTACAGCTTGCTCCCAGCAAAAATGTGTTGGGATCTAATGCACAGAGTAATGAAAGGGCCACAGTCTATGATGCATTTGAAAAGAAAACCTAAATTAAATTAATTGGAGTTTACGACAATTTATATTTTTCTATAGGTACATAAATCTTAAATTAAGACTGAATACTCATATTAACAAGTGTTTTTTTTAATCTGTTTTAGAGTTGGCACTATAAAATTTTTAATACATTTTTTAAACAACTTATGATGATTTTCTTTTTATGATAAATATTTAAAATATATATGAGGTAAATAATGACATTGTTTTAATAAATAGTATTTATTATATTTTATAATTAGAATAGGTCATAGAAATAGTCCAATCCCTGACCGAGTTCCCAAATAGCTACACCAGTCCGATATTCCCTGGCGAGCTCCAGTCTTTTATGAATTGAGTATAGTGTGGGGAAGAAAATCTTCTTAGTACCTTGTAATGTCCTGAAATAAATGTGAATGTCCTGAATTATATCAATAACTAGAATTAATGATGCTTCTTATACTATAAATTCAGATTCACATTTGTTGAATATGTATGGATTTTTGTTGTAATTAAATACAAAAAGTATTTTACAGATATCGATAAAAATTGATAGTTATTAAATTTAGTGACAAAATATAAGAAAGGTTTTAATTTATATCAAAATCAGGTGTAGTTTCTTCAGAACATTTGTATAACAGTTACATTATGTATCAAGTTACGCGATACACACTATAGATGTCGCTAGCAGTCGTGTATCAAATCTATTAATGAGATCTAATACTCTCGCGAGTGTTCATGTAAATGAAATTAATATTTTCGGATTACTATGCGTTTCAAAACTCATCTCCTCTGCTCGTAATCTCCCTTGCTGCAAATATCGAAACAAAACTTCGGGAATATGTAGTTTTAAAATAATGAAATTCATATAGTAATCAGAAAATATTAGTTTCATCTAAATACCCTTTCTATAGTTTTAACATTCGCTGACCTCAATTCCGAAGTCCACACGAGTGAAATTCCATTAAAAACCGAGTAGATGTTTTAATATACTTCTAGGTTCTAATATCAATGTTAATTTTCGTTGCCAATATCATAACTATTTTGTTTCTTACTTATATTTCTTTACTACTATTACTTTACTCTATACTAACCTTACTTCAAGATAATTTTCAGCAGTATTATTGTTGTATGATATAACCTGGTTCGGTTTAGCATTTTTCAACAATTCTATATATTCTGTACCAACAATAGGTCCGCCGCCATTCGCGGTATATGAGTTACCATAGAAATTCAAACCGAGTAATATTTTTGATCTCTTGGTTGGATTCTCATCATCGCCTATTAGTTTTTCAATGCACAATCTCAGCCAATAGAATGGTGCGTTGGGACCTGAAAGTATATATTAAGAATTGATAAAAAATGAAATAATACAAATATATATGAAAGTTCTTTTAGCTACACTATTTATAACTGAAATATTGTTGGCATATGGTTGAAAATTGAAGGGAAAATAGATTAGAACAAGAAGATGGAGAGCATATTTAATTTTGTTCGATCAAAACAGAAAAAAAACTTAATAAATTCCAATATTTGGTTATTTATGGCCTCTAGGGCGGAATAGAGTTCGCCAAGCCAGCTATACATGTATTATTAATTCCAAAATTAACGCGGACGAAGTAGCAGACAAAAACTAGTATAAAAATAAATAAAAGTAATGCTCCAAAATATACCCGGTTTTTGAGGATTTGAAAAGTCATATGTCATTACGGAGACCGCATCTACATAAGGATGGATTTCATTGAAGGCTTGAACAAAGAAGTCATCACTTGGATACCCTCTAAATGGAGGATACACGAGAATAAGATGGTAATTGTCCTCGCTCATCTCAAGACCTGTAACCAATAATAAAATATACTAAAACATACCAAATATTAATAGTATAAATGTCATAATCTTGTATTATTGTAAATAAATAGGATATAGTTTTTGCAATTTTAAAATGCATTATATTTGTTGATTATAACAGTAGATAGTAGTTTCATAGGAATCTAAAATATTTTTATATCACTTAAAATACCCGATATTCAGACATGTTTGTTTTCACTACAACATTGAATTTATTTTTATTATTTATAACAATTTTTTCAAGTTTTCTACTTACAAGGAGTAAAATAAATTAAAACTGATAAGAGATAGCAAAATTTTATAATCTTCAATCTAAATTGAATTTGTTTGTTTTACACTTGTACAGAATAATTTGAATAAGTTATTTTATAAACATATTTACCAAAGTGTTGTATAAACTTCACTGACTTGTCAATGTACTTTCCAATCTGAGAAAGCATTTCTAACACAATCCCGTCAAAACCCCATTGCTTACAGACTTTCTTGATTTCTTCAATCAATGCTTTCTGTTCACTGTATGACGATGGTTCGATGAAAAATGCCTTTAAATCTGACGGCTGCCAGTTTTCAAATAATAATCTGGGTACAACTAAAACATCAAAGATATAATTATTTATATATTCCATTCATTTACTATATGTATATTTTGATAGCAAATTTATTTTTTCATCATTCATTCATTCAATGAATATATGTTTTATTTTAAAAATAATTAAACCCAAAGAGAAAGACATCAATATGAATAAAATGGTCTATGTATTTGTAACTAATTTGCACATATTATAGAGTTATTGAGATTAACTGATTATATGAAAAAGTAATGATAATAAACTTCTTTATTTACTTCTTAAGCCAGTATCGGTTCCTTTTTGTTTAACCACCTTCATCCACGCATTATCCACATCGTGAAGACCAGAAATTATGTATATGTTGGAACTTTGTCTTTTAACTTGCAGCCATACAGGGGAAATATAATTAAATTTTGACGCCCATCTCTTTGCAACATCATAACCTTTATTGTTCCACTAAAAATCACAGTTAACTCCAATTAAGTTTAATTATTAATATGATTTGGACCTAGTTATAAGATACTTAGCATATATATCGATAAGACAATAATAGCAATGTAAAATATATAAAAACAATTTCATTAACTCACCGGTGTTACAAAGCCTAACACCAAATTATTAAAATTTTTTACATGTACGTCTTGATGATAAGTTGCGTGATATTTGAGTATATCTTTCACGTACGGAGTCTCAGCTACCAATTTTCGATCTAAAACATTATTTTTCCTAGAACCTTCTTGGGGTTTTACTTCTTTTTGTGATTTTTTATCGGAGGGAGGTGACAATGTTGCAAGGGATAAACTTGAAATACACAGGACTTGTAAAATTATAGTCAAACATTTCATTTTAAAATATCAAATCAAAGAACAATATCTGTATGAGAATAATCAGTAATAATTTTATTATTATTTTTTACTACACCGGCGTTTTATAACTTATAAGTGATGTATTGATATTAGACTTTTGACTATTTATTTGTTTTTGACAACTTAATTTTTTTCTGTTTTAAGGCACTTGATTCTAAGTATTTTAGATCTCGGATTTTTATATAAAGCTATGAAGGTGATTGCTTCATGTATTTTCCTTATCATTTAACTTTCATATTCTCTGTAAGATTTGCGTATAGAACCCTAAATTACAATTCGTTAGAATGAAATTCGAATTACTTGATTTATTCCGACGCTTATTTGAAGTTTTTGAAGTTTATTGTTGATCCAAGTATAATACTAATACCTGTTACAAGATACAAGTATAAGAAAATTCTGTTTATTTTTATCTTAATTAAATTAATAGTGTTTGCAAAAAACAATCGTCTTCTGTTTTACTACTTAATTTAAACAACAGTATTCAACGTAAAAAAGTGAAGATTTACCTTTAAAGAACCTTTAAGCTTTTACAACTTTAAAGGTAAATTTACAACTTTAAAAAGAAATACTAATATTTATTCACATAATTCGTTTTATTAAAATTATTTATTTTGAAATGAGAATATTATAGAATAAATATCTCAGCATATATTTTTTAAATGAAATAAATATTAGTCTTCGAAAAGCAATAAATCAATCCACATGAACATTAACATTAAGTTAAATATAAATTATTTTAAATTTTAACTATTTAGTAATAGGCTAAATGAAAAGTATTATAAAATAGTCATTAACTTCATTAAAATTAAATCGATTCTACTAAAATATAATATATTTCAATTTGTCCGTTTGCTTTTTTGTTTTTCGTTTGTTTACTCCTAACAAAAAAATTAAACTAGTACGAAACCTTATTTTTATATACGTACATTTATGTATATATATTTTTTGAAGCACCTGCAAATAATAATACCCTTTTGCCACGAAAACATGTATTAAATTTTAAACATTTTGGTAAATTAATAAATCGCACTTAGTCGGGTTCGCTGATTCACCTTATTAAAAAAAAGTAGTCTCGATGTTTTATGAAGCAGTTTAGTGTTACTTTGATTAATAGAAAAGTAATATAGCATTATAATTTTTATCCAGGTAATAATTTTATGATCTACAATTTTCTAAGCACTTTTATATATGTAATTAAAAAAGTTTTACAACTTACATTTTCTCTGTGTTGACAGTAAGGAAAGCTGTTGTTTGTAAAAGATAATTCAGTATTCGATCGTCTTCTGAGCCAACAACATGGTTCACCTTTCACATTTACAAATTGTGTTTATTATTACGATTTTAGGTATCCAAGATGATTTACATAAATGGATTTAGTCTAATATATTTTGTGATGTTTCGTGTTAAAACTGACCCTTTTTTCAGGTGTTCATGCAAAGAATATAGACAAAAGAAGTTTATCTGATTTAAAATGTCATGAAAATGGACGATTTTACAGGTATTTATATTAGAACTCTTATTAATTAAAAAAATACTTATATTAACAAGTCACTCTAAAAATAAATAAATATAAATTGTAAACATGTGAAGCTCCTCTATTTAAGCAAAACTTTTTAATGTAAACAATTTTTTTATATAATAATCAAAATTAACAAAACGAGAAACATAAATAATATTCATTTATTTGAAATATTTAAATAAATAGACTCGTTCTATTACTTTACAAGTAATTACAACTTTTCATTAATATTCAATGTTTTAAAAAATATATTTTTCAATCTTATTTATTGAAATAGTATTATTTTAAATAAGTAAGATTTTTTAAATGAAACAATATGAATAAACATCGAGCTTCTGTAAAACGAAGATGGGTGTGTTACTCAAATAATCAAATTCAACAAAACCGTAATAAAAACGTGTTTACACAGTGAAACTTTTTGCTTCTGAATGAAAGTTGGCTTGCAACCTAACTTGACTAACGTATGCCCGTAATATATCGCAATGACAAATGTTATCTAACGTTTGACAAATAAAAAATGTTTGAGATGTTTGTATGTAGATCGTAAACTAAAAAAAGTGCCTACAGGAAAGAAAAGTATCTAACTGGTTGTATACGGAATTAAACAACAAGATGCAATAAGTCCTTACCAAATGAGATTATTGACGACTGAATTAGAAAATTCATTGAAAGATATACAATTTCTAACATAAAATATTTGTTACTAATAAATAATTATGATAATTAGATTCACCTATATACCACTTTAGATGTTTAAAACAAAATTTATAACCATACAAAAAGCATCATCGCTAGTTCCGCAGTCGCGGTAAAATCAGTCACGCAAACAATTAACGCACGCGGCAATGCAAACTGAGGTCTCATATTTCCACGTGGACGTTGACCCCTTACTTTCGCTTCAACCTTGACAGTTGTAAACCGTATTTATTGTTAGTTCCTATCGCTTCATAAGAAATCCACTTTCGCTGATCGAATCGGGACAGCCGGTTCAAATTATTCCACATCATCAATGCTTTGACATTTCATATTTTATAAAATTATGTTTTAGGTACAGTTTCTGTCTTGATTTTTTATGTTCAGCGTTACTTCCATTGATTTCCTAGTAAATGGCTGAACTCTGAAGAAAGTATTTATAGTTTTGAATTACAAGTTATTACTCAAATGTTGCTATTATAAAATTACAATGGTTCAGTATTGTAATCTATACTAATATTATAGAGCTGAAGAGTTTGTTTGTTTCTTTGTTTGAAAGCGCTAATCTCCGAAACTACTAGTTAATTATAATCAGTCACAAAAATAGTTGTAAGGATTAAAATATATGTATGTATTATTAATAGTACGGCATGGATGTTCGTGTAATAATTACTTTTTATCTGATGCCCGAACTAGGGAACTGGCTGGAAATTAATTACAATAGCAGGATACTTTTAAATATTTTGAGTTCCATTCTTTCCGTAAGTGAAAAAAAATATACATATATTAAGAATTATGTATATTGAATAATTTTTTAGATGCTATTAATACATTGTAAAATAATATAATACCAAGGTATAAATAGTATTAATGATATTTTAGTGGTAGGTACCAAATATCACGAAGTAGAACAGGTTATAATTATTATGTTATATTAGCTATTACAAACTTTTTAGTACTTTTTCTTTAATGTTACTATATTTTTTTTTAATTTTGAAAATGAGTCAAACCTTTACCTGCTGTAGCCACTCGCAATAAAAAGCGTTGATTTACTGTTTATCACCTGATTTAGAGATGCATAACATAAAGAAATACATAAGAACCAGAACACTGAAATAGGAAAACACTTACTTTATTCTTATTTAAATTATGAATTTATTATTATTATTCTTCGAAATAATGTAAATAATATGGGTGTTTAAGTTTTAATTACTCTCGTAACGAATCTTTTTTTAACATTATGGACATCACGCAATAGTTGTGATCGTAAGACTTTCTTTCCTTATAATGGCATTTAAATGTTTCGTCGTGTTTCCATAAGTATACTACTTGAATCGCAATTACGAGACGAACAGCATAAAGCTCTATAGAAACTATTATGTTGCAAATGGATAATGCCAATCTAAAGGTTAACAAAATAGTAGGGTATATATCTTCTACACAACTAAGCTTCATTTGTTTATTACAAACAGAAATATCTAAATTTCGTATGAAATAAATGTGTTAGGAAATTTTACATTGTGTTTTCCGTTTTTACATTCTATAACTTCTGTATAATAGGCAGGTATATAAAATTATACATATGTATAAGAAAAATACGTTATAGATGATAGATTAATAAATGTAAAATTAATTATTACTAATGAAACTTTTTAATTCACAACAGAAACCCCGATCGTTCGGTAGATGACATGTGGACCAGCAACGAATGTTCTCGATACTACCTCTGCTTGGAGGGAGAGGTGTTTGAATTCCAGTGCTCTAAAGGACTATTGTTTGATGTCAACCGGCAGTTATGTGATATGCCGCAAAATGTTCACAACTGCGACGTAACAACAGGTAATAATAAGAATAATTGTGTCCTTTTCAAAAGAGAAATAAAATATTGAGTTGTAAAACGTCACCTTTGGTATCACACTATTATTATTGTGATATGTACTATAAATTATTGTGTTACTGTTATATTATTAAAGTTACATAGCTTAGAATAAGTAAGACAAGTAAGTAAGGTCATTACAGAGACGCTTATACCAAAACCGCAGTTAGAAAATGCTAAATGCGCGAACGCAACCCATCTGGGATGCGCTAACGACATGTGCTTGCCCGCTGAATACTTCTGCGACGGTGCCTTCGACTGTGAAGATAACTCAGATGAGGTAATAAACTTTATAAACGAAAGGCAGACATTTTAAAGAAATGCAACTTCATTTGTTAATACTGAGTGCGCTTGACTTTAATAGTTACATAAATGTGGAATGTCTCAAAAGAGTGTTCTTATGTAACAGAATCCCAATTAATTTCAATGAGATTTTACCATCGACCTGTAACTTTTAACGTAATATAATAAACATTACATACACGTTTTATTTAATATAATGTTTTATATTCAGTTATGTAGGTACTTTCACTTTATTTAAGTATACGTTTATAAGCAATTTCTTTTGTAGTGAGCGTAATTTTAACATGAATCACAATAAAATGTTAGTTTATTATTAGGAAGCAGGAAGTAGGAAGGTTAATTTCAAGTTAAAAATGCAACGTTGTTCTAGATTTAGCGATATCATGATGAAGATACATATCATTAAAATTTTGTACCTAGCTTTAACGCGCTTGAAAAAAGGTATATATTATAAAAAGTATGCAAAATATACAGTGTCTGCGCGCTCGTGTTAGTCTATAGTGTATAATGAACATGTGATCGGTTTAATTACTTAATGACAGGTGATTTAAATAAATCAATTAATATAACAGTCGACAGAAGATCATTGCTTGATTGGATTGGTATGAGATTCATATGTGCATGCATTTCATCGAACCTACGCCAATTTCGTCGACATTGTCTGTGTATCTCCCTAAATTTCTTCAAAATTTTCACGCCTGAACTAGATGTTTTCTAAATATACATTTCACTTAAACAAAACTAATATTTTCGGATTTACTGCGCGATTTTTATTTTTCATTGTAAACTATTCTCCCGACGTTTCGGTTATTTTACAGCAACCGTGATCACCGTGTAAATTCATTTAAATAAATACTCGCGAAAATCTTAGATCTCATTATAAATTTCACTTTTAAAATACACATACTTATAGGAGATTGAACACGGGAAACATTTATATGGAGTAAAACATTCTCACCATGGTAGTTAGTTGCCTTGAGAAATAAATGTGTTTTTAATAGACTTATCAAAATAGGGTTGGTGTGACGTCACCTACGATCCCAACGCTGCTCTTCCTTGCGATCCCGGATTATGTCTTTTACCGGATTGTTTTTGCACAAAACACGGCAACGAAACACCCAACCACATAGTTCCGAGTCAGGTAATATAACCATAGTCAATTTGTTATGATCTCAATTATTCTCATTAATAAATTGACTTAAAAATCGTAGACACCCCAAATGATCACACTAACTTTTGACGGTGCTGTAAACCATGAGAACTGGGATATATATACAAGACAACTCTTCACATTGGACAGAACTAATCCCAACGGATGTCCTATAAAAGCTACATTCTTCGTATCACATCCGTACACCAATTATAGACACGTACAGAAACTATGGAACGACGGTCACGAAATCGCTGTTCATTCAATCACGTAAGTTGTTGTGTTATACTTATTAATAATATGTTATGAATAAATTTTTAAGTAGTCTAATCAGAATATAAATCATAGCCATCGTGGTCCAGAGGAATGGTGGTCCAAAAACGCTACAGTCGAAGAATGGTTTGACGAAATGGTCGGACAAGCAAATATAATAAACAGATTCGGCAAAGTTTGGATGGAAGACTTCAGGTGTGATATCTATAAATATATTTTATTTGATTTACTTGTTTATTGGTGCAAGTATCAATATTATTTCTTTCAGGGGTCTAAGGGTTCCGTATCTGTCTGTGGGTTGGAACAGACAGTTTCTGATGATGCAAGAATTCGGGTTTGTTTACGATGCTACAGTTGTAGCACCAGCGGTTGACCCGCCTTACTGGCCGTATACTCTGGACTACAAAATGCCTCACTCTTGTACTGGTAAATCTTAAATTTCTATCAGTTACAAAACATAAGCACATAATGTTCTATTCTTAATTAAAAATAAACATGTTTATTAGAATAAGAAAGTCGTAATAAGTTTGTTTCTGTTAATTTTTTAGTAGTTATTACAGAGTATAAAAAAGATGCGTGAGATCTTATGTAAAATGTTATTGTTGATAGAATTTTATTCCACGATAAATGAATCAATGACTTCATAAATAGATTACAACATCGAATGACATAAAAGGCTATTAAAGAAATTAAAGTTATTTAATATATCGAAATAGGTATATGACATTCGGTTCTAATTTTGAAAATGACGATATTATATCAGTTAGTTAACAATTATTTTTTTTGGCGAATTACATAGATTTTTTTCGTCTACCGACTGTTCATGTTGATATATTTGAAAATAATAATTATTTATCTTCTAGGAAATAATCAGTACTGTCCAACAAGAAGCTATGCAGGCCTTTGGGAGATGGTCATTAACCCGCTAATTCACGGAAAACATGTTTGTGCTACATTAGAATACTGTCCAACCACTCTCAACGGAGATGACATATATCAGATTCTGATGAATAACTTCAAAAGGCATTATTTAAAAAATAGAGCTCCGTTTGGAATACATCTGAACGCGACTTGGCTAAAAAATAATGAATATTTGACAGCTTTCAAGGTATTGAAATAGTTTTTTTACACAAGATATAGTGACATTACACATTAATTTCAAGAATATATTGAAAAAAATCTTTATCGTTACATAACTTTTAAATAGTGAAAAATATTTTCCCACATCAATCTATGTTTTAATCGGTAGATCGTTATTGTTCTTCTCAATTTAAATTAACTAGTTTTCTTTCTTTATGACTTTAAATTACACTACTACGCCTCATCCCATTTATAATTCGAATAAAAAATATTAAAATTATATTACGATTAGATGTAGTACATATAGAAGACATAATTATGTAATGAAAATTTGAACATAACACATACAAGATATACCTACACCATATTTGTATGTATTCATTTTAAAAAGTGAAAGTTAAATTCATAATTGTGTGTTACAGAAATTCACAGATGAGTTGCTAAAACTCGATGACGTTTACTTTGTGACATATCGCGAAGTCATTGATTGGATAAGAAGACCAACGCCAGTGTTGCAACTAAAGAAATTTCAACCATGGCAGTGTAATAATAAACAATTCCAGGAATCTGATATTGCTTGCAGCAAACCCAAGACTTGCAAACTACCCTCGAAAGTTCTAGAACATGATAAATATATGATAACTTGCATGGATTGTCCAAAGAGTTATCCGTGGATTAGAAATGAGTTTGGTTTAGAATAGATAATAAATAAACAGCCACAGTACATTGAAGTTACCATTCATATAAGATTTGTACATTTCATAATTATAATGTTATATGTATAAGTATAAATTTTAATTTATTTTATCATAAGTAGATATTTCTAGTGTGTAAAAGACTGTGATGATTTGAAAGATTTCTAACGCCTGCAGTTTGTGTTCTGAATTTTCTTTTGTACATTAATAAATATTTTAAAAATATGTTTAAATGTTGTGAAAATATTTGAATAAAACAGATTTTGATGGTCTTAGCATTTACTTATTATATTTAAGTCAAAAAAACAATTATTTTTATCACTCTTGCGTTATAAAAGGGTTTGGTATTGCCTCCATTCCATCCATTGGACATATTAATACTACAGAAGTCCCTCGGCACACAACAAGCCCTAATGCCCTTGTATCATCCACAAGCTTATATGGATCATCTGGATCTGAAAAACAAGGGTTTGAAATTTTATTAAACAGAAATAATTTATAACTACTTAATAATCAAGAAGAAATTTTATAGTCAGTGGTGGCCTATTGGTTAGAGGGCCCGCCTCTCGTTGCCGAGGGCGCGGGTTCGATCCTGACCCGGGCAAGTACCAATGTGATTTTTTCGGGTCATATGTACTTTCTAAGAGTATTTAGACACCACTGACAGACGGTGAAGGAAAAACATCGTGAGGAAACCTGGACTTATAATTTCACAATTATAAGTTTGAAATCACCAACCCGTCTTGAGCAAGCGTGGTGATTAATGCTCAAACTGAAATAGCTCAGTAAGAACATTCCCAAAAATGGGTTGATGTCAGGCAGGCGGCCGGTCGTAAAAAACAATTAGCCGAAACTATCTATAACATGTTCTGCGGAAGAGTTATTTTTTTTTGGCAGACCCTGGCTAGGGCTGGGAAAATGCCAGGAAGAAGAAGAAGAAGAATAATCAAGAAGAAATTTTAATCATACAATATCATTTCATATAAAAACTTTTATTATATAATGTTAACACAACAGTAACTTGAAGTCAAACACATTATTTTTTTAGTTATTTTAATTAAACCTATTTGAATGTAGTTTCAATCAAAATAGTAATGATAAGGTGCTCAAAACAATTATTATAATGTTAAAAGATTTTATGTTCATACAAAAGAATAAGATAATATAGCCAGGAAGAGAAGGCATACTTATTGAATATTAAGGTAGTGTAACAAAAATATGAATACTCAATTTTGGAAATAAACTTTTGATAAGTAAATAAATGTTATCTCACCTCTAAGGAATTCTGTTGTATTGTCTAACACTAAGTTTAATAGAGGATCGTATCCTTTAAGAATTCCCGCCGCTTCTCGTCCGCCAGCGAATTTAACACGAATACATTTCTCGAGATATTTGCTTAAATCTAAAATAGATTCTTTTCTACGTTTCTCTTTATTGTCGCCACCACCTTGACTTGACTGAAAGTTAATGTCTCATTAGAAAATTAAAATATAAATAAGACAAAACAAGTTTGGTCAGGTTAAAAACATTGCTTACTTTAGTTTTATCTCCTTCCTTTGAAGCCATGTTTCTGTTTTGCTTATTGGATTTTAAACTTAACTTATAATGTTAAAAGAAGTTAAATCAATAATATTCATTAATGTAACAACAAAATGTATTAGGTTATAAGCCCGGTTATTTGGTTTAATAGTCGGATACAATGTGAAATGACATTATTGGCATATTTTGTTTATTCGTACGTCAAAAAGTAGCACAGATATAAGTATAAAGAGAAACAAAATCATTTTGCAAATTGCATCAACAGCAACCTCTATGGACGAGTAATTTATTGTTATTTCATTTACAAGTACGTAAATTACAAATATTAATAAAATGACATGAATAAATATTTCTTTTTTGTCAATACCTACCTTTTAGTGTCTAATGCTGCTGTCAGCTGTAAAAGCAACAAACTTTACAAACGTCACAAGTAAAACTAAACAGTGGTCAATAATTAGAAATCACTATTCACTAATCAAGTAATCAGTTTTCTTTACACGGTTTCGCTGTTGATACAGTAGAATAAGTTTATTTAATCGTTAACATTCTTATAATCTGTAGTAAATGCTTATTATACAAAAAATTAATGGCCAATATGTGGATTGATGATTGTCGATATTGAAATTGTATTCAATGCGATCTTCGGTGAGCTACATATTATCTCACGCGCCTGGAGAGTCGGTGATGTCGCACCCGGACTATGCACAGCACGCCCAGCATCATGCATGCCTGTTGGTGCTCGTTAAAGGCATTGGGGGCGTGCTTAAGAATTTCAACAAACTCTGGGAGCGGATACAACGCGTCAATAATATTAAAGTAACTGGTATGTTAAACATTATTATCACACAAAGAAGGTACCACAATTTTTTTTTTAATATTATATAATAAAACTTATTATTTCAATAAACTTTATATATCATTGATGTATAATATTTGTAGATTCCTCTGGTCAAGTGAGAGATATTTGGGTAAGATATGTCCGAGATTATCCGGTTGAGAATAATGATTGGGGAGACTTTCAAACACACAGGTTTAGTAACAATTATTGTTATTATTAATGTATTAATGTAACATTAACAGAGTATAAAATATTTAACATATAAATACTCTTTTTTAGGAGATTACTTGGCCTAATAACGCTAAGTAAATTTGCAAATCAAATAGAACTGAACGAGGTCTGCAGAGTTCATGAATCATTAAAAGTAAAATATTCCAACACTTTATATGACTCTCGTGCTTTTATGTTTGGTCCGGGGAGCAACTTGAAGAAACCTGAACAGGAACCTGAGACTTATAGCTTCTATGAAGATGATAAGACTAAAGAAAAAACCAGTTTGAGTGATAGGTGAGTGTTCTTGTTTGAAAATGGCATTTTAACAGAAGATTTGGATAAAGACAAGTCTGTAACATATTTTGTAGCATCTTTAGCTTATTGAGGGTATATTTCTGCAACCAACATGAAATTCATATAGGCCATATGTATATTCTCACATATTTGTATATTGAATATCGCATTTTGTAATGATTGTATGTTTATAAGATGTAAATTACACTCAGCAAAGATTAGTGTACTTAAATATGTGAGTTCCCATTTCATTGAGCATAAAATTACTTTTATTGCTATAGGGGCCATTCAAGTATTACATCAGCAGATTTATTACAATTATTTACCCCCCCATCCCCCTTGTCAGCAAAAGTAAGCAAAGCTCTTATCCCCTCCCCCCATGCTAACTTAAACATTTTCAATTACTGTATTGTTTTTTTTTTCAAATAAATCCAGAAGAATAATATAATTATATTTTTTTATGGATCTACTTGATGTAACGATTGAAAAGTAAATAACTACCGATGACGTAATCATCATCTAGACTCCCCTACCCGCCATGTCATTTAAAATAAGCAAAGCAAAGACCCCCCCGCCCCTCTATAGTGCTTACGTAATACTTGAACGGCCCCGTAGGGTTACCTATTATAAGTATGTCCTATATTTATTAATACATTTCCTTGTACAGAATATCTTTACCCAGTGAAGCAGCAGACAGTCTTTCTTCCTGCGACAGCATTGGCCAGTCTTCATCATCAACTTATTCAGTTCAAGAGGAGAATTTCACAACACCATCGAATTTCAAAACCCATGCTCTGTTCTATGGGGAAAATGACCCCGTACCAGATTTAGAACAACATGTTGCTGAACTTATTAACTCCTTGTTTTGGGTTGTGGAATCCAAAAGACTGGAAAGATCGAGAGAAAAATTGGAGAAGGTGTCTTTATTACTCGCGCCGTTCGAGAAAAGAGATTTTGTTGGTAATGACATCATATTAAATGTTATTTATTTATTTTTGTTTTTTTTTTGAGCTAAAATAATTTTGTCGTAGGTCTCGATATGGAGTCAAGGAATAATAAAAAGCGTTGTATGGGCAGAGTGACAAAGAATCTAGCGGATTTGACACTGCAAGCTGGTTTGGTGCCTGAAGCACTCAGTCTATATAATTCTGCGGGTGAAATTCTTAAATCTGTCAACGATTGGCTTTGGTTGGGTGCAGCGAAAGAAGGTTGTATATTTAACTCATCACTTATATTCAAACACTATAAGTTATGTTAATTGTCAAATATTTGTTGTAGGTCATTGCGTAACCTCGGCCATAATTCAGTATCCCCACTTACGTAACTCAACTCCGCTCCAAAGAAACGCGAGCTTACAAGAAAGTTCACCGAACAAAACAAAACCGCTATCACTATACCAGCCATCAAGCGAGCCGTATCGGAAGTTTAAACTAAACTTTTCTCCGTTAAAAACATCTAAAACATCGAGTCCTATTAACGCGCCGAATGAATTAACTCCGTCATCATCGGAGAGTATAGAAACATCGTCAAGACAATCGGAAACCGATAACGCCGATACAGAATCTCTGGCTTCGTCGACCGATATCGAATATCAGAGCCAGAAGTCCTATTTGAGCCCGGACCTTCCATCTATCCCGCGACAACCGACCTCAATACACACCATGTATTTACTAAGCGGCGAGGAAATAGCAGAGAAATATCGCAAAGCCACCATACATTACAGCAAATATCAAAACGCTGGTATCATAGAAACGGAGGCGTGTTTCAAAGCAGCAAGAATAGCTGTCGAACAAAACAACACTTTGCGAGCCTCGAGCTTCTTACAGAACGTTATTTTCATAAACTTGACGCTAAGCGAACAGGAAAAGATACAAAGGTTTGACACGCTCGCGGAACTGTACAAGGAAATAGGTGAGAATACCCTAAAAAAATATTAGCCAATAAGAAAAAAGTTCTGAATAGTTTTGTGCACTAAATTTATGTATATGTCGGAGATAGTATAACCCTCAGGATTTGTAAAACCGGGTGACATCAGTATAACTGACATCATAAATGTATTTATCAAGAATAAATGTCGTCTAAATCTCATAAGTCATACTATTAAATGTAACGCTGTAGGCGAGTTGACGAATCCTTTATTTCCAAGAGATCCTATCCCTGGAACGGCTCCAGCGATACTATTTTTAAGAGATTAAGGTTAGAGATACCCTCGCCGCTATTTATATCAACCAACACTCATTGTTATGGCTACACAGTTGGTTACACGGGTGACATTTAATATAAATAATTTATAGTTTTTTTCGTAATCCCGGATGGCACCTGATAATTTCAACTACCTTTAATTATTGCCAAAATATTAATATTACGTCTATATTGTCAGGTTTTCTCCGCAAGGCAGCGTTCTGCCAGCGTCTGGCTGCCACTCGCCAGGTGAGCGCCAACAACCCAAACCCTGACTGGCCCCGCTGCTACCACCTCATGCTGCACAGCTTCCCCGGACATAAGATCAGTTTAGACCCCAACTACGCTGTACAGCATCAAGTCGGTGAGTTTACAAGCGGATCTATAGAAAATATATGAAATTACGTGCAATATATACATATATAGATTATAAATTAAGTAAATATATGAGTATGTATATTATTTATATGAAATGTTATTCATTATAGTCAAAACTTATATTAATTAACCATACTGTACGTTTAATAAAATAAATATTATTACATCAGTATCCGAATTACAAGTTTTGTTTAATCACACTACATACGGAACGTTTCCAGTTTTATACTATTATTTGCGAAGTTTGATTAATAGAAAACTAAAATCGAACTGCATCCCCACATATTATGATAAATAATGATTGTAATTTCATAGAATACCACTACATACGGAGTGTTTCTAGTTTTATACTATTATTTAAGAAGTTTGAGTAACAAAAAACTAGAATCGCACTGCATCACCTTAATTACGAAGAACACTTATTTTAAGTTCATCGAATACAATAATAGTAGTATATTAATATTTTTTAAACTGCCTTTGGTCGAACTGCATCCCTACATATGATGAATAATGATTGCAAGTTCATAGAATACAATAATAGTAGTATATTAATCCACTTTAAACGGCCCCAGGCTGGCCGGCCCTTCAGATTCAGCTGCTCCACGAGCTGGTAGTGGCTGCCCGTCGTATGGGGCACCCCGCGCTCGCGACACGACATATGACCTTCCTACTTCAGACCATGTGGCCGCACCTCTCACGACAGGAACACAGAGATCTGGCTATACAGCTACAGGTAAGAGGAAAATATATATATATATATATATATATATATATATATATATACTAGATGACCCGGCGAACTTCGTATCGCCCTATAATGAAGAAATATCTATTACGTTTTCTTAATAAATAAATTTAGGTCATACCTTAGCCTCAGAAACACGTGGTGGTTATGCTATTATTAAATAGTAGCTCATACATGACGTTTGTATTTTTAACACAGCGCCATCTCTTGAATACTTACTTAACTCAGTCAACATATAATTGTAATAATGACAAATAATTTTCTTTAATAGACAAATAATTTGCAATAAAATAATATTATGACTATAAATTGAGATGTAAGCTATCCTATCTTTCAAGTTGGATCAAAATGCACACGGAATGCAAATCATATTTAAAATCGGTTTAGTAGTTTAGGAGTCCATCGCGGACAAACACGCGAAATTTTTATACATATAAATATATGTATGTATGGCATATAGCAAGAACAGTTACTATGAGACAAAAAGCTATCTTGCATATTTTAACTAGCTTATGTTTACGAATTTTACGACCCACAGGAGACCCTTAGAAGAATATTTCACAAACCCCATGATTTTCTAATCTAGATCTAATAAATATAGCTTCAGTTCCGCAGTAAAGGTTTTTTAAAAGAAGGCTTAATCTAAAAAGTTTAGAACTATTAATTTGATAATTAAGATGGTATTAAGATGGCATCAAATGGTATTGCGTCCATAAATGTTAAGCTGTTTTTATCGAGTTTTTTTGCAATATTTTTGGTTTAAATTGTATGGAGATTTTTTGGAAAATGGTATTGGTATACCAATGAGTTTGAATGGAATCTCAATTTCCAATATCTAGAGATATATTAACTAACTGTCAGTATATTTTCAGGCTTTATCAGCGCAATGTGAAGGCGGTCCCGTACCATTGGTTCTCGAAACAGGCGAAGTCATTCCACCAGCGAATCTGACGCATGTTCCTACATGTCTGTACTTCAACCCGCGACCATTACCACCAGCTCGAACGCCGCATCTAATAAAATCGAAATCGAACCAAGGACCGTTTATATTCACACCGATACATTTTGGCAGTCTCGAGAGAAAAACCAAGAAAGATGAAGGAAAAATGGGTGAGGAACTTTGGTGTAAATGCGGCTGAAACAGAAACTATATAATAATAATAATTTCTTTATTTGTGCAACATATGCCCACTTGTTAGTATTTTTTTCACCATTAAAACTATGTTAGTCTAATAATAATAATGTCTAAATTAACAACATATTTCAGAATTAAAAATTAAAAAGATAGCCACACACCAAACGGATACCACATAATTAATGTTAGGATTTACAATCAATTACATATACTATCTAACAAGTGGTAATAATTAATAATGATATGAATTCTATGTTTACAGAATATCTATGGGTTGAAGACGATATATGTGAAGTTCAGATGAAACTGACTAATCCCCTACCATTTGAACTGAAAGTATCAAATATGCGACTTCTGACTTCTGGGGTAGTTTTTGAATCGATACCGGAAACAATAATATTACCTCCCGATTCCCCTACTACAGTCAATCTTCACGGTACTCCCAAAGAAGTCGGCGAACTTCTCATACTAGGCTACTCGACTCACACTTTGGGCGTGAAATCTAATTGCAGACTCAAAAATATGCCCATGCCGCATAAATTTCCCTCAGCATTTTCTATCGAGGTTATACCAAGTTTACCGAAAATCTCCATAGAGACGACACTCACGTTATCCGGTAACGTGAATCTATCAAATCCAGAAATTTCAGCCAGCGTCACTAATATATCGCTGTATAACGGAGAGAGCACCGAATGTACCATCAAGATAACAAACACGAGCAACGTGGCTATTGAATACTTAGAGCTATTAATTCAGGTAGGAAAAATATTATACGAACAAAGAAAATCATATTATCCCAATATTCTGTACGTATGTTTATTAAAAAGATAGTATCAGAATATTTAAATAAAACTACTATTTTTAGATATACTAAAGTACAGTTGTACGCAAAATATGATACATAACTTTGCAACAAGTTTGGCCCGTGATCGCGGTATCTGCAAATTTAACGAAACTTCGGGATTATTTTATTTAAAATAATAAAAAACAAGTGGTACATCTAAAAATATTAGTTTTATTCAAATGAATTCTCGCGAAAGTTTCAGATATCACTATCAGAATACTTAAGTATCTAGGTCTTGTTAGTATCTAGTTGACTCTTGAATATCAACTAAGCTCCCTTTAATATAAATATATCTAATATATAAAAAAAATATTACAATAATCTTTCAATATTTTCAGTCAAACATGGACAATCAGTTACAGAGAAAAGTTTTCCAGTGGTCAAATGAAGAAATCCAATCACAGCTGCCTATAAAACCTAACGACGTAGCATTGATACCTATAACCCTTTACGGCGAAGCTGATTTCCTTGATCTAGGAGGTGAAAACATTTTCCCCAACAGCCTGACATCAAACTACCCTTCAAGAGTCGGTTCCCCCGTACCAAATGCTCAAACATCACTACCAACACAAAGTTCAAACCAACAAAATTCTCTTAGTAGCGGGCTCATGGTTAATAGAACGTCTGGTAGTTTCAGGTTAGTCTGATACCGTAATTACTTCGTTTTCATATTTTAATGCTATCTTCATATAGCAATGGCTTAAATATCAAATCCATTACAATTCTATAAGTACCACATAATTTGCAGGTTCAAATCCCAGCCCATGTAAATGATTTTTTAATTATTTATAACATTTTTATTGTGTTTACATAGTTTAAGAGAAACCGTTTTGGTGTTTATCTACATATTTGTATTGTTTGTAGATCTTCTAATTCTCAAACAACAAGCTGGTCAGCTCCATTATCAATAATGCCTCCATCAAGAGGTCGGCAAATTGAAACACAAGTAAGAAACTACTAATGTATTATGACCATTAAATAAACTCAATTTTTGATACATTACAAGTAATGGGAACATACATACATATTATATACATATAGATAATATCATATACATAAAATTTTTCTCTTTAATCAACGTAAAACTAAAGTTTAATTTATATTATTAATTATAAGAATAAAAAGTCAAATGACAAAAAAATGATAATTTCTACTACTAATGAAACTAAAATTTATAGTAAATATATGGCAAATTTGTATTAAGAATTTTAACTTTCATTGTGTATACAGAAATTTCTTTTTTCTTACTTTCTTCGAAAGTATTTTTAGACACCTGTTTAAAGATACTATATTGAAACAGAATCAAACAAGAACATAATTAATTATTCATTGCTATTATACTCAACTTCCTTTAATACATATATTTTCAGATTATTCTCAGATATTCCGGCGGCGCTGGAAAAGATATGCATTGTCGTCAATCAACATTACAAATGAACTTAGAACTATTGCCAAGTGTTTCAATCACACACTGGGATGTGTTGCCCGCTGAAATGTAAGTGTATATAGATTTAAATATCATATATCCTATGAATTTCGAGAGTATTCATTGAAATAAAACTAATATTTTTCGGAAAAAGTCACGTTGTAAATCCGAAAAATTTCAATCAGGTGTCCTACTATTTTTATAGATATGAAAAATTATGAGGACGGATGTTTTCTTGTTCTTTCAAAAAATTCATAAAAAATTACCAAAGTTTTTATCATGAGACGTATCAGTAATGTAGATTAGAAATCAAATTATCATATACCATAATTTTTCCTTTAGGCCTCCAAGTTTGCGTGTGAACATAATTATAATAATACTAGCTTTCCGTCCGCAGCTAGAGCTAGAGTTTGGTTATATCGCGTTTCCAAGAGAACCTTTCAAAAGTCTGGTATAAAAACTATCCCATGTTCTTCTCAAGGTCAACTCCATCTCTGTACCAAATTTCATTAAAATCAGTTCAGTGGTTTATGCGTGAAAGCGTAACAGACAGTCAGAGTTACTAACGCATTTATAATATTAGTAGGGATTTGTAAACAGTATTAAGTCACATCACACACGCTAGATGTCGCTGACGGTTGATATTTCTATTATATTAAGTATATATTATTTACTTCTCGAAATTTCGAATACAACACGAATGAAGTCGCAGGCAAAAACCAGTATAACAAGATACATACAATTTTTAGAATAAGGAGTAATATAATATAAAATTGATTATTTTGATTTTATTAATTCCAGACCGAGCCAGCTATACTTGGTCTTAGATATAACAAATCTAACTAATGAAGAAATGGACTTTGAATATGCTCCTTCGAAACACATATTGATTGAGGGCAAGGAGTCTTGTAGAGTTCCCGTGCCCCTTGATAGATGTCCATTCACATCTACAGCTGTTAAAATAGAAGATGGTATGTATAATATTTTATATAGAAATGAATAACAAAAGTATACATAATGAGATGAGAAACTTATATTATACTACGCGTATTTCGGTTTATACGACGACACCTCGTCTTTCTGTAATCACGGTTGCTGTAAAGTAACCGAAACGACAGGAGTATACAGTTTTTTAACATAATAAAATACGCGTATTAAAATCCGAAAAATATCATATTCATTTCTTATTGTTTGCAATACTTAATATTCTTTATAATAAATCTTTACCTTTAGTACGGATTCGAGTTTTCATTGCATTATTTATATCTTGTGTATTGCAATCTTATAACTCACAAGTTCAATAATAATTAGTTTTAAAATAATTTAAATTTTCATTTAAGTGTTGACAAAAAATGTTTGACATTTTTAATGATTTGTAATTATTTTATTCCAGCTGATTCTATGGAACCAAAGTCAATAAGCACGGGTACATCCATAAATAGTCTAGAGGTTATGTGCTCTGAACATTTAACTAAGAATGTTGATTTAAAGTGGCATCTGTTACAATCAAACATTAACGGGCGTGCCTCTGTGAAAGGTATTACTCTGTCTCAGTCTATGATGGATATTGTCAGGATGTCACCATTGAATTGGGGTAAGATAACATTAATATCTTTAGTAATAAAGTCAGTACTCGCAAATAACTAATTAAATTTTAAGTAGAACAAACTAATTATTATCTTAAATCAAAACACCTTCAATAAGTTACATTCAATTTACAAAGACACTTTTGCATCAACCAAATACTTTCCCGCGTAAAAGTGAGCAAACTAAACATCATCGTTTTAACATCACTCCGGTAGCATTCGGAATTATGAAAATTCGATTCAAAATAAACATGTGTTCCCAAAATATATAATTATTCTATTCATAAATATTCTATATACGTACCAAAATTACTATAGGTACCTTAATTTAGACTTTTTAGGGATATTGAGACTATTAGTGCCCATAATACATTAAAACTGTTTCGGAAAAACTTAGAAGCTAAAATTTAAAGCTCAAAAAAATTACAGTTGTTTATTAATATTTTTTTTTCTATAGAGGTAAGCCTAAACAAGCAATACATAAAGCCTCAAGAGGAATACAACTGTACTGCTGGGGAATGCCTGTTTCTTGGGGTTGCTGTGTCAAACCATCTGAAGCGACCCCTACATAAATTATGTCTATCTGTGCAATTCTATCAGGACTATAACAATGGCGTGCGCAATTACAAACTCGATAATAGGGTCGCCACTGCAGGAAATAATAAGTGAGTCAGAAATAATATATATTTTTATTAATAATATAAAAGATATGAAAACCATAATTAATTTGGAACATATAACAAAACTAACTTTAATTATTTAGTATGTAACCATGAGTTAGTACTGTCAAACTAGACACGAATAATTGTTTTTATTCATTCATATAATTATATTCCTTGTTTGTTTTTTTTTTTTTATTTAGCTAATATTGCTAATTTGTGGTAAGATACTAATACATATTATATTCTGTTTAAGGGTGGTTTTAACTACATTGTCGGAGTCAGCGAAAGCTTATCATGAGTGCACCGTTGTATTCTTAACGCCAGGAGAATATAAAATAGACATTCAATGTTCAACAACTGAACCAATATTGGATGAAGTATCAGTTGCTAAAGATTTACCCAGTGTGCAATCCTGTGCTGAAGAAATAAGCCATACTTGGAGATTCATCCCACCTGTGGCAATAAGTGTTACAGATTAAATTATTCCATATATAATTTATTTACCGAAAGAGTTTTTTTCATAAATCCATTCCAATAACGATTTTTGTAATAAAAAATTTAACCAAAGTATTGTGTTATGTTCTCCATTATATTATATAATTTGCGACAGTATAGTATGAAATAGAATTGAAAAACTATATCTAATTATATAAAAAAAGTTACAATATAATATTGTAGTTATGTAAATCCAAAAATTCGCAACTTCGTATACAATTAAAAATTATTTTTACTAATACACCAACTAAGACTTCTGGCTTGAAAATAACTACGTGTCTAGCTGAAAATTTTAAAAGGTTTGTCGTAGTACCCTTGCGTTTTCAAGAATATCTTTAAAATAAAAATATACACTGTGCCAGTGAAAGTCATGTACATATTTTTTCATCTATTATGAATTTACTAAAAAACTATTTTTTTTATATAAGTAAGTATAATAACATTTTTAACACTTGGTTTTTGTTTCTCAATACGTACTAGACCCATTCAATAAAAGTGATTTTTAATGAATCACGGTTTATATAAAAACTTACCATAAAGGTAGGTAAATGCTGGTTTTACATTAATTGATTTATAGTTTTAGTTTTGGTATAAAATGAATTTACAGAATATAATTATTAAACCTTTTCTCGTGAAAAAATAAAACGAGATTTCAACGTTTTGCTCTCCGTCCATCTTGATGTTTAATACCTTAGCAAAATGTTTTGTAACAATGTAAAACTCGAGTTTCATAAATGAGTATGAATTTAAAATATCTCATATAGATAACCCATGTTGAAAATGCATCTGATTGCACCTACTTTTATTTACAAATATGTATATTTAACTGTCATTTTGACAGTGACAAATGACAATTTACAATCGATATTTCGTAAAATAGGTACTTACTTCGTTTACGGACGCCTTAGTGTTTGTTGTGAATTATTTAATTTAAATTTATTTATTTAATAATGACTTACATGCATTGTGTAGTTCAAGGATGTAAAATAACCATTTTTAATAAACCAATAGGTGTCACATTTCATAAGTAAGTTAATCAAATGTATAGATTTAGGATCATACATATGAACTGCCAGGAATAACAATTATCAGTTTTACATTACAGTTGCCCTACTTCTCACGAAATGAGAAACAAATGGCTTCATGCTTTAAGAAACAAATGCGCTGTCCTTGATTGGTCAAAAAGCAGAATATGTTCTAAGCATTTTGAACACAAATATTTTGATGCTCAACGAAAACTAAAGGAAAACGCTATTCCGACACTGTTTCCACTTAACAAACTTCTCAGGGTACTAGATCTAATATTTTATAATTTTTACCATTATTTTAATATTGTTTGAACCTTATTATCTAATATTTTAACTTTTGTTAAAGCTCTACTTTGTCCTTAATTATTAAAAAAAAAATTAAACTTTTTATAATAACATTAACAAATATACTCTCATATTTTTATGTTCCAGTCTTTATATAAAGATAGCTACTTGATTTAATATAATATTTATGTATAAAATACTGTTAATAGATTTTTAGGAATAATTGTGTGTATAAACTTCACTATTTTAAAATAATAATATATGTAATTTATTGTAGCCAAATGAACTATCGTCGAAATTTAAGGTGGATAAACTGTTGACCAAAGTCAGCCAATCAGAGCTTATGAATGACATAAGAAATAGTATAAATAAAATTAAAGAGCCAGCAAACTTTGATAATATGGTTACCGAAGATCTACAATGCAAAGCTGATGCATCTAAAGAGGCGCAATTATGGTTAATTATAAAGAAACAAGAAAATCTAAACAGTAGGTTGTTGGAAGCTGTTGAACAAAACAAAAAACATTCAGAGGTTTTACAAAAAAATATGGACGATACTAGATCTTCTAAAAAGAGTATGGATCAGAACATAGAAACATATAAATATATTGTTAAATGTCTACAAGAGAAACTTGCCACTTTAGAAGAACAAATAGAAATCTTAACAGCGGTGGAATCAAGGTAGTTTGATAATGATTAACAATAAAAATACATAAATTCAGTCACATATCTGTTTTTTATTATAAGCCATTTAAAGTTAAGCAAGATTGATATGTTTAGAAAATAGAGATCAGAGATATAAAATTATCAGTCAACATTTTATTAAAACATATATAAATACATACACTTCACAAAAATACCCAATATACACCCTAGGACATAATAATTGTACTACAATTAGTGTAAAACTATATTTTTATTTATTTAATTGTTTTGCTAAAATTTCCCTAAGTTTGATTTTTTTATTTGTCTTATCTGATAATGGTCTTCCAAGAGCTACTATTTCCATTTGTTGTAAACGTCGTCTGAATCTTTGATAAAATTCTAAGACGTCAGGATTAGCCCAGACATGTCGTGAATCAAAATCTAGCACTCTCAGTGTATCTAAACTTTGAGCTCGACTAAGAGCAACATAAGCCTGACCGGCCTCAAATATTTTAGAGAGAGACATTTCCACACAGTCCAATGTTAGACCTTGTGATTTATGTATTGAGAATGCCCATGCCAAATTAAGAGGTATTTGACGTCTACAGAACAAAGAACCACTAGAATTTTTTACATACCAACGTTCTGTACGAGTTGTGTATTCTTTTTTGTTTTTAAATCTCACAACCGGCAGTCCTTCGTCAAATCTAACGACTACACCTCTAGCTCCGTTCACTAAACCGGCATTAACATTAATATTTTTCAGTAACATCACCTGTGCACCAACTTTTAAAACTAATTTTGATGGTGCAATAGTTTGCATGTCCAATAATGTGCTGGCGTTATCACTATCTTGAGCTGAGAATATTTTTTCTTCGCCCTCGAGGTCTCGTAATTTTGAATTGTTAATTGATTTTGAATCATTTGTATGCGAACATAATCTTGTGGCAAGAATTCCATCACTTTCAATCTTCTGACTTGCCGTTTTCAAAAGGCGTTCACTGATTTCCTTTGTAACGCGACCTATCCTAATATTATTGAGGATAGATATAAATTCTTGGTCAGTCTGTCTATGAACCTGTTTCAGTTCAAAACATAATTTTATACATTTATCCCAACAAGATGTTTGAAAGCAAAATTTTTTTCCTGATCTATTTTTATCTACAACAGGCGGTAATTGAAGGAAGTCTCCACACAAAATTAATTGAATACCTCCGAAGGGTTTGTTATTCTTCCTTACATGTCTCGCTACTGCTTCTAACTTCTAAAATAGAAAAAAAAAGAATTTAATTTAGTTTTTATATACAATTATATATTTTAAAGAACACTTATATACACTACCTCAAAATATAATCCATCAACCATAGATATTTCATCTATTATAAGGTGTTTGCATTTTCTCCACTTTTGTGCAACTAGTGCTGATTTTGTTGCTCGCTCACATAAATTTTCTAAAGTACCACTGCCATCTCCGATACCAGCAAATGCATGAAGGGTGGTCCCACCTGAAATATATGAAGAATTTATTATTACTAATATTCCTCTATAACATTGAAAGCTAACATTACAATAAATCAATTATTACATAGATTAGTTAATGAGATTAGGACATTCATAACAAAATATGTACATTTATTTCATGTTTGTACCTATATGACAAGCAGCAACCCCAGTGGAAGCCGTGGCCATTGTAACATCGGGTGGTAACGCTGCTACTATCCTTTTCAATAAGAAACTTTTCCCTGTGCCTGCAGAACCAGTAAAGAAGATATTTTGTCCACTAAGACAAGCTTCTAACACTCGTGTCTGTTCTTCATTTAACGAACTCGTGGTCGAAAGTGGTGAAGGGGAATACAGTTTCTTTGGAGCTGGGCCTTTGATTGCTTCATCGGGCTTCCTCTTCTTGGAAGGTGGAGACGGAGTGGTTGTAGTTGCTTTACTGATCTTACTTTTAGCCTGGCATATATCCGCTACTGTAACTGGGCTTATTTCTTCAAACGCCTTAGCCTTGCCACTTAATAATTTCGTTCTAACACTTTGCTTTGATGGTGTTTTATTAATACCTTGCTCTTTATCACCAGTCATTTTTACGAATACTGTCCTTAAAAATGATACTAAGTTCGTAGGCGGCGCGTTGGATATGAAAAGAGTACAGCCTGCTTCTTGAAATTTAATGCTGGCTTTGCCTTCAGCCATGAATTTTTTGAAAACATTTATACCTTTAAGAGCCAGGCGAATAGCGTTTTGTTTTTCACTCGTAATTTCCATATACATTTCTCTAAATTCGTTGCGGATCAGTCGGAGTGAACCTGTTTTATAATTTACCTTTCTTATAATTGAGCCTTGTGGTGTCGTCCATTCTACCGTTACAGCACAAGATAAAAAAGAATCCCCAGACTCCATTTTAACTCAAAATTATCCAAATTTAATTCATAATAATTGAAATGTTCACTAAATAAAATGCGCGCGCGCAGCTGTAATTCTTTTTTTAACAGCTTGTCACAAATACAAAACTGTGTCAATGTCATCTGATTTTTTGACAATTCATGAAAATTTTAATTAATTATATTACCGTCGACAAATATAACTTTATTATTGACATAAATAATTGGAAATAAATTTAATGGTTTTTTGAATATTTATATAATATTGAAAGTTTATTTATCCACTTAAAAATTTTGTACCTCAAAGGATTTATCATAAATTAAAAATTTTAAAACTTGTAACATTAGCTTGAAATAGATTATATCCTGAATTTTATTACTTTTTTAAAATCTATTATTAAATTTACGTATGCAATTATTTAGCAATATTTCATTCTAATCAGTCGGAGTTTCTTAGATACGCAGACAAACAAATTTCCACATTTTTTTATATTTAGTAAGATTTGCTGAATTTTTTCACTTTTCAGTAGTCAGCAGAATTGTCAGCATTAACTTTGTTAAAATGCTAAACCATATCTTTTGTGTTTTCTTTAGACAAAATGAGTTCTGAAAGTTGATTAGGTAATATATTTCATATTTTACTTACACCTAGCATGAGTGGAATAGTAATACCCGAACAATTATTCCATCTCTAAAGAAAAATATAATTTTTAAATTATGTAATACTTTTCTAAAATTTTTATGCTATAAACACGAATATCATCAAGGTAAATATTATTTCACATGGTCTCTTAGTTCTTTAATGATTAAAACAAATATTATAAGAGTTTGATATTGGCAGAAACATACTTAGTATACAGATTGGACTGTAACTTGTTCTTATTTTAATCTAGAATTAAGTATAAAAATGTGAATTTTAGATTTAACGAATATCCAGTTAAGGAATCGATAACAACTAAGTTTGGTATCAGAAAAAAAAGAAATAATAAATAGTTTTAAAATAATTATTTTGAATATCCCCTCGAAGCTTATTATATGATCCTTTCGTCCAAATAACGAAAACTGTACAATAATCTAGATAGTTTCATAATACTAGTATCTTTTCTATGTATTGGCCATTTCTTATATTTATTTTCTTTTTTAGTGTCTACATAATATGTTTCATATGACATTTAAATAAAAAGGAGATACGTATTAAAAAACGAAAATGAAATAATGTAATATGATAATTTGTTCCATAGAGACTAAATATATATTTTATTATTCTGTGCTGAATTTTTAATTTTATATATAGGTATTACCGGAGACAAGCTGTCATTACTGGCAGCTAATAATTCATCGCGGGGTTGTAAAAGCATCTAAAGATAAACATTCTGTCAGGAGTTAACAAAAATATACTATTATGCATATCGAACCGCAGTTTAACGTAATGCAATATAAGATGACAGTTTATATAAATAAAAGGGTTGAGTCTTCTTAAAAGTTATGAAAGATTTATATTGAACAAAACATAGACAATTATTATAGGTATCTTATGAATATACATTCTTTTAGGACCTCTTTAGTTTACTTAACAAGTATAATATTCAAACCTATTGTATATTTTTATAGTCTGTATCCACATTTGTAACGTAAAATAATTATCTATTTACCTATATACTTAATCAAAATTATAGAGGACTGAAGCTTTAGTCCATATGAAAAAAGTATTAGAAAGATTTCAATTAAATTTTACTCACCATAAAGTTTTATTTCTTTGACTCAACCCACATCTAAAAAAATATTTTAATATCTTCTTTAAGTACGAAGTTTTAGGAAATAACAACTTTTATGAGCATCACGTATGAATGATTTATGTTTTCTTGCGCGTACGAATATTATATCAATATATCAAATCAGATAGTTTTTCAAATGCTTATATTTAATATATTTAATGTTTAGACCTGAATTGCACTGGTTTATGATAAATATAGATACTACTTGGCTCATGAAATGCGAAATCTAATATCAATACAAAGATCGCTGTGTTAAACAAAGTACTTAGGTGTTCCAAAAAGCATCTTCAAAATGCTACCGAACATGACGCAAGAGACAGCCAGACGCTCAAATTGATTACACATGCCATATTTCAAAGCCTTCCGACTGATATGACACTAACCAATCGTCGATAAAATATAAAATGAGATCATCAGTTTATAATAAATATTTACCTCGTAAAATTTACGATGCATTATATTATATTGACCCAATATTATAAATTCGAAACTACTGAATGGATTTTTGTGAAAAACCTACCATTGTATACTATTAGATTATTTATATATAGGTAAGTAACGATATAGAGTATGTATATAATTTTTCCCAACCTTATCTGTGTAGTTGGTTAATTATAGTTTGCTATAGCTTTCCCATGAGCTTGCTTTATCAAGTAAAACACAGACAGGTTTAATTATTGCATTCAAAACAATTAAAAAAATATATCGTATATGGTAGTTAAACCTAAGATGAATAAGCTAAGAACTAGAAAATATCACTGTTTGCTCTGAGATTTAAACTTGAAATGCGAGTTCAATTGTAGGTATTTTATATTAGGTCAAGAGACTAAAGATACCTCTGATGGTTACATTTCACATATACAGGGTGACTGGTGAATTACTATCAATATTTAAGGAGAATACTCGGTACATGATTCTCATACGAATTATGTAAAAAAATAGGCACTTAATTTTTGACAAAATTTCCATATAAATAAATAAAGTGTTGACACGTTCCAAGTGTTCCTAGTGTGGACGCGTGCGGCGGCGTGCTGATACAACACTACGCCGCCGTCCGCGTATGTGTGAGTGTGAGTGTATACCTAATCTGTAGGGTGTTCACACGATGCGTAATTAATTACACAACTTTTGGTTAACTTTACTTAGAAGTTTATTAATGTTTATGTTATATTAATTTTTATTTTGTCATATATGATCGTCAAATATCACGTCCTCAAATATCGATAGTAATTCACCAGTCACCCTGTATAATAATTCACACTCCCTTCATTCGAAAATTCAATCTGAATTAAATGAAGGCTAAATCACGGGCAACATAAAGTATTATCCCAGAAACAAAAAAAAAAATAAAATATATGATTAGGATTTAAAAAATCTATAGGTAGGTATACCTAAATGTAAATTAACTCATAATTTATATTATAATCTGTTAAAGATGAAATACTCTTCCTCAGTAAGGACAACTTCATATTTTGGCGCGTTTATTATGAGTGTATCAGAGTAATAATATTTTATTATTATGAGAATTCTGAACGGAAGCAGCGACTAAATGTATCAACGCCGCTAGCTCTCAAAGTAAATACACTTATTTTTGCATCCATTTGGAAATATTTCGCGTTGAAAGAATTAAAGTTACAGTTGACCTTATTATTATGAAGACAGTTTGTATAGGTTCAGTGCCGTCGATAAATGCTTGTGTTTCTTTGAAAATATTCAGAAAGCGTAATTTTCATGACATCCGTTGTAAATCTTTTGTCAACATTTTTTAAACAATGACGATGATAATGATTCTTTTTGATTTATTTTTTTCGTCTTCCATATTTATCTTTTAAGAATTAAGTTAAGAAAAATTATCTTTACCTATATACATTTTTTTAATTCATATATATAAATGTACGTATTTGCACGTCTTATTATCTATTTTAGAATATTTATATTCATTACGATTTACGGTAGTATTTTGAGAGATAATGTTATTAAATAACTTTTCTATGATTTGTGATTACCTATACCTAATATCATACAAGATATCTACCTAAATAGCGTTTCGTTTATCTTTTATTAGACTGTATAAAAAATTATTTTATTTACATCGATTCTGCTTTATTCTATTCAATAATAGCAATGTATATAAGCATATTATTAATATATTTAGGTACTGTTTTATTTTATTTTAAAGGTAGCAAACGAGCAGAAGGCCTACTTGGTGGGCAGTACCTATCGTCGCCCATTGATAATAATGATAATTTTTTTGAGCGTATTAAATAGTTTTAGAGTATAAATACAAAGAAAATATTAAATTATTTCGTAATTTCTTGTCTATTATATATAACCACGTTTACGTAAGTATCCATAATTTATTTTAGACATGTGCAATTTTTAATCTCCAATTAGGTACGTACCGCAGTGGAATGTGATATACCTAATAGACGATTACAAAAACTTTGTTAAGAAACTTTAAAATATATAGAGTCCTTACAGAATCGTGAAAAAAAAACAACAATACAAAACTAACAAAATATACCTAATACCTATATAAATCATTTTTAGTTGAAAGAAAATATAATGAATAATTAAAATAAAATAAACAAAAAATATTAAAGTAAAAGCAATCTATGACAGACAAAACTCAACATCTGCATTTGAAAAATCATTGTCAAGAAAAATATATTGATGCATTCAAATAAGTTTTCAATTTACAAGTAACTTTTTATCCTAAATACGAATTAAACAAATTGAACTTCCGTTTACTGTTACTGCAACATTGACGTTGCTTCCTCACAAATGTCATGAATTTACGTCTTGTTTTTTCGTAAATATTAAAATTGGCTGAATAAACTGAATATCAGATGTTTTATATTAAGAATGCGTTCTATTTATTCACTGCTCCAGTAAGGCACTAGAATCATTGAATAAATCTTAATGTCTTTTAGCGGTCTTAGAGAAAAGGCTTTTATATACCTACTCAAAGATAATCAGACGGTAAAAACTAAAAAAAATACAGCGCCCCAAAAATAGTAGGGCTGCAAGTTGTATAAATTAACATCAATTTGTGTAATTTAATTTGAAACTAGTATATAACTAGTATATTTATCTTAATTGTCTAATTTTGCTCTACTATCTCATGTGTATTGAAATTAAAGTTTATTTAAACTTTTTGTTTTACAGTTGTTCACATTGTCTGCCAGTCAAAAAATATTAAAAGTTTTATTTTTTAATAATGTATTTGAGTCTTTTCTGAATATAACTATAATTGTGGAAAAAATATAATAGTCAACTTATACACTCCTCGAAATATTTCAAGAACATTCTCGAATACATAGTAGTTTTTAACACTGATAAGCAAATGACATAATAGTTTCTACTGGTAAATAAATAACTATCAGAATTTTGATGTGATTTAAAGAATTGTATTTCTCTTCAGAGATTATACGTACTTATGTGTATGTTCAAAGGCTTCAGAAAACACAATACCTACCGAAACAGTCTTTACCAAGACATCGGAAATATTAGGTACCTTTTGTTATAATTAAATAGAAAGACCAAAGTAAAGTTTTGTTAAAAAATATATTTGTTTCATTTAATTTACAATATTTTACAGAAATAGGTAAGGCTGGTGAAAGAGTGAAGATCCCAAAAGAAGAAAACTATATCTAACTAAAACTATATACTTAAATAAATTTCCAGTTCACTAAATTATGAAACTGTAAACCTGATGATTTTACAAAAGTTGTAAAAAGTGAGTGACTCTCATTAACTCAAGTAGGTGTCACGAGAGAGTGAAGCGTTTGATATTATTATACAACTTTTAAAGTACGGCTTTACTTGCTTTTTTACTTCAAGAACGTCAAATTTATTTATTTAGGTTATTTTCAAGTATTATTCCAAGTCAAATACAATCTTCCTTCCAAATTTCTTATAAACTTTTCGCTTAAGTGCCAAATTTTTCAGTTACTTTATGAGAAAGAATGCTATTAAGTTATCACGCTTTTAAGATACAGAATATATTCAACTATAAATCGGAGACATTTTGAAAACACGAGGTATCAATACAGGAAACGATGTACAACCACAGCACAGAATTAGCAGACCGTGCTGTATCTGCTTATAGAATTACAAATTGACAAATGACTGAGCCAGTTTTCAACTACAATTATTCATTTCCTTAGTTGCGTGAAGTCCGGCGGGATGCATTGTAAGTTGTCAGTGACACATTTGCAATATTTTGGCTTGTTTGCCACCTTAACCACAAATCATTTATTTAATTTATTAATATTTATGAAATAATATCTCTAAACCTATACAATTCGTTAATTTTATTAATGTCAGAGGTTAAATTTTGACATTCGGTTCAAATTATGAAAGAAATTTTTGAGTATAAATAGTCCAGAACTAAACGTTTTATGTTTAAAATTGTTGTATTGCGAATCATTAAGACATATCTTATATGTATTCAGTGTTTAATTTAAATGAAATTATTATGTAATGTTTTTACAATTAATGGACATGACGGTTGATGGATAGTTGGCACCGTTCCTAGTAGGTAGGAACTTGCATCTGCTGAAACAAAACGTTTCGTGTGAACGTTGCTCTGAGCCGGACAATGCGGGGTGACGATGGGGTTGCCATATTTAAAAACTAATTAGGACAAAGCCAATTTGATACTCGTACAAATTTAATTATAATAATTTTATTTTTCTTAAAAATATGCATGTAAATGAATAAAAATAATCATAGTTATTATAACTGTGTCTTTTTAATAATAATAGATATGTAAGATTATAAACGTCAAATGATTAAATGTCAAATTTGACAATTTAAATAATTTTTGAAAATATATATCTTATTAATGAATAATAAATTAATGTCCAAATTATGTAATATTGTATATGCAACGTTAAACGTCGTCGGCGAGCAGTGAGCACACATGGGACACATCTGTGCTAGCTCGCTGGAGGTGTACTCTGAAACAATCTCGTAGTTATAGTGCAGACATATTATTTATCTTCTAAGAAATAAGAATTGACATTTTGTTTTTTTTATTAATATTCAATAACAACATTCTTCATCACAATTTTAACAATTATTTGAAAATTATCATATTTCATATAAAATACGTTATTTGATTACCTATTAGAATATAATAAAAAATAACTATATGGATAAAAAATCAAAAGTTTACATAAAGCATTATGTTTTGGACTGTAGCCGCTCATTGATGTATTTGCCAGTGGGTTTTTTGACGTAAATTTCATAAATCTGATAACAATACAGGCACAGATGTTCAATTGATAAAAATATGCGAATTATATGAAACAATGCATTATGAGTAATTTCATTCAGGTAACTTTCTCTATGGATGTACACACGTGTGACGTTTTCCACGCAGCTGCTAACGCCGCAGATGTTTTATGGCTCCGAACACTACCAAGACTTTATTATTTATTACGATATTGCCGTTTAGAACCTAATCTCCGTTTTTATTATAAAACAATGGTCATCACGGATACTATTTTTGACATACTGCACGCAGATGTGGGGTTTCGTTTGCGTGGGAATGAGTTTTCCTATTTTGTTATAAATGTTGTATAAATGCCGGTTTACAAACAATACATACGAAGGCCAACAGCGTAGTACAGTTCAAAAACTTAAATGAGTTTATAAGCAATTATATTACTTTATTCAAATCTTACGTAATAGTGAAACTGGTAACACCTGAAACAATTTTAAATATTAATTGATATAAAATTAATAAATATGAATTATAATTTTTTTGACAGTTAATAAATTTGCAAAACAAGCCCTCGTTTCAAAAGTTGGGAGGCAGGTATTAATACAATTATACTATAAACTTAGATATAATTTTCAAACAATCAAAAAAGGATAAAAATATAATTCAACTTTTATTTTCGAATATTTTAATTTAGTTATATATAATTAATTATCAATGAACTTAATCATTGCATCTTACAATGTTTGTCCATAATTTCTTAATAGGTAATATAGTCAGATCTTTTTAATGCTATGACTTCATTCACACTAGGATCGGTTAATATTTTGCTAATTTTAACGTTTTAGTAGATAGACGAATTATAATCTTGAGCATTGTGTGAAGAAAACACTAAGGAGGTTGTCAATTAGATTAAATCGGTTATTGCATTATTATTTACTTAGAACAACAAAATAATAAGACCTTAAATCTAGGCTGGAACGTGACAAATTTAACGATACCCCGTCAGTTTATCTCTAGAAGGTGTCAAAGTCAACCGCAAAAAAGTATCAAAATAAACCAGAGAGTCGTAAAGCTCTTCAGAAAATAAACTTGGTTAAACGTTTATCTCCTGTAAAACATCTGTACGGCTGTACCTACACTCTTAACAAGGAGTAATTATCAGCTAGTTAATGATGTATTATCGAAATCATACACAATCGTTTAAAAAATATTTATTTTGTTTAACACTTTATCTTCTTCAACTATCTATTTAACTACCACTTTGACAACTTAAAACCATTTTATATGAAATTATCATTGGTTTTTCGTCATATTTTAAACCTTCTATAATTACGTAGGTAAGTTTGTTTTTTGCATAAATTTCGAACTTTGATTCTTAAGCTATTATTGAGAATTCAAATCCTTTTTTTAAACATATATGTATAGAATATTCTCAATCCTTTGATTAAATATTTTAATCATAGACAGCCAGATTGGAGAGCTTGAATGTTTAAGCTTGTAGAGTAGGTACGTTCATATCTATGATCCTGACCAGACGCCGTCAAACAATCTGTATTAGACAAATAAGTAAAATATAAATGTTTATATTATTAAGGCACCCCGTGGGATCGCTCCTGCCTCCTTGGACCGATTGCGTCAAGGATATTTTTAGTGAACCGATTCAGGCGACCGCGAGACGAGACGACGTAAAAAATTACTTACAAGCAAAGCCGGCGCCGCAACTTTTGTTAAAACTCTAATGACTCCGATGTTCGAATGTTTATTTTATATTCATAGAAATTTGACTCTTCATCTTTTTTTACTACTATTTTTTATTTCTAATTTCTTTGTTATGTTATGTATGTATATAAGGTTATGATTATTATTGAAACAATGCAGCTATAGTCGATGCACCTTTACGATGTTGCGAAATCCTTCTAATTCAGTTTTATACCTAGACGTGATCGCTTATGGCGCTAAATCGTAAATCTATGTATAATGATGGACAAGATAAACAACACAATCAGCCTTACATACATATCTCCGTCCTTGTCGGACGCAAATTACAATGGAGGTGGTGGGAAAGAGGCGGAGCGTGGAGTGGGAAGACCAGGGTTTGCGTGGAGATGGTTGTTTTTTTGTATCTTGTCAATGAGACGTGTAGGGGCGGACCGCGTCCCGGCTTTCAGTAACCAGTTCACATCTGCAAGCGTCGGAGCTAGCACCGCTCAAGCTAATGTTGCATAACGCATCACCGGTCGGATACCAAGCTATGAGTTACACCTGCGATAATAGAGTGCCCATCAAACAGGAGACAGACCAGGACTGCTTCGACGACGAGGAGAGGTTCTACGGATACGCTCCCATCGAGGTTAAGAGGGATGCAGAAATGACGTTTTCACCGTCATCACCCACACATTTAATGGATCTGAGCAACGGTTCAGAAAGACCCCCGCAGATTTTACAATCCTGGCAAGGCAACATTGTGTTCGAGGGGGACGACCGTGAATACCAACAGACGCAATTCCATCCATACGATCAAATGTGCATCGCAGATCCGCGACATAAACAATTCACGCGGAACTTCTACTTCGACGATTCGAATTCTCAAGACAGAAGTGTAAATTTCTACGAAAATAGTGAAGTTCAACAATCTGGGGACAACACGTACCGCGCATCAACGGAAGAAAGAAGCGATGAAAACGATGATCAAAGGAGATCAAGAAAACGATCATGTAAATCCTCCCGACGAAAAACACAATCGTTCGAAGAAGTGCAGATACAAAGAGTTATGGCAAATGTTAGGGAGCGTCAACGCACTCAAAGCTTGAACGAGGCGTTTGCTAGCTTAAGACAAATCATTCCATCCCTGCCCAGTGATAAACTATCTAAAATACAAACTTTACAATTAGCGACGCAGTACATAGAATTTTTGTATCAGATATTATCCAATAGCGACTCTTCTTCGAACAGTGAAGTCAGCGACGCCAACACTGAACACGGCAAATATTTAGCACAGGATAAACTAAGTTATGCATTTTCTGTGTGGCGTATGGAGGGAGAATTTACAAATGGACAAACGTGACCATGTGATTAAATATAAGAAAGACTTCTATCCGATTCCATAATACTAATTACTAATAAGTTTAATATTAATGCTTTTATGTAAAGGAATGTGATATTGGCTAAGAAATATTTCCATTATGTGCCTTTTAATATTAATTTTATATAAAGACTAGTTACATAAGCTTTAATTATAAATAATACAGCTGTATACCAAAAATTCGTTGAAAACAACATTTAGGATTACTGTGAATTATTGTTAAAGTAAGATATAATATTGAATATTTCCTAAATTACATAGAATATTGTACAGTAGAAGATAAATAAATGTTATATTATATAAAAAAAAGTGTTTTTGATAAAAAAAAATACCCATTTCAAATAATTGCATAATTTCTAAGAAGCTTCTTAATCCTATTTAAATATCACCAACAATTGAAAAAACCTTTTTCCTGTTAAGTATAGTGTTACTTGCTATTTGAATCTTATAATTAATATAACAAAAGAAAAATATCATTTATAAACTTAATATCTGTATTACTTATATTTCTAACGAATTATTAAATTAACTATTAAGTTCCTTTTAATTTGATTTATTAAAAGTTATTATTTACAGCATTAAAAAACTTAAAACACATTCGGACTTAACTCTACCTATATAACTACTTATTTAGATAGAACTAATCACACGCAAAACCTTATCTACTTATTCTTTTTAGGTTTAAATAGGAACATGATAAAATTAAACTATTTTTGTATCACTTTCCAAAAATATAGGAATATTATTCTAACGTTTTTAAATTAGTATCACTTTTTATATCAGCTTGAAATTTACAATTAATATCTGTAGTACCAAATGAAGTTCTCGAATAATGTGATTTTTACACTTCGCACCTCTGCTCAAATAGTGTCATAGGTCAAAAATCCCAACTTTCGAATAAAACGCGTTTGAAGTTAATGCTAACTTTATTTTTCACTTTTCGGCTCATCACTCAAAAACTGTGAAAGTTACTGCAATATGATTTTAAGTAAGTTATAATGATTTTTGACACTCAACAAAATGGTGTAATAGACTTTTGGAATATATTAAAAAAAATAACGAATAACGGATGAAAAAAACGAATAATTTACGAAATATTGACATCTATGGATAAATAGTTGAACTATGGGCATGACATTGTTTGAGATAAGATTTCGAAGTTTTCTGATTCCAATAGTGCAATAAAATTGAATTCAACTTTTTTTGAGTTGTGACACTATTTGAGCGGAGGTGCGACTTGGTACATAGTAAGTGATTTTTAAAACAATTTTAAACTTATCGATTATTAGCATGACTAAACATGTACCTAGGTGCTTAAACAACTGAAATTATATAACATTATGAACAGATACGTTTTCCATTAGCCGTAAATAAATTTCAGGTAAACCAATGAAGTTGATTTTCGAAATGAATACTCCGATTAAAAATGGTCACCTTTTTGAGATCCCATTGTAAAAGATCGCATTGTGTCCAATTCAGATTTGGCTTTCAGACATATTTTTTATAAATAATATTAAATACTTTTTCTTCCAAAACTATCGAAGAAGTTATTACTTAATGGAAATGTCTTATTGGCATGAGTTTCCCTCGATATAGGTAAATGAATGAATAAATGATATAAGTAAAAGAATGAATCAATTTTGATGAAAAAGTCACGGGTGTTTAGTGATAGATATAGCGGGGTTTTAAAATATAGCGTTTAAAAAGTTATTTTATCAGATGAGAAGATAAAAGTCCTATGAAAAGAATGAGTAAATAGTTTCTTGACGGACGGTTATTTAAAATTTAAATCTCTTTATAATAATCTCTTTACTATAATCGGATGTGAATGGATTGAATCCCGAATGCCTACAACAAGCTTGTATCACCCATTTCCCATTCCAGACATTCATTCATTAATCTTCAAATATTTCAGCATAAGCGTAGGTTATTAAATGAAAATGAAAAAGCAAAAAGCCACGTATGTAATAACGATGTAAACTGGATATGTTAGTCAGATTTGGATTCCTTAAACATGATACAACAAAATAATCGAGCTTAAAATGAATAAATTCTTAAAATTGTCAACATATGAAATGAATTTTTATAAATAAATATTGATAATTTTCATTCCTATTGGTTCCATATAAACATTTTTCTTTCTAACATAAGAATTTCTTTGTTTAATGTAAAAAATAAAAATTGCTTTATTCTTTATTTTCCACAAGAAATTCTTTTTAAAAATTTATTGAACAATTTTTAAACGCCGAGAATTATTCATATACAAACAAACCATGAAATAGATATTTATTTTAATAAATATATAAAACCTTTTTATTAGATTTAGACAAATAAATTAAAAAATCAGATATATTTAACGTAAACCGGTAGCATTTCATTAGGCAGTTTATTTAAAACAATTATCTTCGGTACATACATAATTAAATATACTTACTACTTAGATATTTAGTGATTCAAAGAAATAGACAAGACGTGCACGTGCAGAGTCTATTGAGACAAGTTCTAGAAATTGTCCAAAGTAAATTTAACGATAATACCTATTTTTAAAACTTTGATGGAATTGTATAGTAATTAAGGGTATTAATGAACAATGGATCGTTATCAGTTAAAACGACCTCAGGTAGTTTTTGTAATACCTAGTGCACACGTGTGACGTATTTACCAAAAGTGCAGATGTTTTACGACCTTTGTATAATTGGCTTAAAATATCTTTGTTTAAAAAAAACAATAGTAGCCGCCGGGACTAATAACAGATTTGCGTAGAGACAATATTTGACTTTAAAATGTTGAACTTATTCAAATAAGTTTTCTATGTTGTAGTTATTTTATTAGGTAAATAAAGAATAATTTTAGAAATAAGTACTTACTTACTTAATATTTTTAATAACATATGTACCTACCTATAGCGGTTTGCATAATGTTTTTTTCAAATACCAAATTGTCAAACTGATATAAGTATAGCAATGTTTAACTTTACTTTATAATGATAAATAAAAATAATGAGTCTTATAGGTAATATAATTTCATATACATACTTAATTCATCTTTAACTATTTCATCTCGACCCTTCTAACACGATTCTACCTAAGTACCTATATAAGAAATAAAAATTTACAAATTCATCGTTAATTAATTTTTGTTTAAAAATATACGTATAAAGTTCTGAAAATAACAGAAATATATGTACATATATATATATTATATAGGCATAAGTTATAACATCTTGCAGTTTTCTTGGAATCAGATCAAATCTTTTAATCAGATTTGAGGGCTGAGGCAAATCTATATTAGGTGTTCAATCTTAAATAAATTTAAATCAAATAAATTTAAATGTATAAATTTTCAAAGAAAACATCTGGAAAAGATAATATTTCCATTATTTGCTTTGAGAGAACATCTAAAGGTAGGCACTAATAGTTAGGTATTCTTAAATTATTAAGTAATTACGTTATCCAGTGTGTATTATTCAAATAGCTTTTACTTATAACAATATTTTCTACTTATTTCTCATATTATAGAGTTTTTGATTTAGGTACGTCTCTTGATAGTAATTTGATAAAGCAAAACATACCTATGTCACTAATTGATTGAACATTCTCGAACTTTCTGCAAGTAGCGTAATAAAAAACGATTCTTCATAACCATCGCCATATCTCATTAAGTGAACTGTGAGAAAATAAAAAAGTTAAGATAACGGTAAGAGCATTTCGTTATGAATGGAGTCGAAATGTTTGAGTGTCTAGTCCGGACTCCGGATGTGAGGCAGATGTTGACTCAAGCAATTAAACATATGAAATTTTGCAGAACGATTTGCAATCAGATATAATAGAAATATTGAAGAACAAAAACCAGCATTTATTAACTAATTATTTATTATTAAGCATATACAATTATACATAACTATTGGCTGTTCTATAAACGTTTACTACAGTTTTGATTTTGCCAAAATCATTTTGGGCCTCTATATAATTTCTATTAGGTAAAAGAAAAAACAAAAGCTCGTAGGTATAGGTATGAGAAGGATGTAAAGACAAAAAATTGAGGCTACATTAATATAGAAGCAACGTGTGAAGGTGAAAAGCTCAGGTCAAGACAGTATCAACTCTTGGTACTAACTGTAAGCCTTGAAGCTTAAACTGGAATGTTTACTCCTAGAGAGTTTGGTATAGATTAAGAATTATGATTTCCTATTATTTATTACAGTATTCCATTTGATCAGTGAGAGTGAGAAAAGTAGAAAGCCCTTCTTCTTAAGTGTAATCCTATAATTTCTTTCTTAAGTCACTAACACACCTGGAACCACAGCTTCGAACATCTGGAAGCAGCTGTAGGCAGTAACTACTGGATCACAGGTGGACAGTTAGTTTGCTTATCAACTTTTAACACGAAAATAACTAAAAACGCAAGACTGAAGTACATTAAGTAGGAATATGTAAGTATAATATAAACCTATAGGTATTAGACCAAAACAAATTCTACGTTGCTTATGTTATGTTAGCAATATTAAAGGGAAAAATCTAATTAGGTATATTGAAATACTTTCATACTATACATCTTCATTACGTCCGCTGAGTAATTTTTATATTTCCTTAAACTGTCTCGTAAGTTATGCCGTAATTATAATATCGGAATGAGCATTACAACAAACAATTTTAAATAATGATGCTATTTATAAATATCTCATAAGTTGTTCGCTCCTGTGGTTGGTAATTATTCCCAAAATACATTCAAACTTGAACACCCTTTCGGTTTAGGTGTCATTTGAAAAATATTATTCGATTGTCATTTAAAAATGTCGTTATTTTTTAAATTTTATGACATTACTGATTTACAAACGTCATCAATACGTCAACTTATAAAAAACTGAGGAAAAGATAGTTTAACTAATTTAAGTGTTCTTTTGTTAGAAATAAAATAATAAATTCATCTTACGTATGTATATTTTTTTTATATACAATTATGATAGTTTAAAAAATAATTTAGTCGCTGGTTGTAAAGGCGGTAATTTTTTATTAAGTCACAACTTATAAAGTACAAGGAGTTAAATAAACTAATTATTGATATTTTTTACGATAACCTTTGAATACATAATGAATACCAAAATAATGGATTATTATGATTTCCTTTCTAATTGTAACAGGATGCACATTTATCGATGCCATCAGCTATGGCGACCTTACTGTTATATACAAATCTATGTGGGCGCATATAATCGGTAAATACGTTTATAAGATGACCGACAAGATAAATTCAAGAGGACGCACTCACAGAAACAGTTGCATCCCTTTCTAACCGCACCAGGTATTAGAGGTGGGAGAGAGATAATCCGCAAAAAGGGAATGGCATTCACAAACCGTAGAATGGAAATGGGTATTTTTTTTATATCTTGTCAATGAAATGAGTGGGGGCATAGTACAGAGCTAACGCTTCATGTCTCCCGTACAGTATTAGTTCATGCAAGCGCTTACGCATGCAAATGCAAGTTACAAAAAATATTATAAGTAACAGTAGGTATAATAATGAGTTATAAGAGATATAACAATAGTTTCTCTGTTAAACGAGAAAGGGAGTATTATAATGAAAAATATCAATGCGTCCCTGATGAAGAAACGAGGCATGTTGCTATAGTGTATACATCATCACCTCCTTATTATATGGATGTAGGTAATAGAATCGAAATTAGACACGAAATTCGAACAAAGCCATTTAAGCCCACCGTATGAGTTATATGTCCCAAATCAATTCACACCAATCATCTATGAAGATTCAAATTCACAGGATTCATGCAATTACTATGAAACAAACGTGACTACAGATGAAGATTTGTACGCTTATACAAAAAGGTACTATAGACGACGAATTTGATGATAAACGATCAAGAAAACGTTTGAAATCATCTAGAAGAAAGCTACATGCAAATGCTAGAGGAAAGACATGCAAATACAACGAGTTATGGCTAATATTCGGGAAAGACAACGAACTCAGAGTTTGAACGAGGCTTTCGAAAGTTTGAGACAAATTATACCGTCCTTGCCGAGCGATAAACTGTCTAAAATACAGACGTTGCAATAAGCGACGCAGTACATCGAGTTTATTAGATTTTATCAAACAGTGAAGAAACTTCTAGCGAGGTTGATACAAACAAAACCATGATAAATATTTGGCACAAGACAAATCGAGTTATGCCCTCTCCAAGTGGCGAGTGGAAGGTCAATGGAACAAAAGACAAACGTGATACATTAGTATAATAATTTATAATTTATATTAAATGAATTTCATACTATTTTATAAGACGAGATGTGATAATAAATGTAAGCTAAATAAATTAACGATTAGGTTACTTAAAATATTATTTGTTTGTACTGTCACTGATTGTAAGTAAGTAGGTAAAATAGCTAGTGATTACATGTGTACCTACGGAAACTAAAAATTGTATTTTGGTGAGTAATAAAGAAACAGTAAAAGCACTAGAATTTTTATTTATCTTTCGTAATACCCAAATATTAAAATAATTTCAAAATTGTTTCATTGAGTATTTAGAAGAGACTTTTCATAATATTTGTCAAAGTTCAAAATAGCCAGTAGACATAGAATAATTTAAAAAACATTGCTCAGATACAGATTCGTGCTTTCATAATAAATGTTGCCATTGACGAAAACTCGTACATTATGACTAGTTTGAATTGCCATAAGACCAGATATACACTTGTTGTTATTTGTCACTACATAGCAATGTATTACGAATAGAATAAACAAGGGTAGTTAGTATTAAAGGTAATAAACAAATATAATCTAGAAAATTTAATTCAAGCTTAAAGTGTAAATCTGTTTCGTATAAAAGTTTTAAACAATTGGTCACTCGACTTTCATAATAGGTAGATAATTATTATAAATGTGAGTTGCTGTCAAAGAATTTATATTTTTGAAGTTTTAAATCCTTTAACTCTTTGAATTTATTTTATTATTTGTTTATTAAATAAAAAGTGGATATAAGCAAAATATTCCGCAACTCCAGTGTGAATGAAACCACAGCATAAAAAAATATTTTATCATACGATTACTTTGTAATGAAGTTTGTTAACCAACTTGTTTAAACTTGATAAATCGTTACAATTATTAGGCTGTTAAGACCTAACCAATTTACATACAAGTAATTATAACAAAGGCTTGATATTCCCTCTAAAACAGATATTACAACCACATTGTAATTAAATATGGTTTTATTGATAATTATATTTGTCTTTTTATCGTATTTTCTTACCACTGCCACCATATTTCGACACTGAAATGACAACAAATGTGTTGAATTGTGAATTTGACTACTGTGAGAAAAATGCTATAATTCTTTAAGGTTTATCTGAAGAAATCTTAAATGTTTCTCATGTACAAAAAAAGTTAAAATTCACATATGTACCATGAAAGAAATAAGAGGTTAGGTGTGTGAATAAGATAAAATCGTACATTATATATGCAGTCACAAAGTTTTAAAGAATTTCATATTTTTTTTAATATAAAAAAACTATGTATTCGTTGTATGAACAGTAAATGAATTTTAATGAATGGTAACAACATTTAAAACACGTCATCGACTTCTTCATATCTTTATAATTATTTTATTTTCATATAATTATAATATCTGTAACGATGCTTTCCTTTACGAAAATTGTTTTACGTTTTTCACTGTAAAGCAATCTTTACATACTACGAACAAGCACGGTTTAATTGAAAATCGTTAGCTTTTTCCTTTTCCTTATATATTTTTTATTGATAGATTTAATTATCAGTTATATATCTATCTTGATTTTTTAAATCATCAATATATTTTAAACGGTTTCCACTTTTTCAGCGCCATCTCGCGGTAAATTCTTTAAACATATCTTGACTTAAGATATTTTCATACAATACTTTAAGTCTTTATGTTTATATCAGAAGTTAAAAAAAGCACTACCTTTTGCGTAATTTTCTAATAATTACTTAAATATATAAGGGATATGAATGAAACAATACATAAACTTTTAAATTGATTCATTATCTACATATATGTTATATGATACACTTAACATGATTGGAAGTTTTATATAAACAGTAATCAAAATATATTCAGTACAAATTGATTAAAACTGACGACTGGCTTAGACTTAAATCATACTTAAAATAACACATAAGAAACATTCACATAGTACTTGGTAATTTAGACCGAATTAAACTTAGTTACAAAACGAAATAAAACGTTTTTTATACAAATTGATATATCACAGCTCCGAACAAGGCAATACACTGTAAATTTATAATAAAATACATAACATTCAATATTTAAATTTACCTAAAACTACGAGACGCGAGTATTATAGCAAAAGTTGAAAAAAAAAAGTATTATAAAAAAATATCAATAACTTAATAACAATGAATAGTCACAAACCAGTCTGGTTATAACAGAAGTTAACACTAATGAAAAATAAAGCCTTGGGTACACTTACCACCAGTTTCAACCTCACACAAAACTGATAGTTTCCAGTTTATCATACATATACATACCTCATTGATATATAAGAAGACTTTGAACAAAACTGAGTTACTATCGGTGACATAGTAACTAGTGTTAAGTGTACAGTCGCCAAGATAACTTGTTAGAACTCATAGTAAGTTATTTATTAGTGAATCCTTTGTAATGATTCAATTATTTGATCAGTTCATGATTTTGATGCTGTAAACCTATGTATAGTATACAATATTAACATATAATTGTGCTACATTACATTAAATATTCAAGGTATTATCAACTCCGTCTCGTAGGTACCCAGTTCGTTTATCTGAAACAGAAAATTAATATTAAAATATTTAAAAAACTATATTACTTAGTAAATTACATTTTATTTTTTATCATGATGAAGTCTTTTTTTGTATGTTCAATGCATTCTTTTATATTCGACTTATGTGTTACAAGTCTACATAGGTAATTGTGTTAAAAATGTATATAGCATATTATATGTACCATATAGAATTAATAATGACTTCATCAATATAACATAGATCGCAATCATAAACATTTGGGTTACGGTTTGGGTTTAAAAAATATCTGAATCAATTAAACACAATTGTTTTAAATATCAATTTCAATAAAGAAACATTGTTAATTTTGTAAGTTGTTGTGATAATTATTTATTTATTTACCAGTGTTATAAAAGAAATATTATACACAATGGATAACTACTATCTTAAAGAGATCTCTGCCAGACACCCTTTTGATTAAGGAAACAAGAGCAAAAATTGTTGAGTAGATACAGAAAAAAGAGAAGGAAAAATAGATTTAAATAAGCACACACACAAAAATATAATAATAGAAAATTTTACCTATTATACATATATAAATATATACATTTATTATCTTGATATAATTTTACTTACATCCTGTGTGAAGTCCTTGTTCAGTTGTATATCATCTGTTTCAACATTAGTATTGTTCTCTGTTCTCATCCATTCTTCATCTTTAACCATAGGCTGTAATATATTATTAAATTTATGATAAAATCATCAACAGAACATTTTTAGTAATTATTAATTCAAGTAAATTAACTAGCACCATCAAGGGGGACTAGATGTGATTAGAATACTTGAAGTAAATCTTAATACATATAATAAGAAGAATGTAAGAGTAACTTAAAAATTGGACTTTAAAGCAATTCTATTGGGTTGGCAACTAAGTCATTGCCGATTTCAAATAAGAAGGCAAATTCGGAATTTTTGTTTAAAAATATAACTTTATTCAATTAGGTATTGGCCGTTCTTGTCGATGACCTTTTTCCATCGTTCTGGCAGAGTAAAAATTCCCCGTTCGTAAAATGTTGGTCTTTGCTATTAAAAAACTAAATTAGGTGTGATCCGACATCATCCGAGTTGTTAAAATTTTTACCATTTATAGAGTTTTGCATGGAACGAAACAAATGGTAATCCGAAGGCGCAAGGTCAGGGCTATATGGTGGGTGTGACGAAACATCCCAACCCAGTTCCAATATTTTTTGCCGAGTAACCAAAGATGTGTAGGGCCTTGCGTTATCATGATGGAAAACAACACCCTTCCGATTTGATAATGCCGGCCGCTTTTCTTCAATTGCATCCTTCAGTTTTTCGAGTTGTTCAATATACACATTTGAATTTATCGTTTGGTTCTGCGGCATGAGTTCAAGATACAAAATTCCTTTGTGATCCCATCAGACTGACAGCATAATCTTTTTTTGGTTAATCTCTGCTTTTGACACTGTTTGGGCTGGTTGATCTTGCTTCACCCATGATCTCTTGCGAGTAACATTGTTATAAACTATCCACTTTTCGTCGCCTGTAACTAGGTTCTTCAGAAATGGATCATTCTCATTGTTTCAGTAGCGAATCACAGATGCTAATCCGTTGCGTCAAATGAATTTCCTTTAACTGGCGAGTGATCCATAAATCAAGTTTATTGACATAACCAAGGATTTTTATTTTTTTTTTCAATGCATGTATGCGACACATTGAACGTCTCTACAATATCTCGTGTTGTGCTGTGACGATTTGAATCGATAATGGCCTTGATATAGGCTTCAGCCACGTTGACTGGGCGACCAGATCGTTGTGAATTTTTCAGTGAAAAATCACCGGAACGAAATCTTTCGACACTGCCTTCCTTTTAAGGCTTTATCTCCATATACGGTACATAACTTATTTTGTGCTTGCGATGCTTTCTTTCCTTTTCGAAAGTAATACAATAAAATGTGTCCGAAGTGCACGTCCTGTTCTTTTATTTTTAAATTGAGATAAAAACAAAACTAAAGAACTAATTAAAAAAAATTTTTTTACTAATTAAACGTAGAAACCCATAGAGTAAGAAAAAAATATAGTTTAGATGCTCTGGCCACGTTAACAATGCAAAAGAAAGTGTAGAGTGAATCTATCAACAAAAACGGCAATGACTTAGTTGCCAACCTATTATATCAAATCGATCTTCTAAGCTCCCTCTTACCAAGTAATTTACGTCGTTTCTGTATCGTTTTTTTCATATATTATATTGCTACTAACCGCTACATCTTTATGCGCCTGCCTCACGTGATCCTTGAGTGCGAAGGCCCTAGCGTAACTCGCACCACACATGGTACATGAGAACTTGAGGCTGTTCTGACGATTGTGTATCTCCATGTGGACACGAACAGCGTATAAGGAAGCGAAAGGCCTGAAAAATTAATTTTTAATAATTATTATGTGAAAATGAACGATTTGTGGTTGATGTTACATTTTGTTTTATAATTACAAATATAGATTACAGACTCCAAATATTTTTACATTTCACAAGAATATATTTTTGGTAGTACAGTAGGGTAGAAAGTATATCAAATTATTCAAAAATAATGATTAAAAAAATACTAGATTATGTATATCATCATCATCATCATCAGCCAAAAGACGTCCACTGCAGGACATAGGCCTCCCCCAAGGATAAGATTATGTATATACAGGGTGACTGGTGAATTACTATCGATATTTGAGGACGTGATATTTGACGATCATATATGACAAAATAAAAATTAATATAACATAAATATTAATAAACTTCTGAGCAAAGTTAACCAAAAGTTATGTAATTAATTACGCATCGTATGAACACCCTACAGATTAGGTATACACACACACTCACACAGACGCGGCGGCGGCGTAGTGTTGTATCAGCACGCCGCCGCACGCGTCCACACTGGGAACACTTGGAACGTGTCAACACTTTATTTATTTATACGGAAATTTGGTCAAAAATTAAGTACCTATTTTTTTTACATAATTCGAATGAGAATCATGTACCGAGTATGCTCCTTAAATATTGATAGTAATTCACCAGTCACCCTGTATAGACTATTAATTATGTTTAAATCATTACCTATTGCACTGTTGGCATGAGAAAGGTTTTGTGTGTGAGTTCTTATGTCCCGCTAGTTGTACGGAAGTCTTGAAGGCTTTGGGACAGTAGGGACACTTGTACGCGCGGACATCGGAGTGAGTCAGTAGGTGGTGGTTATATACGCTATGGGCTTTGAACCTGAAATAATATAAGGCTTGAAATAATTTACTTTAACTATAATTTTATTATAATAATTGTAATGTAATTGTATTCTTTTCCCGGAAACGGGATTATCTTTATACATATATATAATTCTTCTGTGAGTGTGTATGTCACTGAACTTCTGTCAAATGACTGGAACGATTTTGATGATTTTTTTTGTGTGTGTTCAAGGGGATCTGGGAATGGTTGAGATTCACAATTTTGTCCGATGGACAATGTTTGTTTTATTAATTTTTAATTTATTAGTAGTTGTTGATACAAACGTTTTTTTTTGGACATTAGATTTGACAATTAACTAATATGTCAATCATTCTGTCGCACTTCAAAACACGGAGATTTATGGCCTTAATAGGTAAACTCCAAAAATATAAATAAAAAAACGTAACAGATATTTCTTGATTATAGGGGGATACGAAGTTCGCCGGGTCTTCTAGTGTAATCATAAAATAAGGTGTGTTTATTAGTATAAAAAAATGTATATTTCGTAATTCTGTTCTGATAGTCATGATATTGACATTCCAAAAAAATTAAAAATAAGTTGCATTTTAGTTATCATAATAATATACATAACTTCCAGAGTACAGTTTATGTTATCAATGTGTGAGTGTACACACACATGTGTATTACTAAGTGTGATTAGTGTTATGTATGTGTGAGTATATTTTAAATCTACTTATTCGTGTGTGTGTGTGTTTTACCTCTTGTTACAGTGTGGACACGCGTAGGGCCGCGCGCCTGTGTGAGTGCGCATGTGTAGCGTCAGACAATACGACACTCGGAAAGACTTGCCGCAGATGTCACACGAGTGGGGCTTCTCACCTTATATATGAAACAATTTATTAAATTAAACATGTCTTATTACATTAATAATGTTATTTTACCATAAAAGATAGTTCATATGTGAATTTTGTTACCAAATACGCGTCTGAATAGATTCTAATAATATAAATACGTTATTAAATAGGTTATGGGAAGTGTAAAATTTTTTTGGTCCCAAAATGCATGAAACGAAGCTCTGGTCACAAAGTAGCATATACATATAAATGTATAGCAAATGTTTGTGGAGTTATTGAAGGTAAGAATATCAAACACACTTTACACATTTTACAAAACATCGAATTAGACAAAATTCAAATAAATTTTGGCATTGTGAATGTATTTTTTTTACTTTTACTACTTCTACTTTTTTTATTCTTAACACTATATATTTCAAGTAAATTCTAATCACCCGTATGTATTCTTTCGTGTTTCACCTTTTCGTGTGGTCTTCCAAATTTTCTATTACAATACAAACATTCATATGGCAACGCCTTGTCTTGTTTACCGATGGTAATCTGAAATAATATACTGTCTGTTAATATTAAATATATAAACTTCACAATTTTTACATTAGATTTTGTTAACATTAAAGTTTTTGAAATACATTTACTTCGAGACCATGTTTTTTTTAATTGTATATGAATAAAGAGAAAAAGATACCCATCATTCAAACTCTGAATAAAATAATTTTAAGGTAAATGGACAACCTATCTTATGTATCTAGTGCATTATAAAAATGTATGTACATTTATATATCAGAGTTATCAACACCAATGATGGATGCAAAATGACTGTAACTTGTGGCATTCATAATTATTGTTACGAGGGTCAAACTGAAAGTTCTTAGAACTGGCCAAGTGTTGTGCGGCGTATGATAGAGACTGACAAAAGAGTGACCTATCAGCAGATTCGGACAAGCTTAGGCATCGGTATGAGTCAAGTGCACAAAATCCTCCACGAACATTTAGCGGTCAGGAAGCTTTGCGCCCGGTGGATACCTCATAATTTGACTGAGGCTCAAAAACTCCATCGTGTGGATTGGTGCCGTAAAATGATTGAAAGATTTAATGGAGGTGACTCAAATGCTGTGTTCGACATACTAACAGGTGACGAAAGCTGGATTTACTGTTATGATCCTGAAACCAAAAGACAATCTGCTCAGTGGGTGTGTCCTTTCGAGGAGTTGCCAACTAAAGTGAAGAGAGATCGAAGTGCGGGAAAAAAATGGTGGCCTCGTTCTTTGAAAGGATAGGTCATTTCGCAACAATTGTGTTAGAGGATCAAAAAACAGTTTCTGCAGAATGGTACACTACCAATTGTTTGCCACTTGTCTTGGAAAAAGTTCGAGAGAAACGACCTCGCAGTAGGATCCTCCTTCACCACGACAACGCCTCGTCGCACACGGCCAAGCGAACGATCGAGTATTTGGCGACATCAAACGTTGAATTACTGGGTCACCCGCCGTATAGTCCCGACCTCGCGCCTTGTGATTTTTATTTATTTCCAAAAATTAAAGAAAAACTTAAAGGAAAGCGATGCCTTTGCCTTATCGCGATGCCTTTGAAGAGACCCCTAAGGACGAGTGGGCAAAGTGCTTTTCCCAGTGGTTCCATCGCATGCAGTATTGACGTGAATGGACAATATTTTGAAAAGATATAATAAAACTAATAACTGGCTAATGTAATCAGTTTATATTTTCTAAGAACTTTCAGTTTGACCTCCTATATGTAAAACGAAAGCAAAAACTATTTAAAAATGGGAATAGAACTATTTGAATTTTGGTATAAATATGACGGTTGAGTTCACTACAGTTCAGTGATTGAGGAACGTGAATATAGAACGTGCCAGAAATACAAGGATATCAAGATTTGAAGTTCCATTTTTGAAAATAGCGACGCTAGTGACGTCAGAAATGGTGACGTGATCTGTTTGAAAACGCAGTTCCATTTTTGAAAATAGCGACGCTAGTGACGTCAGAAATTGTGACGTCACACTGTTGGTTTTCAAATTTGTACTAAATCCGTTATATATTACCTTATCCAGATTATGTACACCCATATGCATCTCCAAGTTTTCTTTGGACAGGAACTTCTTGTTGCATATGTCGCAGTTCATCTTGTTGCTACTCTTGTGTGAGTTAGTATGTATGCTCCTATAGTTTTCGGGTATCAGTTTGTTGCAAACATTACACAGGAACTTATCTACGTTATCAGTTGTACCGTCTTCTGATTCTTGGGGACCCAATGGACGTGACCTTGAAAATAAATTATGATTATACTTAAATCTAAGATTTTACCAATATTATTGGGAGTATTAGGCATTTTTTTTAATTTAACTACATACTACCGATGTTACTTTGCGACAACCGTGATGAAAATGTATTAAAATAAATAAAAATGCGTAGTATATCCGTCAATCTTAGTGTTATTCTATTTAAATTGAATTTTTATAATAGACTAGCTTTCCGCCCGCAGCTTCGCCGCGTGGAGTTCGGTTATATCGCGTTTCCAAGAGAACCTTTCAAAAGTCTGGGACAAAAACTATCCTATGTTCTTTCTCAAGGTCAACTCTATCTCTGTACCGAATTTCATTAAAATCAGTTCAGTGGTTTAGGCGTGAAAGCGTAGCAGACAGACAGACAGACAGACAGACAGACAGAGTTACTTTCGCATTTATAATATTAGTAGGGATTTTATCATTAAGGCTTTGTATTTCTTAATATTTTCAATCTATGTTATATCTCATACAACTGGTGTTGAAGTCATGATTTTTATACATTTATTAATTATCTATGTTAACTTAACATATAATCATAGTAAGAAAACTTAAAACTACACTCTATACTCACTTAACGGGATCGTGCATTCTCTTATGTAGTTTCAAAGACTTGCTCGATGGAAATATCGTGTTGCAAACTTCACACTCGTGTTTCGTTATAGCCGTCGTTATTTCTGAAACATTCTTCTATAGCAATTCGTCCTCAATATATTTATTATTCGCATATTATTTTTTACCTGTATTCCTTATTTTGTGAACCTTCATATGTGCGCAGAGTGACTTTGAATTCTCATATGCCACTGGGCATTGTGAACATGAGTATTTTACTGAAAAAATAATCATAACATACAATATAACTCATATGTAATCAATTATAATATATAAAATTAATATTTGTTAGTAATTTCTCATAAATATAACCTACAATGTTTATATATGTTTAATCATATAAAAACTATGAAAATTTAAATATGATTGACAGTTAATATTTAAAAAAATAAATATAAAACCTATTTCAAGTTCAATTTTTTTTGTCATACTTTTTTAAGCCTATCAGAGCCCACTGCTGAGCAAAGGCCTCTTTCTCTAATAAATATATATCTTTTACTTACAAATCTTACAAGGATGCTGCTTGAATTCCGATAGTGAAGTAACATATACATCACATGACATACAATTATATACTTTGACTTTGTTCCCTGTCGTAGTTTGTACCTCCCTTATAATAACTTTATGATAAGGAACATTCTTAGCTGGAATTACACATAATTTAAACCAATATTAATTATTTATTATCACATACATATATATTGCTATGTCTTCACTTACTATCATCATTCTTAATATCTCTAACAATGCTGTTACAGAATTGATCTATTTTCTTATATCGGCTATTGTTTTCTTCTTTCATTTCTTGCATTTCTAATAGACATATTTAATATTTTTTGTTATATGTACAATAGATATTTTAAAAATATAGATTCAATACAAAGGTATGTTATTTTTTTATTTATTAATCAATTTTGTATAATCTATTTGCTTTGTTGTGTATAATATATTATTTTAAACATATAATACTATTACTCAGATCGGATCAAGAATACAGTTAAAATTAAATAATATATGTATAACTAAAAAACTTTGATACTTTCAAAAGTTCAATCAAAATGATAAATCATGAAAGTAATTTTAATAGATTGCAATAATTCTTTTAATATAAGACTTTTAATACACTACTGATGCATTCCTATTAAGAATTTTTCTGTATCACAGTTATTTTTTCCCAAAACAATAAGTGATTTAAACGAAAGTAATATTTTTCGGATTTTACTACGCGACTTTATTTTTGTAAAAAACTACTTACTCCCGACGTTTCGGCTACTTTTCAGCAACGGATTACTACATTTATCATGGGCAGACAAGATTTGAATGGAAGAAACAATTCTTAAAAACTACAATTTTTTTTAATTATGAGACGAAACTACTCAGCATTCCATGGATTCACCGTGCGGGTGCCGGGTCCATCGCGTTGCAGGGAGAGGAGCTTCAACAGTGCCTGGGACTTGCGACCCAGGTGTAGGTTTAAGGGGCCACTTAACTAACGCGCGTTATACGCTCACCTCCACTGTCCAAGCTCCTCTCCCTACCTAACCAAATGAATCTATTTATTATAATACCTGTTTCAATTTCTTCAGTAATGGGAGTCTCTATAATATCTCCTGTCTCCGTTATCATTCTGCGAGACGTCTGTTTCTCTATCACATCTTCACTTTCAGTTTGATCTAATTCCAGATTAATTTCTTGGGAATTTTCATCGAATGGTTCCTGTAACAAAAAATATATATATGCATATAAAACCTATAATTACACTATTGATTTATCTATGTTTCATTAATTAAAGAAAATTTAATTGATAATGAAAAATTAATTTACAAAAGTATTCTCCTGTAACTTCTATATATTGAGACCAATTCTTTGTTAAATTATTTCTTTAAATTAGTATTACATATATATTTAACCATAAATATAGCCAGAAACCAACAGGGAAATAACTATAATTCAAATATAAGCATACAGCTTAAAAAAATTTGAAAATTCTAATGTATTACATACATCAAAGCTGATAAATATTGTAACACGAATTTTTAATACCATTTCTCATACTTTGGAGTTTGGAGTTAAATACACATAAATTTATCGAAAATATAGAAAAACATATTTTGTTAAGATAAATTGTTGAGGAGTATATGAATTTTACCTCGACCACAACATCTTGATCGTTGTGGTAATTCTGTATGTGTTCTAGAACTGATGTGAATGTCATATCGCATGTATTGCAACTGTATCTCTCCTCTTGAGAATTTTCCGATTCATTCTTCATTGATTCATTATTTTCATTCGTTTCCTCTATTTCTATTTTTGACTCGTTGCTCGATATGTTAAGAGATTCTAGAATAATAGTATTAAATTAATATAACATATATTCTAAATGGCTATTATTTATAATTTATATAGAAATACATTTGAAATGTATATGTTTAAGCCATAAATATAATGCGTGAATAATTTTTTTTACATATAATAACTTGATTTATTCATAAATATATAACAGGATGTGTGAAATATTGATAAATATTTCTTACCTTGTGTCGTTAATGATATAGTGCCATCTTTGTTTTGTTTAGTAACTATTGTAATTCCGGAGTTTAATGACAAATCATCATCGGTCACAATCACATAACGACTCTCGCCATGTTCCTTAACTAACTTCAACTCCTGTGTTTGTAGACACGGCTTCATCATTTGTTTGCTGAGTACTTCGACATACATTTTATCGTCATCATCAACATCATTTACTGTATTTGGCTCATAGGAAGACATGTCTGTTTGGACCTCTTTACTAACACCTGAAAAATTAAATGAAAAATTATCATTTAATGTGAAATTCATTTATATTATTTATGATTTATTGTTTCTAGATGTTTTTGAAATAAGTACAAAATTTATGGCAAATTTTGAGTATAAAAATATCCATATTATCTTTACCATCGGTCTCATCATGATCACTGATTTCCAAGTTAACGGATTTAACGTCACAATTGTCAACTTTTAAATGTTCTACCAGATCTTCAATCGACGACAACTTTTTACCGCATATGGGACAAGCTAAATTCAAAGTTATTTGGGACAAATGATCAATAAGAGATTTCTTAGAATCAAATGTAGCATTGCAGCAAAGGGAACAGTAAAAAACGAAGTCTCCCATTGTAGAATCGTTAGTACATGGGAATGCAGCATTCAAAATTTAAGAAAATAATTTACTATGTTTACAAGCATTTATTTGTAAACACGGAATTATCTGTCCATCTTCCCAATTGACATTCAATTTGTATCTAATTTCTCAACACAAGTCCATTTAAGAAGAACTTCACACCATATTAATCCGCAGCAAGCAGAAACAGCCTTGACAGTTGTAATATGTAGTGAAACAATTCACAGATAAAACTATTTTTGTCATAAATAATCACTACCCAGAAGTCAATTAAAATTATAACTTTGATACTATTAGATTCAATACTAACACCATTCTTTTAATTAATTGATCATAATATTGTTTCAATAATAAAACATTCATTTTTGCAGTTTATTACTTTGGACTATGTCCATTGACAGAATGTTATTAAACTGTTATAAGTTATAGCAAAATTAATGAAATTTATTTTCTTTGTTGTTATTATTAGAGTACCGATATAATGTATACTCGTCGTCGATATTCTCCTAATAAACGTTAAATGTGACGTAGTCTATGTTTATGTTATCTAGTTGATTGGTCATAGACACTAAAATTCAATTTCAAGGTAAAGTAAAAGTCGCCATTTTGTCAAGAGATTGAATTTATTTTTGCGTATCAACTATCAACAACGAAATAGTATTGTTTTGAATATTCATCAAGGAAATTTGTATATAAATGCGTATAATACCGTACTTTTAAATATGTTTCAATCACTGTGATCTTAAAGAAATTTATAATAATTAGCAAATTGACAGTGTAGTTTATATTTATGTATATTTACATCGGTGTTTTGCGCGGGTAATTTTAATTAATACATTATGATGGGTAAGCGTATGCACCATAATAGTAAAGGAAGATTAAGCAGCAAAGGCCATGATAACGGCAAACCTTCTAGTCCTGGTGTTTCACCATATAATAAGCCTTCAAAAATACCAGGTGCTGTTTCAGCTGGTAAAACAAAAGTAGAAACATGTCCCATTCCATATATAAGGCAGCAAGATAATGCGTCTACTTTACCGAGACTGGCTGCTATCTGTGCGAGGTCTGCAGATGAACCTATTGGCATGGATGAACTTGACGCGTTACAATTAGAGCTTGAATCACTTTTATGCAACACAGCACTACGGATAAGATACTTTCAGAGTGAAATCGAAAGTATTGATACTAATGAATCGAAAAGGGAAAAGAAAGGTAAAGCGGCCGGGAAACAGTTGACGTACCCAATGAAAAGAAAATTCCAAGATGACAAATTAGTTAAGACCAAAGATTATGCTAAACTGTCCAACCAACCGAAGGTGCCGAAATTGAAAACATTCGGAAATACCTCATCTGGTGCATCTCAAAACTATCCTAATGAAAACAATGCTAACTCAGACAATTCTGTAAAATTAGAACTATCACAGTTAGCCTTACCAAAGAATAATATACCTTATAAGTTTTGGAACTCTGTTGACCCTTACTGTGCACCTGTAACTCTCGATGATATTAAATTCCTTGAATCATTGCTAGCTCAGAGCAGCAATACAACACTACCACCCATTCCACCTCTCGGGAAACATTACTCGGAAGTCTGGGCTGACGAACACCTCACAGAAGATCAGAATGCATCTAATCCGAGTAAAATAAAATCATCTGGCATGTCCCCAGATGCATCTAGCTTAAGAAAAAAGTTTGACAAGTCATCAGAAAATATGATTACCGGTCCATTAACACAACGGCTTGTGTCAGCGTTGATGGAAGAAAATGTAATGCCTTATGAAGTTCCAGATATAAAAGTCAAACAGACGACCAACACTAGAAATAGTTATAAGAATTCATTGACTTTAGAAAAATGTCTTAGGAAAGAACTTGTCGAGCAAGGCATTTTGGATCCTGAAGATTTGCCGCCACTCACCAATCCTGCCGATGATGAGATATTGGCAGAAATCAAAAAATGCCAAACTGAATTGACGGCTGTTAGAAAAGAAAATTGTCGAAATCTTAAAAACCTCATTGGTCTATGCAAACAGGAAATGATAAGACTGAATTTAAAGAAACAGCTCGATCAAGTGGATATGGAATGTATTGATATATACAAGAAGATGGTAGCCGCTAAACAGAAGAAAAGACCTATTACTAAGAAAGAAAAAGATGACGCATGGAGAGCTATCAATGAACAGATTAGACTTAATAAAGAAATAAATGCTTTACCTCTAACTGGCCCTAATACAAGTTAATTTGTTTTTTTAATCATTTCTATCTGTGTAACCAATAGATGTTATATCGTGGTTGAGGTTATATATAAAGGAATTAAACACTATTAAACTATTTTTCTGTCTTTTATTTTTAAGAATTCTATAATAAAAATTAAATCGTAAATAGATTTTTATATGTTCAATTATGCTTTCAGTAAAACAAATTCAGTATATTTTTATACTACATTTTACAACAAAATAATTGAAGAAATCAGTATTCATAAGCAGGAAATTTAGTTATTTCTAAATATTCTAAAAACAAGGTTTGATTTTGAAAGAACTATATACCTACTGCAAATACCAACTTATTTTATTTTTGATAATGGCAACTAACATTGTTGACATCTTGTACATCAAAATACTGTAATTTAAATTTCAACGAACACAAGTCGTTGATGATTGTTATGTGCTAATTATTAATTTGAGGATTGTTTTTCTGTTAATAAATATGGATAATCCTCTAACTCCTAATAAAATTCAACGGCTGATGCACTTGGCTGAAGATAAATCTTTCCATTTGGCTCGACGCGGTCTGCCTGTGAAAGACGAAACTCCCAGGTAAAGTGTTTGTTCTTATTATGCTTAGAAAGTTCACAAAATAATAGAGATATTTATTATTTTAAGTGAAAATATCAATGCCGTGACAAATTAACAACATTTATCCAGTACTCTGTGTTCATATGTTACCGAGTCTTTGTTCTATCTAGACTTAAAAACTCCATTCTATTTTCTATAAGATTTGACTTTCTTTATTTTAGTGTTAAACAAGATAAAAATAAAGCTACTCCAAATAAAACGGGTACTAATTATGAGGCTTCGTCGGGAATACTAGACTTGGAGCAGATAGAAGGTATTTCTGTTTGTAATAATTTTACAAAGCATTCATTTTGTTCGTAATTTTTCAATTTGTATTTAGATTTTTTTGTTGCTTTTATTTTATAAATTTATTTATTTTAGTTTTCGGTGAATCTGGTCTGGGAAATATGTCATTTAGTAAATCAGTGAGTATCCTTGTACTACTATATTGTAAAATAAAACTTAGTGTTATGTATTTATTTATGTATACAAACTTGCAAAAACTGTTCATAAACGCTTTTTGTTTTTTTTTACAATATTTTTTGTCAAGCTTTCTCTTTAATTTATATAACTAGTATTTAAGGTTTTCTATTTAATTTCAGAATGTCTTCAACCCTGGCGAACTAACCGGTAGATCTACAGGAGCAGAAGATGAGAATATAAAAGCTGCCACTCGGGAATTTGAAGAGTATGGCAGACACTCGGTCGCTATAGACAGTATTACAAGCCACATGGACAAACAGACGTCTGAAATAAATGATATCATGAGACACTCAATTGCAACTAACTATTCATTTCATTCAAAGGTAAATAATTTATAGTATATTTTTGGAATTACTTGCTTAATAGTTTTGCTATGTTTAAGTGTTAATTGATATTATTTTTTTTTTAAGTTTATTTATAAATTTAAAACTCTTCAGCTTTAATATAAAAATCTTCAGTTTTTAGTATTATTAGTAGTGTATTGGTATTATTTTTAAATATTGATTCATGATCGATTGATGATTTTTAATTGATTTATAATATATGAGAAAATTTAAGTATTACGAACTATAGAATCAATACTTACAGAAAAAGAAAAATTTATCTTATATACTTATATACTAATCTACACCTTTAGATTGTTGAATATCCTTTATAATTATTATTATTTGTCATCATTATAATATATGCATAATATTTTTGTATTATAAACTAAGTTCCTCAATTATTGTATATTGTTTTCAGAGAGATCTCACAGCTGATGAAGCTTCCCTGGTGATGCGTGAAGCTCCATTGCCGATACAACACAGCACACAGCTTAACTTCCATGAGAGTATGCTGTGAGTATATATTAAACCACACACATAATATATATAATTCTGCATATCTACATTTTTAGAAAATTACCAGAAGAATTATTTATAGTATAGGTATTTTTTTTTTAACAATTAGTTATTATTTAGTTTATTTAAAAAATACTTTAAAAGTCGTTAATATAGAAAATATTTCAGCTTAAACCTTATGATAATTTTCTTTATCCAATAGTAATTACGCGGGTTTGCATTATCCCCGACAGTATATGCGTATATTTATATGTAGTTAAGAATATGGCATTATGCTTAAAATCAAAGGTGGTAGAGCCTAGCTGTGGTGAGTTACTGCAGCTCGAACATGGGCTGGCTCGACCAGGGAAGTACCACCCTCTCACAGAAGATCGGCGTGAAGTAGCCTTTACCGGCTGCGTTTCGTCTGATGAGTGAGAGAGCCGGTTGCCCTTTCCCTATTCCTACCCTCTCCCTTCATTTCCTTATTCCCACCCCTCCCTATCGCCAAAAAACAAGGTTGGCAACGCATCCGCAACAAAATGTTGTGGATGTCCATGGGCGACGGTAACCACTTTCCATCAAGTGGGCCGTCTGCTCGTTTGCCACCTTTAACAAAAAAAAAAAAAAAATCCACTTTCTTTACTTTTTTAAAATGTCTGGATGAATATTTCTCGGTTTTTAATTTACAGTTTCATTTAGAATGTTAATTTTCAATAATCTAGAACTCTAGTCATGATTTAGTGATGTTCTTGTACATATATATTGATAGTGATGTATTTTATATATATCTTTCTTTTTCTATTGTAGTACTAATTTTCAATGTTATATTTATTCCTTTTTCTTTCTTTTAATATTTTTTCTTTCTTTTCTTTCCCTTAAGATCTTTACATTTAACTCATTGATATAATACTTATAATTAACAATAAATAATGAAGTTGTTAAAAGTTTTGTTGTTTTTAATGAACATAGATGAATGTATGTCCACATTGAAACAAAAATTACTTGATGAATATTAGTTTAAAGTTGAATTCACAGATAGTTTCATATAACATAGAAATTATTATTTTTTTAAATATACATATGTTATATTATTGAATGTATGTTATACTTCTACTGCATGTGACTTTTTTGTAAAAATCACAGTGTTCTTCTTATTTATTTCTATAGCTTATTTAAGAAGTATGGGTATGAATATTTTCGTGACTACATATATCAAATTAACTAACTGTCCTATTTAGTCCTATAAAATATATTGAAGAGTTCTGAAATCTCAGCTCTTATGACGTAATTTTTCGGCGTATTTGAGTGCGCCTCATACATACACATATATGTAAATATGAATTAATATAAAACTCCGGATAACTTTATTTACAATTTTTCTTTGGCCAAAAATAGTATAAAGTATGTAACATAAAAATTTCAAACCAGCGTTTGCTAATTTGCGACTTTATATTGTTAGATGATAGATTTATTCTGCAAATTTGAACTGGTCTAATATGCGAGGTCGCACTTGTTGGGTTCATATGAAATGCTTTTTTTGCTATGTAGTATAATATGCAGTTTTTTTTTTATTTTTCATGCATTTAATTCACGAAACCTCTCTTATTTCTTATTTATATAGATTTACAAAGCCTGTGATATACTTTTTAATATCTTCATTATTTTCGTTTCAGTATGGGTAATACAAATATGTCAGTTGGTGCGTATTTCAAGAATCGTTGTCCTGATTTTGGAAAAATCCTTACTAATGTTGATAGTCCAGATAGACCGAGCATCACAGAAGGTATTATAATATAGTCTTTCATATATGTATACTTTTTGTTCGAAAGTTTTGTTCACCTCTAAATGGAGTAAAATTGTGACTGTAATGTAAGTTATATAACTTATTATAACTAATAGAAGTTACGTATTATGTTTTCGGCTGTATTTCTCACCTTGTTAGAAAATAAATACTACGCCCATTAGGCCAAGAGGTTTAACTTTTTTTTTTGTAAAATATGCTTTCTTTTTGAATCTCTTTCCTAGTTTTAAAAATGTCCATCAATTTTTGAAATACTAACATTTTTACTTTTGAATTTATCTGTCCATAAAACATTTCCAAAATAATTGGCCCAAAAAAGTATATTAGGAATATATGTATGTCTGTGTAGCATTTTATGGGATTTTATAGAATATATGTATAGTAAAATCCTGCATTGCTTAATAATTTTAAACAAACGCCTTTTAAAATGATTTGAATATATTTTTTGTATTCTTCGCATTTCTAATGCTTCAATTAAATATAATAACTAAACATACATTCTCAACAGCTTTCACTTACGGCAATATATGTAAATGCATTTATATGATCTGTTGATAAACTTAAACGAATCACAATGTCAATATTTTTTAAATTAATTTTAATCACTATTATACAGGGTGTATGAAAAACTGTGTCAACCCTCTTAACTACGTTATCAGTATCGATAATGTAACACAATAAAACAACTTACATTTACAAACTCTTCAATAAAAATAATAAAATTAAATATTAAATGATTATTATATGTAGAGTAACAAAATGTTTGTAAACCCTGGTATAACACGATGACACGCAATGACGTCATCACAGCTGCTGCGCTACTAGTGACGACCTTGAAGTTACTTTCACATTTTTGAAAATATCGATATTTAAAAAATCATAACAATAAATAAATATTTAATATTCATATTATTTCGATACTTATTTTGATATATCAAACATTATTATTATGTTTGATTGTAAAACACCATTTTTAACAGAAATAGATTAACGATTTATCCCAATAATACAACATATGTAGTTAATTTACCTGAACAAGTTTCAAATTATAATATTTATTATTAATAAAAGTTATTTTAAATGAAATTATTTTAATGTGAAAAGCATAACTATTTATAGCAATATTAAAAATGTCGATAGAATATTTATCGATATAACAAATTTTTACACTTTCAAATCTCTATTCGTACAACTTACAGAATAGTAATAATAACGCCGGCGGCCCGGCCCCCGCGGTCAATGGTCACGCATGCGCCGTTGCGACTATACGGTGTCTTGACCTTGTATGAGTCAGATGTTTGGTACATTTTTTCGAATAATGTCGATTTAAAACTTATTTAGCCTATGCACTGTAACTGACCTCTGCTTGATATTTTTTAAGTTATACTATTTTTTATAATAAGCTTATACTTATATGTATACGTGCCTTCAAGGGTTGACACAGTTTTTCATACACCCTGTATATATTCTCTTTGCAATCAACAAGTTGTCATTAGGTTTGACAGATTTATAAAAAAATAAATTACATCAATCATATTCACAAATAAACAAAACCATATAAGATTTTTTCATTAGTATTGAATAAAAAAAATCATATTTCAGTGTCATCAGCGCCTACAGACGTTAGTCATAGCGTTCACAACAACACGTACAAAATGGACCACACATTAGACTGCGTTCCCGTGAAGCAACCAAGAGCTAAAACAGAAAAAATACCACATAGAGCTCTCGTTACGAATCTATTCCCTAAGAATGAAGCTAACTTCATACAAACAAACACACATTTAGATATATCCAACATAAAACAAGATAAAAGTGTCAAGACAAGTACGGCGAAAGGAAATACATCGATCAGCCAAAAGTCGTTCGAATCTTCGAAACCTACGGACGTGTTGTTGAGGAATCTGCAGACTTCATTGAGAATGGTCACCGAGGATACGGAATGTTCCACGGAGAATTCATTGAGCATATCAAAAATAGCTGATTATTTGGGTTCGTTTTATATTTATATTGGAATATTACCGAATTGTACATTGAATGATGGATTTATTGATAAATAAAATAATCGTGGTTTCCTGGGGTTATTGGGCGAACCCAATTCAAAGAATCCTGCTTGTATTGAATGTATAATAAAATAATTAACTAAAACTATTATTTCGGCAGAAACGTTGATTAAATTTAGTATCATTAATCGTTTAGTAATTTAAAAACCACACTTATTTAAATATTCGTAAAGATCTTATATATCTTTATTTTTTTTTTCTAAATTCTAATTAGAATTAAACTATGCAGATTTTGAATTAAATGCTTAAATGAAATCTATCTCAATATATCTTTGTACTTATGATAATGTCTTACTCAACAAGAACATATAGCTCCTCCTAAGAGTATAGTTTATGGGAAACTGTCATCATATTATTGTATTGGTCCACGATATAAATGTTAAGTTTGAAATGTTTTAGACTTTTGGAAATCATACTCAAAGATTACGTTACATACATATAAATACACATACATACACACATATACATGTAATTTAAGCATGTAAAATCAATTTTTATTTAATTCAAATTTGTTATGAACAGGTAAGCAATCGAATGTGAGCGTCACAGATATACTGCAGCTGAACAAGCGCCCCAACACGAAACCCTTGGCAGAGCTGCCCGTGAAGAATTTAGAAACTAAACCGGATAATAAGACGAACATACAAGATGTGTACGTGACTCAGTTGAAAGATACCAAAGGCATTGATGTAGCGAGCTCATCCGGTACAGTCAATACAGTGATCTCTTTGGAGAAACTGAAAATTTGTGATGAGAAGGTGGTGCCCTCTGTGGTGATTACAAGACACTCGCTGGAGCCTCACGCGGAGAATGATGTCAAATACAATAGAATAGAAAGATCTAACTCACCGTCAAGCAAAAGTTGGTCTACACTCAGTACGGTGCAGGAAAATGTTGCGAGTTTTAAATCTGATAGTCCAATGAAATTGGGTAAAGGTTAGTTATGATTCACATATAATTATACATATAAAGAGTATTAATGTATATGTTAAAAAGTTTCAAAGACATTTTTATAGCTGTTACTTTAAAAAGTCGATTTGAAGGTCCATTTTTTTTATAAAGACTGGTTATAATGAAGTACTAGTTAAATGATAGTTATTTTCAGGCGAGAGTAGTCCGCACATGCCCTCACCGAACGTAGTGTATAAAGAATTAGATGAGTCGGTAGATTGGAGGGATGTGTTGGAATATAAATACAGACAGCAACTGTTGGCTAAAGGTTCGTTGTGCCTTGGGAAATAATAACACGACGATTACCACGAGTTACTTAAACAACATACGGACAGTACTGAGTTTTTATTCATATATCCAGCTCGATAATAATGTGAGCGGATTTATGAATGATAACTCAGTACTTTTCGTATGTAGTGTGATGTGAAACATGTGGTAAGCGTGCAGTACTAACTTTCATTTCAACAGACTAACACAATAACCGAACCGTCACATTACACTATCATTAATTAGATTTTATTTAATTTATAAATTATTTTTTGTAGTTTTTTAAGTATTTAAACTAAATTTTTGATGTTTCCAGAGAAATGGGCTGATATATCAGTGGCACCGGTTCAAGGGTTCGTTGGTAAGTAACGAAGTATATTAAAACCAAATAAAATCTAAATAAGTCTTAGTTATGGATGGTTTTGATGATTTACATTGAATCTCACATCTCCTAATAAATAATACTGTAGGTCGATCTAGAAATTGATATTATATAATAAATATATTATTAATAATGTTTCCAGGTGTTGTAATGCCAGTTACGATAACCGTGACAACCCTAACTGATAGCTGGTTGACAGCCAAATTCGAATTCGACAACCTCGAGGACATCGAGAAATATCTAACAGTAGAGCTGCCGAGGTTGCCCTTACTACTATCTCCCGGGAAAACTGAGAAATTCACATTACATATAACATCTAACATAGAATTAGAGAGACAATTATCGTTCACTATGTATCTAAAAGACGCCTCATTAGACGGAGATATAAAACAGAATGGATGTATAGACATACACATGAAGATGCCCGTCATACAAGCTATATCATGCGACGGGGTCAATAAACTTACATTCCCAATCATGCAAGAGAATACAATTCTGACGAAATATTTCGTCCTTATAAGCGATTGTCCGGTTGATTTGCAACTCGAGTTAGTTGTGGCGGAAGGGGATAGCTTGTTTGTTATAAAGTCATTGCAGGAAATCAAAAAGAATGATGTTAGTAGGGCTCTGATGGAACGACAGGCGTCCGAGGAGTCTAAAACGAAAGGAAAAGGAAAAAATAAACAGCTGTGTAGATTGAGCAGTGGAGACGCTATTAAAGTAGCTGTAACCTGCAACTCGCCTAAACTATCAGACTTAGAAATATGTATGTATATAGTTATATTTGAGATTAGATATTCGTTCATATTAGCAATGTTTTTATAAGATTTTTTAAATGTATGACGATTTTATATTTCCAGCGGACAAAATGGTGACATTCAAAGGAGCGTTGAACGTGAATTTGATCGGTGTGAACACTTTGTTGAAGAAAGTGAGTCTCGTGGCGACTGTGGGCAGCGCGGAGCTAGTCATACCGTGCAATAAACTCACTCTTACTAACGGTAAGTATCGTATTATAAGAACTAATTTTATATTATACTAGAAGACCTTGCGAACTTCGTATCGCCCTATAATAAAGAAATATCAATTACGTTTTTTATTTATATTTTTGGACTTTACCTGTAAGCCATAAATCTCCGTGTTTTGAAGTGCGACAGAATGATTGACATATTAGTTAGTTGTCAAATCTAATGTCAAAAAAAATCGTTTGTATGGGAAATAGAAAAGGGCTGTTTTTATGGTTTTCCCAGTAATGAATCAATTTTTTTCAGCTTTTATACCTTCCCTGAACCACCACGAACATTTCAAGACTATGATAAGATAAATCCGTTCAGCTGTTCTCGAGTTTTAGCGAGACTAAGGAACAGCAATCCATTTTTATATATATAGAAGATTTCTTAACTTAAATAAATAATGCATGTCTCAGAATGTTTTTTACATATACGTTTATGTCTATTTCTCAATTTACAGAAGCAACAACCATAACTTTACGAAACGACGGTGAGGTAACCGGAGTGTGGGCGATCAAGTTCAGGGGTACTCCGACAGAGGGCTGCTTCCCTTTCAAAGTATCTTCAACTAGAATCGAAATAAACGCTAAAAGTTCCAAAGACCTCAGCTTGATGTACACTGGCTCTCTAGATACATATAACGCGGGGTGAGAACTTAGGGTTTATTATATGGTTGAATATAAATTAGAGACTGTTCTTACAATAAAATAAAAAAATAAAAGCGGACAAAAATTACAGATTACAACTTACAGTAAAAGATACACTTGTATGTGTTATAATGTGCTGATTACATGCAATTATGATTATACGTATTATGTAATTACATACTATGTTTCTGTACTAAAATACTTAAGTACACGTTATACAGGGTGACTGGTGAATTACTATCGATATTTGAGGACGTGATATTTGACGATCATATATGACAAAATAAAAATTAATATAACATAAATATTAATAAACTTCTAAGTAAAGTTAACCAAAAGTTATGTAATTAATTACGCATCGTATGAACACCCTACAGATTAGGTATACACACACACACACACACTCGCACCCGGCTGCGTGTTGTTGTATCAGCACGCCGCCTCACGCGTCCACACTTGGAACACTTGGAACGTGTACACACTTTATTTATTTTTACGGAAATTTGGTCAAAAATTAAGTACCTATTTTTTTTACATAATTCGAATGAGAATCATGTACCGAGTATGCTCCTTAAATATTGATAGTAATTCACCAGTCACCCTGTATATACATAAAAAACGTTTTTCATTTCAAAAAACGCTTTGTATGACGTCCGCTTATTATGACGTGTTTGTCAATTCCTTTTGATGTCATAATAAAAGGATTCTACTGTATTTGAGCTGTGATTCGTATATAGATAGTAAAACTGTCTAAAAATAAGAAAATTAATGTTGCTAATATAATTTTCAGTGTTTTAATATTCGAAGACACGTCCAACGGCCGTATAAGCACGATAGATATAAACGGCGGCCAGGACAAAGTCAAAACGTTCCCCATTAAGACGAACTACAACAATTTATCGTGGGTGAGGAGCGAAAGGAAGGAGATCAGTCTGAAGAACACGAGCGACAAGAAGATACAGATAAGGTGTCATTTAGTGGGCGAGGGGTTCAACATAGACCTGCCCGGCGTGGAGGCGAGAGGCTCGTGTGTATTAACGTTCAGTCCCAGTGAATGTCGCCCGCTGCCTGTTGTATTCTGTCCCAAGTCGAGCAAGCCGCACGTGGCCACCCTACACCTCGTGTATCAAAAGAGCAGCGAATTTACAAGGAAGGTTTGTAAATAAATGATACAGGCGAAAATCTCAGTAGGGTTTGAATATTATATATTACTAGCTTTCCGCCCGCAGCTTCACCCACGTAGAGTTCGGTTATATCGAGTTTCCAAGAGAACCTTTCAAAAGTCTGGGATAAAAACTATCCTATGCTCTCAAGGTCAACTCCATCTCTGTACCAAATTTCATAGAAATCAGTTTAGTGGTTTAGACGTGAAAGCGTAACAGACAGACAGAGTTACTTTCGCATTTATAATATTATTATATATTACAGTGATCTACATAATTGTAGTTTATTCTATACCAGTTTTGCTCGCGACTAAGTCTGCGTTAGTTTTAGAATTTTAAACATATATTTGACCGGGCGAACTCGATACTTCGAATTCCAGTTTTGGGTTTGATGTTTTTTTTTCAATCGTATGAAAAGTATCTTATGTCCTTTCCCATGTTCTCAGCCATCTCTAAAAACTTTCCATTCAAGTCCATAGAGCCGTTCTTGAGTTATAAATATTGTAACGAGCCCACTGCCTATACATATATGTATATTTAATCTATATTCATGATTCCAGATCAAGCTACACGGCAGTAGTGGCGGCTCGTCGGTCCGCTGGAGCGCTCTCCTCACGTACGGGGACACGGCCCTGTCGCAGGCCTCCGCCCGCGCGCCCACCAGCCTGGCTCTGTACAACAAGGGCCACGCGCCGGCTTTCGTGTGCGCCACAATAAACTTCAACCGTCAGTACACATACATACATACTACAACTATTATTATTGATATCTAGCAAGTCTTTAGTTTATAGTACCTGGAGTTATATTGAAATATATGTAGAAATTATACTAATATTTTCTGATTATAATGCGTTATTTCATCATTTTTAGTTTCGGTTATTTTGTAGCAACCGTGATCACGATAGAAGGGCAGACGAGATGACAATAGTTTCATTTAAACCAATACTCGTTAGTTGTTAGGCTTATATCTCACGATGTACCTAGGTAGTTACAGTGTGTGTGTCAGAATTTAATATAGATATGTATTATATTCCAGTTCAATATCGCTTCCTATCGTCGGAGTGCCAGTTGTCGGGCTCCAAGTGCGTGGTCCGAGGTCGCAGTAAACACTCGCTCACACTCCGCCTGCCCTGGAACAAACTCGAGAGGCGAGCGAGGCCCGGGAGCGCGCTGGCTGACGTTCATGTACTGGCGGGACCCGAAATAATACGACGGAGAATACTCAGGTGGGATGTGAAGTTAAATATAGTCTTAAAAATGACTGATAACGAGCTTGACACGGCTAAAAGGGTCACAATGTATGGTTCGGATCTGTTGTAAGACATCTTAATGTTGACAATAATTATATTATTTAATCATTCATAAACTTCTTACTATAGCAATTTAAATATAGTTCATTTCAATAGAAATTGGCAACCTTGTAAACAAAGCAACTGACCACGATTACTTCTTACGTACAAAGGAATGTTAGTCCTGATTATAATTACATCTCCATGAACCCACCACTGTTTTTAATAATAATTTCATCATAAATCCATTTAAAATATGTTTATTTTATAACATTATTTTGAACGCGAAAATTTATTGTATTTGTCAACTTGGCACGATCATTTTTTACTCAGTCTTTAAAAAATTAGATGTGTACATGATAATTACATGTATAATGAATTACTTTTTGTCTGCGACTTCCTTTACATTCAATTTAGAAATGTATAGCTGAGCGGAGGAACTGTTTCTCTTTAAAGGCAGTAAAGCCGTCCTTGAACTATACATGGTGAAATTGACACGACTTTCATTTTTAAATAAATATATTTATAATAATTATTATTTGAACTTTAATCAACTCACAAATATTTAAAAGATTTGATTATATTAAACACTATGGTGTATTCAACGGCTGTGATGAAAATAAGTCAATAATCAAAATTGCATTTTTTTCTGGTATTTAGCAGAAGTAGGGGTAAAAAGTACAAATTAATAGTTTTTTTAATTATTAATGATCTTGTAATACTTATCGACCTTGATGGTGTGGTTTTTGGAGTTTTTTAGTGTTATTTAGCTCATTAAAAGGACACTAACAAATACTTAACAAAATATGAACAAATTGAAGATTTTTTTATATTCATACCTTAATCTAAGTATTAAGACTAAAGAATCTTAAAGAGTACTTGCATCATTAGGGCTATAGACAAGTCTTTGTCATGTTTGTTTACAAGATTGCCAATTTTAATTGAAATGAACTATACATGATAAAATTCCTACCAGTGATATATGAAGTGTTTATATAATTGAAACAGTAACATATAATAAACTTATTGTTCAGGATACTAAAGAGTGAATCAACGAACGGCGAGCCGGACTTGTCGTTGTTACCGGATCATTTACACATTATAACACACACCTTCGAAGGAGAGGATCCTTCCGTCGACAAATACTTGGAGAACTTCAGCGAAACTAAGGTAACATTTATATAAATTACTATTATAATGTACATATAAGATGTTGTTAATAGTGTTTTGTTCCTGTTTCATTCGCCAGGCGTCTCTGAACGAGCTCATCGAGAGTCTGCAGGAGCTGAGCGCTAAGATCGATCTCCCTCAAGACTTGCCAGACGACGACACGATCGTGATCACAGACGACACCGTGCTCGAACACTACACACTGTGCGACTAGATGATTATTATGTACGATAGAATTGATATTAATTATGTGTTATTATTATTATGAAGCATTTATGTTATTATAATTTAATGTTTAGTTTTAAGAAGCACGATTTGTTACATCGAGATCTTGTTTGAATGGTTTGGTATTGTACTTAATTATAATATGAAAGTTGTGCCTTTTAAATTAAGAATTATGCAAGAAAAAACCTGAACATACTTTTCCGTCCACATTTTTCATGACTTTCTTAGTTTTTGAGGAACATAGAACGTTAATACGGATTGTTTCAATGATGTCGTCGTGCTGTACTATTATCATGGTCATAAATAAAAAGCTGTATCTTATTTCATGTCATTTATTATTTTCTTAACCAGTATATTTATTCCAATCGTTTCCTATTTTTTTTTAAATCATTGTATCTAAGAGATTCCACTGTTAATGCAGTTGTCTGTTAGAAATAACTTTTTAAAAATATTGCCTACTACTTATAAAACTAAAATGCATTTCCACTTACTATAGTCATAATACGCCGCAAAATCTTACTTTTATATACAGGAGACTAAAATCGTCATTTAAAACATAAAATTGGATATTTCCTAAAAAAAGCCGATCCTTTCGAACGAGCCCTTGATTGTTTATATATATGAATAAATTAAACGTCATTTCGGGGATATAAAGTAATACATTAAAATATTAAATGTATAAACGGGGCTTATTCTAAAGGACTGCGTCAACAGTAACCCAGGTTGGTGTATTTTATGTTATCATGATTATTATATTCAAGCACTCGTTCCTCGCACGCTCTCATACATCTCGTTCACCACAAACCTCACTCGTACATGTTGCATTTGGCAGTTTATCATAGTTACATCACACGACTCGACATCCACATAGAACTCGTTAAACATTAAGGAGATAATATGTGAATATCGACAGTACACTACGTATGAAAAAAATAATAATCTTATTGAAATGGAAGTTCTTATACTTTACATGCTCTCCGATATAACTAACTTGCGTTAAAAATGGCTGACGTATTCATTAGAAAAACGGTGCTCTCGATATATCATTATCATAATTTATTTATTGCGTTACACCTAATTATCTAACGTCACGAAAAGAAGACAAAGAGTCGATTAAGATTGGAAAAAGGCCGTCTAGAACCTCAGTAATGATAGTATTAAAGGAACACCTCTCAGCGACTCGCATCCGACGTAAAGAAATGCCTGTCACGGATATATACATCACACAATCACACGTTTTTACAAATAGGAATTAAAAATCCTAAACTAAAAAATAAACCAGTCACTTAAACGATCTATATAATAGTATAGTATGTAAGATTGCCAACGATACACTGGCCTAGTACACGAGCGTCCGCTCGCGTGCGAATTGTCTCTAAAACGATGATCATAACATTAGTCATTAATTAAAAAATGCCGAGGCTAGTGAGTTGAGTTGCTGTCGATAGTTCTAAAGTATTTCTTAACGAGTACAATACGACTTTAAGAGATCACGATGCGTAATGCTGATCTATATTAAAACACAAATTGGGGGTGATGTTCTGCCACAGCTTACTTATAAATACGGGCGTACATTAACGTCAATACACAGACATATTCGGTAACCAAACACTACCTTATTTGTCCACCACGACTATGACAACACATCATACGGCCTCGCGACCCTACTCTATGAAGACGTTACATTAACATTACCTGATGCATCTCAATAATACGGAGTGTGATAAAAATGGTGATTTCTTTAAAAATATAATTATCACAGATAGTGTAAAAATTAAAATATCCACAACGGAATAGATCAAAACGTGTCAAATAAAATCGTCAAAAAAAAAAAATGATTCATCGATTCGTTAAAATAATTATTGTTTAAAATACTCTATCGGCGATGAGCTTTACTTGACACATTTTTCATAGTACATATTGTGATACAAGTGCAGTCACGGGTTGTCATATACACACGGTACTCCTATATGGTAATCAACTGAACGCGGTGTATACATGTCAAATGATGCAAACAAACGATAGACACATGTATATTACTGTTGGCTAGTGGATGTTGATAGTTCGTATCCAGTGTTGGGGGAGGGTAGTCGTAGGATGGCTGCGTCACACGTCCGTACTGTCAGTCACACGTCTCGTCGCGTCGTGGTCGCGTGTTAGGGCGCGCGGTACAGCAGGTAGGCGGACAGCGCGGGCGGCAGCGCCAGGCGAGACGCGGCCGAGCGCAGGCGGCTGCGGCCCACGCGCTGGCGGATCACGCGCCGGCACAGCTCCATCAGGGGCAGCGGCTCGGCTGGAACGATAACACGAACATACATGAACAATGAGCTCTACTGGGAGTGTGCATACATTATGAACAACTTGTGGGGAAAATAAACTGCCCACTCCTACGGATATAAAGAAAATGTAAGTTTGTCAGGACATACAGCCTAAAAAAAGGTCTCTAAAACATTATAATATAAACTATCCCAAGATTCTAAGTAGTTTGTAAGGGAACGTATTTTAATAGTTGTATACAGTTGCGGCTGGTGGGTTATCGAACTGGTGGTGCACTTTAATAAAATATTAAAATTAGAAAATGCAACAAAAAACCAATTTACATAAAATATGTTTATGTTTTAAACATTAAATCAATGCGACGACATTTTTATGAAGCGAAATGTTTAATCACCTTTTTATTAAAATCGGGTATTGTTTATATAAATATTTTTTTCAATACAAAGCATAGAAAGTGCATTTAGCAAGTGCATGGTATTTCGGAGAAAAGTTTTGGTTCTTCGCAATGCCAATTCGTCAATCGTCATACATCGGGTGCTCATACATACAAGATGTATTAGGAGTCCTCGTGCACTCGCCGAAGCGCACGAGATATTAGTTCAGTAAAAGCGCACAAACTTTTTGACTATAATTAGAAATTTAGTTTTTTATACGTTTTTGTATGTTTAGAAAGTAAATATTAAAATGGTAATTTAAAAATAAAGATGAATTATTATTTTGTAATTTTTAAATCTTTTGAATTGGTGGTTCAGCGCACGAGTGCACTTAAGGTACAGCCACCACTGGTTGTATATAAGGGTAGATAAAGTCAGGCGACAGACGACAGATGTCTTTGACTTTAAGACGCTGAATAATATATACACATACACATAATATTAATAAATTACTCAATGACAGTAAAGATTATTTTAATATTTTATGTTTGTTTACTTAACAGTAATGAGTAAAGTGTGTAACTCTAAAGTGTGTAGCGTCCCAGGACGTCTGTGTCATATCCGGTTACAAATCGTTTACCTCAATCACCATTAGTAATTTTATTTCTTGAGGATTCAGAGAGTTCAATTTGAAAGTTTAAGCAGAGATTACGATGGATGCAACAGATTGTAACGAACGTTAAAGACGACGTCACTTAACTGTACCTACATTTTATTAATTAGAATAATTCTACTTCTAATTGTGATAACTTATAGCGTGATCTCTTAGTTTGCAGGATACTCTTCATAGGCCCACACAATATAGAATAAAAACAATAATAGCGTAACCTTTAGAAATATCCTACTAATATTATAATTGCGAAAGTTTGTGAGTGAGTGTGTGTGTATGTTTGTTACTTCTTCACGCTCAAACGGCTGAACCGATTTTGATAGAATTTTGTATCCAGGAAGCTGACGTCCAGGAATAGCACATAGGCTACTTTACATCCCGGAAATCGCAGCTAGTAATATAATAAAACCAGTTTAAGTGTAAGATGAACTCACGATCTAATCCGCCGATGTATTTCATGGTGATCTCAGCGTGGCCCCACACCGCGGACACTATGGGGTACAGAGTCTTCCCTCTCAGTCCCCTGAAGGCCACTCCGAGGTATCTGCCGTCGGCGCAGAAGGACAGCGTGCCCTCGTCCATGTCGAGTACTACGAGCAGCCGGTCGGGCACCAGGAACTGTTCGTCTGGCCGGAGCAACGCTGGGTACGTGCAGCCGCTGCTGCCGGTACCCTTGGCGTTGTGGTACACCTGCGAAATGCAAATATTATACTTGTATTAAGATTTGGATTATATTGTATTGGATATTATATGTTATTAAGGACAGCGCCATCTATGGTGTGACACTTGAACTCATACGGATAAACAACATTTACGAACTGATTCTCCAATTATTGTCACAAGAAACTTCGGGATAAATTATGGCCCTTATGTTAAATTACATTTTAAGGTACACTATTAGAAAGTGTCAAGATTTACTTAGTTCTTGCGGGAAACAGCAACAAACATCTATAAATTTAATTCAACAAAAAATATGAAGAGGGATGTACTTAATTAAATTTTCTTTTACAAGAATGTATTCACAAATATATACCGTATTTTAACAAAAATTAAATTTATATTTAATGTTAAATGAACGTGTAATGAGCAAAAACTATAGATTTTATTTTTTGGGATTGGTAGGAACCACTAATAAATAATATTATTACAAATTTACGGAGATGCACATCTTAGATGACTAAACTTGAAAAATTTCAAGAGATTGAAATTTCGTGAAATTTTCAAGTTCAGTATAGATAACATTATAGAATACAACTTGTTGATTTTTAAAGAGATGTGAGATTTAACTATAAAGTATTAGCAGCTTATCAAGATGCGACAAAGATCTAGCGCATATATATGTCATTTATTTTAATTCTTATTTTGTAACAATTCACACAGTATTCAAATTAAATCCTAAGGATGAATTCAAATAAAGAAATCCAAAAAATATACTAACTACCTTATTCCTGCCAAGATCCCAGCCCCAACTCTGATCGGTGGCACCCACGAGGCTCTGATAGCCCACGGAGTGTAAGGGCGCGTGGGCGGTCGCTACGCCCACGACCGCGTGCGTCCCCCTCTGCCTAGCCGGCCACACAACCTCCCAGCAGTGTAGCCCACGTGAGTATCCCACGCGCCCACGGATACAATCCGTCGACTGGGCAACGGGATGTCTGTGGAACGTCAACGCATCCTCCTCCTTCACGAATATATTCAACGATCTGGAATTATATGTGAATAATGTTGGTGAATCTTTCTTTATATACATATATATATATGATCATCATTAAAATATTATTATAGAACATTCTTCTACTTCTTAAAAACTTTGCGTAAATCTTTAGCTCGTTCTGAAGCCTGTGATGATATGCAACTATTTAGCTATGTTATAAATATATGATGTTTGGACATTTTAATTACCGAGACCTATTGACCTGCCATTTTATTGACAAAACAACCTTGTTCCGTCAAATACGTAGAGTCTAAGATTGGATTTTGCTCCGAAAATGGCAACCAACAAGGACATCTCTGAAGGTTAACAAGCCATAGAATTGCTTTTACAACAAGTTTTTGTCAATATTAAGCAAAAAGGATCAATTAAATGTCTAGCATAGACCTAGTTATTATTAATCAATTTCAATAATAGACAAAATATATAATTATGTTAGGGAATTAAAAAACATCAGATAGCCGATATAAAATGAATGCACATAGCATATGTATGTTAAAAGTATAATTGGAGCACAGGGTAATTTCTCATTTACAGGAAAGGAGGGGGACAAGTAGTTTGAGGTAATTTTCTGATAGGAATTAATACATATTCTAAGAAAAGTATTTGATTCAGATATATATTACATGTACTCTAATAAAGTAAGTTTAAGATAATGAAGTATTCGCTATTAATACTTAGGATACTTCTTATCAGTTCATACACCTACTTATTTTGGACGATTTCTTATAATATTCTTAATATTGACAAAAGCCTAAATCTAAAAATCAGTCATATGAAAGGGCTCGAGCATATACATCCACTCAACCAACGCTAATTTTGCGGCGTGTTCTAAATTTCTCTCAAATTAAATAATCATATAATCCAGGGCTGTCCAAACCGTGGACGTGGTTTGAATTATTGCGTCGCGTAGAATCTTTATTATCTTCTTTGTTTGAATACATTAATGAGCAAATACTTGTAATAACAATATCTTTATTTTTATTGGCCCTGGGTCCCAACAAGTTTGGACATCCCTGACAACGTTCCTGGTCTATTAGGAGATTCCTGGTCTATTCCTTAGGAGATCACTGAAAATCAGTGTAGAAGCAAAATTGCTTCTATTTTTCACTGAGTGGTTCTCCTTTTGGTTAGATTACACTGCTGTACACTTATCGTTATTGTTATTGATTTTTATTTTGTTGTTTCTTTCGTAGTGGTGTATTTTTTTAACCAATAAAAGTTTATTATTAACTAACGTCCTATCATCACACTGACCGGTCATCCGGGTTCCACGCGTGCTTCAGCTGCGTGTCGTGATGCGCTGGCGGCGCGTCTAGCAGCGCGTCGAGCCGCGCGGGCCTGGGCAGCTCCGGGGCCAGTTCGCGAGCCACCACCGCCTTGAACGGGGCCGTGCACTCGCGCGACACCGACTTCACACCGCCCGATAGCTTTTGACCCATGTTCATGCCCCTGCAGCGTGTGCGGGCGCGCTTCGGCAGTGCCTTGAGGCCGCCGCGACGCGACTCCTCGCCCCCGCCGCCACCCCTCACTGAGCGCACCCCGCTCTTGTACCTGGAAATTCAATATACATTATTATCATCAGCCTATCAGAGAACACTGCTGAGCAAAGACCTCTTCACACAAGGGGAAGAATACACATATCGTCGGGGATAGTGTTCAGACAGAGCCCACTGCTGAGCAAGGTCCTATTCTCACATGGAGAAGAATACATATTACATATATCGTCGGGGATAATGCAAATCCGCGTATGTAACTACCATTGGATAATTCCGCGTATCTACATTGGAAGCAGATTATCACAAGAAAGATTAAGCTGAAATGTTTTCAATATTAACGACTTTTAAGGTAGCTTTTCCAAAATTAATAATAAATTAAATGTTAAAATAATTACATAATATAATATGTTATGTATGTATTTGTCTATGATTTCGGGCTTTCTTTTGAATAAAGCAACAGTGTACATCTGACTTGCATGTTTGAATGACATTCCTGTCAATGCACAAAACTTAACACGTGGCTACGAGGATCGGATATATACGTACATAACAATATATACATATAAATAGAGATTAACGATCGACATAGGACTAGTGAATATTAATATTTTTGAATTGGTTATAAAGTTCTTTTTAATCGTTATATGTGAAGGAAATATGTATTGTTTTTCTTGACTAATCCCTAATAATATTATAAATGCGAAAGTAACTCTGTCTGTCTGTCTGTTACGCTTTCACGCCTAAACCACTGAACTGATTTTAATGACATTTGGTACAGAGATAGAGTTTACCTTGAGAAAGAACATAGGATAGTTTTTATTCCAGACTTTTGAAAGGTTGTCTTGGAAACGCGATATAACCGAACTCCACGCGGGCGAAGCTGCGGGCGGAAAGCTAGTACTTCTATATAGATTAGCGTAATGTCTAATTGATAATTGGGACGGTGCATTAAGATCGTCTGTTTGTGGATATGTTTCATGTATCTCTGGAACTGGTTTGTTAGTAGCGAGTGATCTCGATGTCATCGTGTCGGCCGGCGGCCATAGAACGTACATCTTATGTAACAGCGGCCGTTCGTCTAACCGTGAAAGTCGCCGTTCAAAAGCCAAGGTTACCGCGGCCCTGGAGTCTCACGCAAATGTTACCTACATGACCGCATCTACCGAAACATTCATGTTTGTTTGTTTTTTTTCATCTAACATGATGTCATGTAATTGTATGGATGAATTTGAATCGCACGAACCGTGAAGTTAGACGTAGACTTCTGCGTAATGCTCATAGCTCAGGTAGTATTCCTTTAAACTAAAAGGTTTCCATTGTAAGGATGTCTTCGCTGTATCTAGCTGATTGTATTATGGGGAGGCTGTGTAAGGCACGCCGCTACAAGGCCGTTCGCCATACAGTCGCCTAGAGCGGTCGTATGACAAAAGCGGGAAGTGAAAGGCAGTGAATGTGTCCCCACCACTACCCCGGACGACTCACCTCCGACCGTAAAAACATCTACCGAATAAATATCACTATTAAATTCTATTGTTTATAAAATAAAATATAATACGACAACCATTAGTTCTTAGCAACCAACAATGTATATTTAGAATAATCTTTATATTTATTTCGCTGACATTTAGGCTTCCTGATGTTTGATTTAAATTAAGTATAATTAGTTTATTCTAATTAATATCATTCAGCATAATATATCGTGGGAATAATATCGAAGAGGACATATGTACAATCTGTTGATATTTTTGTATATATGTATGTATAGGTTTATTTTTTAAAACGACAAAGTAAAACCGAACGTTCACGCTCGGTGAGAGGTGAATGGATACGAGTGTTGCTAGGCCGACTACATTAGAGTGCCGCTGTGCCGTGTGCTCGAACAATGAACTAGACAAATGACGTATTGTTAACAAAACTATTAAGAAACGTCTTTATTTTTGGTTATACAGAAGAATTACTGCCGCTCGTTTCCGCTCCTGTCACCGGTCAATACCTCCGAATGAAAATGCAAAAACTTATTAAAAATTATTATGTTTTTAATACGACAAAGTAAATTATAAAAATATTATAGTATTTACACGATTATGAGTGTATCCGTACGTAGTTAAATTAGCCTTTATCGAGTGTCATTAGCGTCATAGTAAACAACAGCTAGGCCGGCTTCCAATTACCCTCAGTATTGACATGGGCGGTTAGCCAACTGTCGACATATTGGGCCTAGCCATGGTGACAGCTTAGCCTTATTGACTGTGTTACAACTATAGCTTAGCCGACACATAATAAATGCTTATCCATATACTTGAGATATACAGGGTGACTGGTGAATTACTATCGATATTTGAGGACGTGATATTTGACGATCATTTATGACAAAATAAAAGTTAATATAACATAAATATTAATAAACTTCTAAGTAAAGTTAACCAAAAGTTATGTTATTAATTACGCATCGTGTGAACACCCTACAGATTAGGTATACACTGACACTCACACATACGCGTGTCGTGACGTAGTGTTGTATCAGCACGCCGCCGCACGCGTCCACACTTGAACATTTGGAACGTGTCAACACTTTACTTATTTATACGGAAATTTTGTCAAAAATTAAGTGCCTATTTTTTTTACATAATTCGAATGAGAATCATGTACCGAGTATTCTCCTTAAATATTGATAGTAATTCACCAGTCACCCTGTATACACGTGGTATCTTAATAGCTAGAATTCTGAAAGCCTTCGTTACTTTAAAACCTGATTCAAACATTATGCTAACACTTTATATATCTTAGTATATTAGTAGGTAATTGACTAGGAAATTAATAATAAGTTTCCTAGAAAATTAGTATATAATTATAAGGCTGAGAGGTTTCATGTATTTTTCCGTGAACATAAAGGTCACGTTTTGGAACAAAAGAACAGGTAAATGAATTCTTAATATTTGTAGTTCATTGTTACTGGAGCACCGGTTGATTGAAGTCGATTAATTTGTATCAAAAATAAACTCGACAAATCTGATGAGTACGAAACTCGATCCGACGAGGGATTCATCATAAATTTAAATGAAGCCGGCTGACTTATATCATTAGCCAGTGTTCATGACGGAAAATATTCGTCATAGAAACGAACATTTTAAAACTTTATTCACGTTTGTACCACCAACGATTTGCACAAGATAATATGTTGTATAGGAAGGCGCTAAATGTGAGGTTCAACGAGGCGTTTACCTATAACCTTGTAAATTATTCGCCAAACATACAATCTAAGTCTGTTCAAAGTCATCTTATTTATACTGTGCATTATAATAAATACGAAAAACATATTACACTACGTTTAGAATATTGCATGATTTTATCTAAAACTCACAATAGCATCCAGCGGTGTGTCCTAAATTTTAAAACCAGCATCTTTAAACTTGTTACAACGAGCGTGGAAAGTTTATGAGTCGAATTACACAAAGTAGTGTCGCACAATTCACATAACACGAAACAGTCGGTGAAAGCGTCGCTTCGTACCGAGGGGGCGACTTACGAAAGGTCTCTTCGAGAACTTTGGCCCCGCTCCTTATAGGGTACATACAACGGTGTAGGGTAATGAAAAAATATACAACATACGAACTTTCTTATAATTAATATATGTATTGAGATTCATGCTGTATTATACGTACATTTAATACTATAGTATTACATACTTTAAAAATAATATTTTTTGGTAGTTTTAAACCGGGTCAGTCAAGTTCAATCAGGCGGAACAGATTTCCGACACTAACAATAGTATCTTTCATATTACGTAACGTACCTTCTATCTCCTTCCAGCGGCTCGTAAATCGATGCTGTAATCTTTCTTTCTAATAACTGACCGGAAGGTGTCGATATTTCCAATAGGGTTCTAGTTTACAATAAAAAGTAATATATAACGTAGAACTTGTTAGTGTAATTACTTTTACTCATTCTCGGGTATAATGAGTTAAAGTAAGTCTCGCTTGTATTAACACCTAGTACGTTAATCTTTAACGTGTTAACTATGAAGTTTGTAGTGCTTTATATGTTTACTTGAGATAAAGTTCCGCATCTTAGATTTAGTTATTACGCATTATATTGTTATACTATATAAAAATATTTATACATCTATACATATTTATGGAATCCTTTGTTTTAAATTAAATACATGATCTTTATAATTTTAATAACATAAGACGATATAATCCTGACATACTTTCGCTTTAATATAAGCTCAATAAAATATTCCTAGAAAACTGTGAATACTTTGGATATTAATATAAATGACTTATAAAACATTCTTGTCATTTAAAATGGGTAGTTCTAAGGTCTTCTGTAATTACACACTGCTTATCTAACTATTTAGGTTTACGGGTCAGGGTACTGATAAAACTTAGGCATATATTATCTGAATGGTAAATAAATTTTAATTATTATTTTTTCGCATCCATGCATTAGAAATGTCTGACCTGATGGTCTGTGTAGTTTAAATAACAATTAAATAATCGCTAGGGCGTGTCGTTACAACCTTGTATCCGTTGCCGCGTTGCAACAAGCCCCATGTCAAGGAAAAATCCACTTAGCAGTTTCCCTGGCCCTGAATGAACGCTTATCAAATACAGACTTTCGTAAGAAAAATTTTCTATTGGTTATCAACTCATGATATACAGGATGACTGGTGAATTACTATCGATACTTGAGGACGTGATATTTGACGATCATATATGACAAAATAAAAATTAATATAACATAAATATTAATAAACTTCTAAGTAAAGTTAACCAAAAGTTATGTAATTAATTACGCATCGTGTGAACACCCTACAGATTAGGTATACACTGAAACTCACACATACGCGTGTCGTGACGTAGTGTTGTATCAGCACGCCGCCGCACGCGTCCACACTTGAACACTTGGAACTTGTCAACACTTTATTTATATATACGGAAATTTGGCCAAAAATTAAGTGCCTATTTTTTTTACATAATTCGAATGAGAATCATGTACCGAGTATTCTCCTTAAATATTGATAGTAATTCACCAGTCACCCTGTATAAGCAATAAAATTTTTATACCAATTTAAAGTTAGCAGAATAATATCTGGCATTTGAGTATACAAAATGTCTTCACACTAAACTATCAATATAATAGTTAAACAACGTCAACACGAACACTTACCAACAGCGTTATTAAGGTAAACTGTATGCATTCAATTCAATTTTATTGCATTGTAAGTACATAGTTACATATATTTTACGATCAATAAAATATTTGTTTATATTAAATATTTTTAATGTTGAATGGTAAATTGTGACGGTACACAAACGAGCGCATTACAAGTAACAATTGTGATTAAAAAAAGATATAAAAACTGTGACATGGTGGTGATAGAATATGATTTTTATGAGCATTGAGCACAGAATGACTTGAATGCACACACAGATATTATTATATAAGTTGCACACACAGTTGATTGCATAACACGGCAGTGACGTGCGTACATTTCACGTTGCAGTCCGTGTCAAGGATGAGCCAATAACGGATAATACTATCATTACTACAAGACATTGATAAGCAACAATATTATAATAGGCTGTGTCTACACGGACATGGACATTAAATCATTTGTCAATATTCAATATAACCACTACTACATATAAGACAATCATGAGATATAATTTATGTGACAGAACAATTAATGCTGTAATTGGTGACGATTTCTTACTTCCCGGTACGTAAAGCTTTACACGTGTTTATAAACAAGGTAAACAAAGTGTGTTATACAGCTCAGTTCGCAGTGCATCGAATGCTATATGAGATGCGTGCAGATGCGTTAGGTGAATGATAAGCTGTTTGTTTAATTTTAAGCATTGGTTCTATGCACCCGCGGTAGTTGCGGGCCTTGACAGCAATGCGCGCGCGCCGTAGCATGTCAAGGGAGCGTTGCTTTCGCCGCCACGCCTGTGCCGAGCCTATATTACCGACATGAGGGTAAAACCTAGATACCGCTTTTAACTCACCATATACATAAAACACTTCATAATTCTTCTAAATTTGCAGCCTTTTTAACGTATTTCAAATTGATGGTAATCTTGATAAGACTTTTCTCTAACATCGTAAGTTATTGATAATTACTAAATTTTTTTTTCGTCATATAAGATATTATCCAACATCTCGGTCGACATTATACCCTCATCACACAAAGTTACTTGATATTTCTTACAAATCTTAAGGGATTACTACTTTGTCATTCAATACATTTTTGTCTTCCTGACTGAAAGTATTTTTTATAACACAGAAGATTATTTTTTAGAAATCGAACAAGAAAGGATCACTGTTTCGGAATATAGCTTGAGTTAAGAATATAATATATTTTTTAAATAATAAAATAACGGAAGACACAATATTTAGGAAACGAAACTTTTGTCTTAGTACAAAAAAAAATGTAGGTCATTGAATGTTTTACTGAATATTGGTACACAAAAGATTTTAAAAACATACTGAAGGCAAAAACGATTTATACGCGGCCTTCTTACAAGGGAATTGTGTATATTTTTAACATGTCGTATGAATTACTCATGCTCGTTACACTTTAAAGCTATTTAAATGAAAAATATATTATCCGATATAAAGTTAGTTTATACTTTATATAAAGAATGGAACAAACAAATAGTAAATACGTCTGTAAATGGATAACAACACCGAGATAGATACATCAGTTGTAAAGCATAAATCCTAAGATAAAGTGGCGCAATCCTTTAAGTGGCAGATGCCGCGGGGAGAACAAAGACTACATACATCTTACAGATCTCTCAGAACGTCCACTTTTAAAATATACTCGTAAATAATAGAAATGGAATTCCTTAAGGAAATTCATCCAATGTATATCTAATGAGGAATAAATAGGTTAATGGAAATATATAATTTAAGGCACATCTGTAATTTAAAAATCTGCCTCGAGCGACTCCGCCACCCGCTGAGCCGCGTCGTTACATTTATCCATCTTTTTATACTTTCGAAAGGAATATTTATAAGTTCCAAGTCACTGTTATTACATTACTTTGCTTAAAGAAATATTAAGTATTATAACTTCATACACTACCGTGATTACCTTGAATTGATGGTGATAAATTATAATAAGTGTATTTTAAATGAGAATAGCAAGCGTGGATTTAAAAAGTGAGAAGTGTAGAAAATAGAATATCAAAATTTCTATATAAAATTATTAAAGAGGGGAAGTAGCGACTTATCCCGTGAAGTCCCCAATCGGAATTTTTTTAGGTCGTTGCAGGAAAGGAAGGGAGTCTTATGACCGAATTATTTATGGATTTTACCTCAGCTTGTCATATTTTGAGCAGACGAAATATTATTTTAAAAAAACTGGCCCCTGCAGAAAAGCTACCTTAAATATTATGTCTTTAATTTCCAAAGAAACATCGTTTACTTTAGTGTGACCACTAAACTAGGTTTAATGAATGTAAATAAAGGTACATTACACTTTAGCCTCATATGCACAGTGTCACGTAAATTACGATAGAAGCAATATTTACAGTAGACGAGCTGGTCGCAGCACTGATTTTGATTAGAAACTGCACATTCAGAGCAGCCCAAGCTTTTGATTGGACAAATCAGGAAACTGGCTTTGTATCGATCATTCGTTTCAACTCATTTTTAATTAATTAAAAATTTAAATCTACCGTCTCTCAATATTTGTTTAATGGGAAAATTAAACTTTTAATATTGGATGCCATTTAGTTTGTTCGATTCAAACTTTTGTTTATAAAACTATACTGACCTATTTAAGTATAAAAATTGTTGGCGCTATTCGAATATAGTATAATTAAGTTGTTGCAATAGTGAAAACAAGCTGGATCCGCATTGTTTATATAGCCGGCGTTTAAATAGTTTCACTTTGAATAACACAATCGTAGGAACAGAGTTTATAATGTTAACCTTCTCCTTAGATTTCCGAGGCAACAAAGTAAACAGAAACAAAGCGAAGTATCTCAGCCTCCGAGGACTATAAAAAGGGGAGTCGATGGTTTAGTTTGTTTTTCTGTGAAGGAACGTCGATGCATTCGGAACTTGAAACCGGTATGACGGTCAATGAGACGTCTGATGTCTACCGTCTACACTATACATTACCAACACTTACAAACTTATATCAGTAATATATTATATGAAAAAATAGATTCAAAGAAAAAAAAACCGTATTATATGGGTCTTCCAAAATATTCGACCCTGAATATGCAGTAAATTTATCAAAACTATGAACAGTAACGAAAGATGCATTGACATCGCTGGTGCGTATAAAATTGATATTACGGATAATCCGCATATGAGAAATGTGTGGGGTTGGTTTGTATTGGAAAAAAAAAGTACTATAAATAAAGAAGTAACAAAGGGCAAAGGATAAATAGTATGGCATATATGTAGAGCATGGGGCTGCAAGTGGGGGTCATTGACACTCACCCCGGTCCATGGCGTGGCACAGATATACAGGACGTGAGTCACTATGGGGTAACCAGCTGCCGGCGTATGTTACCCCCGACACAATGACGGCGCGTGTACTCGCATGCACAACTCTTTAATGCAGACCTAATTAACTAAATTATTGTTTTGTTTCCCTCAGTAAGGCCATCGATGTTGCATTTAGTGTTTAATCTTAGATTTAATGAACATTTAAAGTCTTATTTTTCTAGTAACTCTTGAAATTAATGACGATGACTTTCTTGTTGAAATTAAAATGGATTTAAAATTTTAAATCAGATCTAAACTGAATTCCTTTTCGGCGTCGTAATGTAAATGCTTCACAGTTGTAAGTTGAGCATTTATCTATGTAAAATGTATGTAAAAGCGTTTGTGATGTAGGGAGTGAAAGCGGCAACATATGCCGACCTCATTCACATTGGAGTGTCGATCCGTCGCCATATGGTAGGTTTGGAACTTATCCGACAATAGGTCGACGAAAATAAATAATCGATATCTAATAAAAGTTAAATTGTTATATGGCTTGAATTGGTTATTGGGAAAATAATTAAATTTATATGACTACAAAGATTCAAAACCAGTGTTTCGATTGTGGTGTAGGAGTTGTAAGGAACTGTAGAAATCGTCCTTCACCTAGGGCATCGTTGTGCTTGCTGGGCATCGATCCTACGCTTGCGTGACGAGTATATTTATAGATATTGCTTGACTGCAAACAAGACTTTATGCGTATATACGTACAACAGACCGCATTCTGTTCACGGGACAGATTAATTTGTTTAACAAAATATTTGATTTATAGCTACCAGCGGTATACTCATATAAAACACTGTGCAATTATCGTGACTCATGAGGTTACCATACAAAACTTTGAAGGCGGAAACTAGCTTGGGAGTGACGTAATGAGTTGTAGTTATTCATTAAGAGAGACGTGAGAACTGCTCCACGGAGGTTACTATTAAAGTTGGAAACATGAAGCCGTTACGAGTTCCCATGAAAATGGATTGTTGTGTGTTGAGGCGTCAATAACCTCGCCGGTACGGATCATGGAGGTTGCAATAAATACAACATCGGCGGCGCAGGCCTGGTCAAGAGCCTTTCAAGGCCGGGAGGCGAGGCGGGGAGCGCCCCACATCTGTGCTGGGCCTTTATTACCTTACCGCCTGCATTCCAACAGAAACTCCTACCCATTTTTTAACGATATACAGAAAATGTATTTTTTCCTATCATATGCAAACTTTTAAAATTTTAGAGGGTAAAAAGCGAAAATGTGATAAATATCACTGACAGCCTATTGTAACAATGAACCTTGAAATAACCAAAAGGGAAAATTACGAACACCAAATTGGTCGACATTTCCATGCGTCCGGATTGAAAGTCGCGAACTTGTCTTACACCTTCGACTTATAGCTTTGTACTTTAAATATTAACGGAACGTATTGATACATGCTTTGGATATGCACCATCATTGCGGACAAAGTATCATTATTAGCAATCAGTAACCTAACAACAATAGTTAAGAATGACTTCACAATTCCTATAAGAATTCTTTCACCAAAACATGACATTGAGCATCTGTCTGTCGGTTAACGTGCGTTGAAAAGAGACAGCCACATGTGATTCTGAAAGGAAGTTTGGTGACGGGAAGCGTTAAGCTGCGGACTCACCGCAGGTCGAGGAAACGGGCGGCCTTTGTTCTCCTTTCACAGGACATATCGTCTGTTGTCTGTAACACTAGGATGACACTCCACCAGACGAACATAGGCACATGATCACTGGACGAGCGCGTGCCTCCGCGCACCACGGCACTACCACTGGCGGCGAGTGATCGCGCGCACTGACTGAACGACTGCCGAGCCGCGGCCGCTCGCCCGGAGCGCCAGCTACCTGCCCCAGTGGACGTTTCCGCGCATCGCGGCGCACGACCAGGTAAGCGATCACACTATACATAATACACGAACCTACCATGGGACTTGGGAGACTCATGGGTGGGGAGGACGACGGCTTCTTTTAACACTCTTAACATTATACAAACTTTATAGCCTTCTTATCTAAGGCATCCGAACGTTTTAATATTAAATGATAACTGTTGTTTACTTCAAAGGTCATGGACTGAATTTTTAAAACTATCGTAAGTACGATGTGGACATTTACCCTTAAATATTTTAATTATTGATAGAAATTAAGTTTAATAATAAACGAAAAACACAAGCATATTATGTTACCAAATTCGTATACAGGTGTCATTACCCATTACTTACTAAGTCTTGTCACTAACATAACCTACTTTTGTTACCGACGCACTTGAATTTCAAGTCCCTTTAATGACACGGTCCGTTCTATTTTATCTGTAAAAATTATATGAATTTCATATCACATGTGAGTCAGAATCGAGTTATCGACTAACTTTCACCGACTTGCCCGTGTACACAATTAACATACCAATAAATATGTTAATTGAATACCCTTTTTATGAACCAATATTGATATTTCTTACTCCAAGATAGCATTCGTCTATTCTGTATACAAATTTCGTTGATTCTAGAGTAAAATTTTAATTGGATGAGTCGCAGCAGAAAATGTTCCGTCACAATAGCTCGGGTATGTAAATGGCGCATAATGACTCCAGAATCCTGAGCGTTTTCCGTGTACATCCTATCCTCTCCCGCCTCAGCGAATAGCAAACGGGACGGGATAAGAATTCCCTCCGGATCCCTAAACGACCCTCTTGTTTTTTCCTCTACCGAAATATCATTGTTTCCTCAGCGTTGTTCTCAGAGTAATTTACTTTATAATACACAGCTCCGACTGAGCGGGCTCAATTCACATTTAAAATGGCGAGTCCCTGCTTTAAAACAGTTTGTGAATGAGTTTACAGGGAATTTTATTGAACTTGTATTATTAACGTGCATATTTTAAATTATTTTGAAATTTTCCAAAGATAACTTTTTCTTTATAAGCCCATGCCCAAAATTTACTTTCTCTAAATGTCTTAATGTCGCTTTATGAAGTATGTACCTATAAATATGCAAATCCAAAGTTCTTCTAGCATCATTTAGGGTGGCAAATTGCTGGATAGCAAATCCTCTGTCTCATTTGTCTTATGTTTATCCTGATTAAATGCTTTTGGTCACGTCTACAATAAACAAATGAAGATATAATCACCTTTAAAATGTATACCGGTATATAGGCCATACGAATTGTTTTAAACTTATAAACATGTTATCCTGATAATAATCTATTATTGGGATATCATTTTGGGATTTCTATAAAGAACTCAATATGAATTTTAAATGAAGTAAAATGTAAGAAGAATAAAAAAATATCATTTACCACTTATAGGTACAACTATAACAAAGCATTTATATAACATAAACGGTTTTTTACTATAACTGTTTTGATATTTGCTACTATTCGACTATTTTGTTTAAATCTCATATGGGTATTTTGATATAGAATATCTGTTGAGTGAAAGAGGTGTTCGTACAAAGTTCTCATCTAACCATACACGCCTAAAACGATATGGTTCTGAAGTGAAATAGCTGCAAACCGAATATAGGTTAGACAGCTTAAAAATAAAGCTGCACCGCGTCGGTCATGTCACATTTCCCTGGTTTCCTGACCAATATATCCGAGTGGCCATCAAAGCAAGAGCTCATCTAGAATCTAGCAAAAGGTTTTAAAGTCCTTATATCAAGACTTTCGCTTCAATAAGTCTTACCTATTTCATGATTAAAGTACCTTTTCATAATGTTTCACTATGAATAGCTGTTTCTACGTATTAAGCAGTAATTCCTGATAAAATGTTTTTTATTATTGTATCTGATACAAAGAATTTAATATGTTGGCAACACTTTTTAAGAACTCTTTTTGCTTTTAAAAACATTAAATAGTTTGGTGAAAAGTTTTATAAAAAAAAACACATAATTTAAAAAAAAACAGTCCAAGGAAAACTTGCAATTTAATGCGAATATAAAAATGTACTTACATGACATGTACTCAACAAGAAAAAGCGACTTGTTGAAAAATTCATCAAATTCCAAAATAGTCTTTCGGTTAAAGGTCCATCAATCCAATTTAACCTTGTTATATTAATAAACACAACAAATGAACGGTTACCTATATATTACTGCACCAGTTAGTTAACATCAATTAAACACAACATCTATTGATATATTAATTACAACGATCAGCTGTTTAACCATATAAATGTACACTGATTACATTTTAATATAATGGAAATCGTCTTAATGGTATTCATCATGTTTATTTAGCACTAGCTTTCCGCCCGCAGCTTCGCCGCGTGGAGTTCGGTTATATCGCGTTTCCAAGAGAACCTTTCAAAAGTCTGGGATAAAAACTATCCTATGTTCTTTCTCAAGGTCAACTCTATCTCTGTACCGAATTTCATTAAAATCAGTTCAGTGGTTTAGGCGTGAAAGCGTAGCAGACAGACAGACAGACAGACAGACAGACAGAGTTACTTTCGCATTTATAATATTAGTAGGGATTCTTTAATTAATTAACGAGCACTAAGTTTCTGTACGTGTTGTATCAACAACGGTTATTGCTAATCTGTACGTATTTTAGTTCTAGGCACGTTATAAAAATCAAAATGCACGCGATACAGCTATTAGTAAATGGGTGCCGCCAGCTTACAGGCGATAACGTTTTCACTGGGCGGCCATAGTGGATGGGGAAATTGCGCTTTTCAGCGAAATGAAAGCCAGCCACGGTTGCAGGATTCCTTTTAGATAAAAAAAAAGAGAGTACATAAATTTTCGGCCTCGTCGAGTCTTTGATATATAGGAAGCCACAATAAAACCGACGTACATTCAATTATGATAAATTACTTTAAAGATACTCACGTTATTATGAAATTTCATTTAGTTTCTGCGACTGTAATATTATGGATTTACTGATTTATTACTAGATGTAATTTGATTTCGTATAAAAATAGATGTTCATAGCAATTTTTCTATATTAAAGGATAAGTGAAAGTGTATGAAAGATATATTAAACAAATTATTTTTTATGTTTAAATAGCTCATTAAATATTATGTATATATATATATGAGATAGATCGAAAGGAAGTAATTCATAATATATTTTATATTAGTGACAATATATGTCTTAAAATAGCAACTATATTTGTAAATTGAATCTAAATATTTATCAGTGAGTATTTGTTCAGGCAGCGGAAGTAGCGACATTGTATACTGAGAATAAGGAAGAGGCTGTATCTGTATCTACGCAACGTCTTACGTAATAAGGTCAACAAAACAATATAAAACATTTTGTGAATTTGTATTTGAATATAAAAAAACCTTTGTTTATTTTGGTATGGTTTGACTTCTGGTCAGAATAAGAGTCAGTTTGCTATATTGTAACTTTGGTCAGCATCATATAAATTTTTAAATATCCAAAGTATATAGTCAATAAAATTTAAAGAAGATTTCAATTAACGTGTTGATATAGCTTATTTTTATATCTAAAAGTACCAGTAAGAAAATTTTTATAATTTCAGAATGTTCCCTTATTAATATATGTATATTTAAAAAGCTCTTTTATTACTTTCTTCCAAAATTTTCCATTCCCTCATAATAATTAATTCACATATAATAAATGGACCTAGTTGCAAATATTAATATAAAACAAGCATTTTATTTTTATATACTAATTAAATTTCTAGTAAAAAATACTTTTCATAAGCAATTAATTTAATTATTAAAGTTATTACGGACTAAGTACATATATATTTGTTTAGTAATATTTTGCGCTACACTGTTGGATACACGTGACTTGGAGGGATTGATGAAATAATTTGTCGATAAAACAAGAAATAAGGAGAAATTTCTGAGTATTTTAATGTACTAACGAACTTGAGATTTATAAAGGACTAGCTTTCCTCCCACGTGGAGTTCGCTTATATCGCGTTTCCAAGAGAACCTTTCAAAAGTCTGGGATAAGAACTATCCTATGTTCTTTCTCAAGGTCAACTCTATCTCTGTACCAAATTTCATTAAAATCAGTTCAGTAGTTTAGGCGTGAAAGCGTAACAGACAGACAGACAGAGTTACTTTCGCATTTATAATATTAGTAGGGATAAGAACAGCTTTTATTCATTTGAAATCCACAAACGATGTAAGGAGATGAAATAGGTACATTCAATTGATATCTTAATTTTATATTAATATATAAAGAATTAGAAAACAATATGTATTTTAATGGTGTGTGTATAGCGAGATATAGAACGTCTGGTTTTCTTACTTAAAAATTCATATCAACTGTTATTTCTGTAGATTTGGGTCAGATTAATTTTGATGTATATAAAAATAAAACGTGAATTAATATCATTCAATATAAAAAATTATAATATATGGAATATTCTATTTCATAATTTTCTTTAATACTTTTGAAATTTCAAGGAATTTTAAATAGTTTTAGTAACTCTATCTGAAATATAATATTCCAGTTAGGTAGGTTTTAGAAGCTGGTGCGAAATTAGAATTAAACAGTATGTAGGGCGAGAGGTTTCTTAAAAAAAAAGAGAGCTCACACCTTTACATGCAGACGTGAGCAGACAAAGGCTGTTAAGGACCACCCAGAACATAAAGAAGCAAGGTAACAAATTTCAACGAAAACCCTACCTCAGTTTTTGTGTCAGGTTGAACGGACTGAAACTCTTAATATTACTTATTATATATTATTATTATGATATTATATTTAGTTTTACTTTGAATAAAACATTAAATTACAAACATAAATTTCATAAAAATGTCTTAGCTGATTATACAATGGTATAAAAAATATATCAATTATATATGAAAGGTTTATATATTATTGCTCTTAATATAAAATAAATATAATCATCTGATGCCATTTGACCTTTGGAATCCATCCAATATTAACAGTAAGGAGTTTATCCAATTACCAGTTTAAGAGAATATAGCTCGATTAAAGTTTAAACAGATCGAGTTATTATTGTTTCAGAGTTAACTTCAAATCTATTATATATAAAAAAAATATACTTAATTCTACACTTAGAGTTTTCTTTAAGTAAATTAAACAGAACTGCTGTCATAGTTTTATTAAGATTTAGTAAATAGTACTGTCTATGAAATCTATTGATTAATACAAAGCTAACAAACTTTCTTAAATGGTAGTCATAATATATATATATAAATAAATTAATTCGATCTATCAATTAAGGATTATTGGATGTTTCCACCTTATATATTTAGTCGAACTAGCAATTAACTATTTTGTATTATACTGTTCTTAACATACGATAATCAGTTCGTTATTGTGAAAAAAAAAAATCTTTTTATTTCTGAAACAACCGATATTTTATTTTACAAGTTAATGTCGTATCGCCTACAGTAATGTATATTATTAAAAAAATCCTTTTCAATAAGTGGTGAGAACCAACATTATTTTAACAAAAACAATATCGATATACGATGGAGGAAAAATCCGTGGACCATAGCTCGGTTGGTCATGTAACAAACAGTCAAACATACATGCATCAACGCGTGTGATATTCATAGGATTTACAAAATTCCAGTGAGATGAGATGCATTCTTAGCAAGGTATAATAAATTATACAGTTTTCGTAAACTAGAGGAAGTGTAAAAGGGACTGTAAAAACATC